CACTGTCTGAAATAGAGTGTGCACGCATGAGCAGGCAAGGGTGTGCATGAATGAATAAACATGGGCATGTATAGAACACATGAATGCACAGGCATGTGGAGAACACAGAGTATAAATAATGAATCCAATCGATGCAATGATAAATACACATAAGAAGCGGCTGCCAAGAAATATAGCATGCATAGCATTTCATATAGAACACCACAACTCCCATATGTTCACAGTAATAAACTCTGTAAGTAACTCAGCTACAAAAAAACTCGAAGACAGGGAAAAGACAAAAATACTTACAGAATACAACAAGGCACTGAGCACAATGAAAATCGACAAGTTCCTGGCAATCAGTCCAAAACACCAGGTAAATATCGCGCTGCATGCCAAAGCAACACAGTACTTGATGTCAAACTACACCCAAAAGAAAAGCTTGGCAGACATCGAGGAAAACATCCACAAATACAGGTTTATTGAGCATAGAGATGCACTGCTCAACATTGCACGAAGATCAATGGATGAGCAGGAAAACTACATAAAGGCAAGAAAAATGCTCAACATTGCGCGGCAGAAACATTTTACATGTAATGAATTGTACGAGCTCGAGCAAAAGCTGGAAAATGAATGGATTCCAAAACAATAACACAGCAGATCAACACATGCAGTATTAGATTGAAAGCCATCGATTGGAGCCAGGCAGAGCCATCCATATATAGAAACACAACAATACCTGGATGATTATAAAACGCATAGTAGTAGGGGCTCACATATTTGAATGGCGTTTCCAAAAGTAGCTGGTGATAAAAAGTACAGGGCATTTGTGGACGGAGAAATCAAGGAAGTGAGCATTGGCGGGCACGATGGATGTGTTGTATTGGTGTTTTATCCCCTGGACTTTACCTTTGTGTGCCCCACAGAGCTCAACAGGTTCAGTGATCTTAAGGATGAATTTGTGAAGCGGGGAGCTACTGTTTTGTTTGTTTCCTGTGATTCTGTGTACACACACAAGGCATGGGCTCAGGTTCCAAGGGAGAACGGAGGTGTTATGGGTGTTTCATGGCCGATGATATGGGATGAAAGAGGAGACCTCAGCAGGCACATGTGGATGTATGATGCAGATAGCGGCCATCCCATGCGTGGAACGGTCATTCTTTCAAAGACATTGGATGTCAAGCACATGAGTGTCAACCATGCAGAGATAGGAAGGTCTGTTGATGAGATATTGCGGCTTATTGATGCGATTTCATTCAATGAGGAGTTTGGAGAGGTGTGCTTTGTTGATTGGAAGAAGAAGTAAGAGCAGAAAGTAAATGATTTGTGTGCTTGTTGTGTTTCCTGTATTGCTGTGCTTAGCTATGTTGCACTAGGGTTTGATGCTGAAACGGGTCGTTACGACTGCAAAATGAATGATTTACTGGAGCACAAACTGCTGTTGGAATGCAGGCGAAGAGCGTTGCTTACGGCATGATTATTGTTTGTTTCCTTCTGAAAGCCAAGGCAGAAGAAGTGGAATGCCATGATGACGAATGCATGAAAGCACTCCCAAGAGTAATTGTCGAAGGGCTTGATTCATACTTGCCAAAGCCTGCAGATGCTGCTCCTGTGGAAGTTCAAACAGAAATCAAGACAGTCATCAAGGAGGTCATTGTGGAAGTTGATGGGCAGAACGAAGGCAGTCATCAAGCTCCACACATAGAAGATCACGCAGCAATCACATATACAGATAATCCTGCCATAAAAGCCATATCACACACGCTTGGCGCACCTACCAGTACAATACCTGAGGCCGTTATAGGTCCTATTCCATTGAGCAGCTCCATTAAGATTGCGGATGCTTCTGCGGCTAGTAATGCGTCCCAGCACACAAAATGCTATGTCGCTGCAAAAGACATTCATGATGGCAACACTGCACAGATAGAATCAATTTTACTGGGCTTTGGCGCAAACATTGTGCACAAATACGTCAGGAACACAACAGGAATATCATTCTGCTCAGACAGCCAGCACATTCTGCCAAAGCTAACGAATGCAGGCATTAGTGCTGAAGAAGACAAATTCTACACCGTGTCCTCCGTTCAAAACACAATCCCAAACTACATGTATCTGATGAAGCACTACGAAAACTACATTCTAAACAACTATGTCTATGATAGCCTGCCTTTCAGGCTCTTGCAGATAAAAAGAATCATAACATCATTTTTTGGGTTCTACGAGTACCACTACACAGGAAAGGGCGTTGAGGTTCTACTGCTGGACACAACTGTTAATGCTAGGCCTGGAAATCTCAGCAACCTGAGCAAATCAATGAATGCATGCAATCGCCATGGAGATATAATGGCTGAGCTCATTATTGGTACGACAAATGGATTTGCTAAGAACAGCCATCTGAGTGTTATTGATGTTGTTGGATGCGACGGACGTGTTTCTCTTTCGAATATTCTTCGTGGGCTTGAGGATGTGCCTAAGTGGATTCGTCCACAGATGTTAGTGTTTGGCGTTTCAGGGCCGCACTCACACATTCTGAATGCAGTCGTTGACAGGATATCTACATCTGGCACGGTGGTTGTGGCTCCTGCTGGAAACATGCATGACCAATCATGCAACTATTCTCCAGGAAGCTCGAAGTCTGCTATAACAGTTGGCTCAGTGGACAAGCATGCGCGGATTTCGCTGTTTTCAAACCATGGAAGCTGTGTAAGGATGTTTGCACTTGGCGAGCAGCTCTTTGATGACGTTGAAGTATCAGGCACAAGCTTTTCTGCTGCAATTGTTGCTGGAGCGATTGCTCTGTTCCTGGAAAAACGCCCGGGATCTGTGTTTCAGCAGGTGTGGAAGTATCTTAACCAGAACTCATTCTGGAACTCAGAAGGATCATACAATGTGCTGAAGATCCCTCATCTCGAATCCGAAGACTACTACCAGTCATCGTTTTTCCAGTTCACTGAGATTCAGAACGAGATTGTCATGCTTGTGGTTTTTTCAGGTGTTATACTTGCATTAATATTCTTGTTTCTGCTGATATGGAGATACTTCGCAAGAAAGAAGAGATCACACGATGACGACGATATCTTTTTTGAAAACCAGTAGATCATCTAGGCTTGCATACATGCACAATAGCTACACTCGATTCCACAGTGCATGGTGATTGGCAAGTGCCTACTTTATTTATGAAAGCTGTCAATGATGCCTTATGAAAGCCAATCCAATGTGTTTCAACAATATAGTATTTATCGTGGCAATAAATGTAAAACATGAATGAAAGCATCGGCAGAGTGTGTAGAAACAAGGAGTGTGTTGATGCTTCGTGCAGATGCCCTCCATGCTCAAATGAATGCGTAGTAAAGTGCGAATGCTCAAAACCCGATCTTCAGGGGCCTTCTCCATGCCTGAGGAATGGCTCAAATGGATGTTGCTTGTGCCACTACAAGTGAGCTCGTTAATAAACTCGTTGCAAGTGCTCTAAATCATTCAAGACACATTGGCTCATTCGCTTCAGCATTCGTGCAGCTCAGGCTACTCTATTACTCGAGCTTCACTCCAGGCACTGCCTGCCAGGACCTCCCTTAGATTCAGATGCACTTCATCAAAAACTATATAAACGCTTTAATATTATCACATGAGGTTGTTGCAGTCTGAATGGATCCAACTTCCACACGATACAATACATCAGCAACTACATATTCTCGTGGCCTTGGGATCCTCCTCTATTGTATTGCTGCTTCCTAGATGAAGGATAGTAGTCGTCATCCCTAAACGTGGGCATTTGGTGCCATGCCTGTGTGCCCACTCCATATGGATATTGCACAGAATAGTACTCTCCACTTCCGTATCTTTGTGCATATGGGTATCCATACTCCTCCTGGCCTGGGTATCCATATCCCTCATACATCACTGACGATGGCGTATTCTGAGGCACCGCATGCTTGTAAATGCTATTGTCCATTGGATACACGGCAAAATCTTCAGAAGCGCCTCTCCGCTGATGAGACGTGTACGGACAGTACTCTCCATACTTGCGATCATCAGGCATTCCCGAGTCGTGGTTGCTTTCTGAGTCCTTGGTGTTGTCAGTGTTTTCCTGATGGATCATTTTCTTCTGCATCAGCTTTTTTATCTTTGCCCTTCGGTTCTGGAACCAGACTTGAACACTCCTGGGCGTCATTCCCAGCTGCTCGCCAAGCTTCTTCCGCATGCCTGCATCAGGTCGTATGTTTGTTTCAAACGTCTGCTCAAGAATCTTGAGCTGTGTCTTTGTCGTCCTCTTCCGGTGCTTGACAAAGTATGGATCGAAGTATTGGTTTGACTCCCTTCCTGAGTTGCCGGAGTATGAATCAAAAAAGTTACCTCCGAATCCATCCATACCCCCGGGGTGCTTCCATTATTTTAACACCGGGAGATAAATTATGTTTGCTTTATGAAGTTAATTTGAAGGATAAAGACCTGCACATTTGCAACAAACGACGTGTGGATGAAAATAGGCCGGCATGCAGGTGTATGTATATGCTATGCATATAAGTTGTGTGTAGTGATCGCCATGTGGCATAATGCATAGGCAATGCAGCACAGCAGATTTGCTAAGGTTTGATGTGCACAATGTGGATTGCTAATAAAGCAGTGCTATGCACTTGATGCTTGCGGGCTTACTGCATGCAACCTACGCATTGCTATGCTGAGATGCTAGTTTATATGCCACAGGCAAACATGTACATTATTGAATGCAAAAGCCCTGAACAACATAACAAGATGCCAGAATGCAAACGCTTGATTGTCGGCATAACACCTTCCTTAGTGTTGCTCAATGATTTAAAGAGCGGTAATGTGCTTGATATCAGAAGAAGGTGTAAGCCTGGCAAGTGCTTGGATGTGAATGCATACGGAGTTTATGGAATGATTGCGATTTACAAGTGCATTTATCTTGTTCTTATTGTTGATAGAACAAATGTTGGAAAGATGTATGAGCACTTTGTATATGAGATTGAGAAAGTGGAGATTGTGCAAATACAGGGGCCAGAAGAAGAAGAGCATGGCCGTGAGATAATGAATATGAAAAGGATTCTTGAGAATTCTGGGATATACTACAGTGAGTATCCATTGCACAAAAGCATGAGTATCCAGAATAGTGATGATGACTTTCTTTTCAACCTCATGCCAAGAAAAGCCTTTATCGAGTACACCAAGGACAATAGAGACGATTGCATTGTGTTTTTGGTTTCGTGTATTCAAGGATTCTTTGGAGCAGGGGACTATCAGAGTATGTGCATTAGATTGGTCTCAAGAAGGTCACAGCGACGGATAGGCACAAGATACTTCAGCCGAGGAGCAGATGCACAAGGGCATGTGTCGAACTATGTTGAAACAGAGCAGTTTGTATACAATGGCGAGAAGACAACGTCTTATATGCAAGTACGAGGCTCTATTCCCCTTGGATGGCAGCACGAGATTGGATATAGATACAACCCAAAGATTGTTGTGAAGGACGAGAAGGTGTTTGCTGCAGCGGATGATGTTCTTGTGAAAAAGTACGGCGATGTGCTGTACCTGAACCTGATACGGCATTCTGGATATGAGGGGTTGCTGCATGATGCATACAAAAGGCAGCTTGCAGCAAATAGCAAGGAGGCAGTGCATTTCAACTTTTCTGAAGAAGAAAACGAGCTGACGGAAGTGTTCCGGCAAAAGATGATTCTGCTTGTCAATGGCACGCTCGGTAAGCAGGGATATTTTGACTCCACAGGGTTTCAGAAAGGAGTGATACGTACAAACTGCATTGATTGCTTGGATAGGACGAATGTATCGCAGTTTATTATTGGAAGTGCTGTTTTGGAAAGGCAGCTATCTGATTTTGAGTGTGAAGGCAAAGATGTGCTGCGAGAGATGTATAGTAATCTGTGGATGCAGAACGGGCACAGCCTGTCGCGCCAGTATGCAGGATCGTTGGCGCTGAAGAGCCACTTTCTGAATGGAAACACAAGAAAGATTGTGAGCAGGCTGTCTGATATGGCAAAGTCTTTGAGGAGATATATTGTAAACAGGTTCAGTGATGCAGGAAGGCATGCAGCATACCATATCATCACGAGTGATTGTAGCAGAGGTGGTACTGCAACACTGGACAGCACGATGATGAAGACCAAGCTGCCTCTTGGGATTCAGTTGGCAATTGCGGTGATTGCATTATTCTTATGGCTTAGTATTATTCTTTGGTGTATCTATACACAATACATGCCACATATAGATTTTGAGACGGTGCTGAGGGCAATATTATATGAACCTGAAGTATATTTTATTGGCGAAGAAGTGGCTGTAAATGACTGAAAAACAGAGCCCTGTGATGGAGACTGATCAGCAGCAGAAGGAGATAATTGGATGGGTTGGGCAGGTTCTTGGAGAGAACATGGAGGGAGCTGGGTTTCACGAGCTTTTCAAGGATGGAGTAAGACTCTGCAGGTTTCTGTGCAAGGTGGCGTCACTCAACATCAGGTACAAGCAGTCGAACCAGATATTTGTACAAAGAGAAAACATATGCTCGTTCATCAATGGACTGAAGACATTGAATATGAATGAATACGAGCTATTTCAGACGAACGACTTGTTTGAGGCAAAAGATCTGAGGCAGGTTGTTATCTGTATGTATGCACTGAGCAGGCAGCTACAGAAAGAAAAGAGATTTGAAGGCCCGTTTATTGGGCCGCACCTTGCCACCAAATCAAAGATTGAGTTTAGCCAGGAAATGCTTGACAGAAGCAAATATGCAATCCATCTGCAAATGGGATATTCAGACCCTGAGGTGTTTGGAGAGCCTAAAGCGGTGCCTAGCACCGTTGATGACCTGAAAACAGATGGCTCTTAATTAAATCTACAATATTTCGTTTGTATGTTTATTTAGTGCAGTGCCGATAGTCCAAAGAAACACCTAGTGGCTTTGCCGACTTATATAACACAAATACTACTTGGCCTCAATAATATATGCTCTTGCTCAAGCTCGATGCTTCTGCCCAAAAAAACATCTCTTCAAATACACATACTCTCCTTGCAGACCTGCAATGAAGCCTGATCTCGCCTTTCTTTATGTATGGCTTGCATATCAGTGAGTAGCACACTCCAGGCACAATCGGTGTTTCTGCAACACTCACATACACCTCTCCACAGAAATCCAATATTTTTGCATAGCCTCTACCTTCCTCAACACATACTCCCACAATCTCCACACACTGCACCACGCTTGTGCCATACATTACTGATCCAGAAGCATGCACAAAGCATTTCAATGCATCTGACATGATCTTCAAAGGAACCGTTACACATCTACTCATTCAAGCAAATGCTATATGGACATTATTGCATGAATATTTATTGTGCCATCAGGTACATTACAGACATTCAGAATCATATACTTAAAAATCTATAAGGCATTTAGCAAGCTCTACTTTCGATAACAATTACGCTTGATGCATGCACCTCAAACACTGCATCATGAGGATCATGTATAGGTGACTTCACTAGCTTGAGAGTTCTTCCATCATGATTTTTAATGCACATGTATTTTGTATTCACTATATATGCCCATTGCATCCCAAGCACTGGATTTTCTATACAAAAGTTTTCAACGACCCAATTGCCGTAATGGCATGTGACTGCCAAGACATCCACAAGGTACTTCTGATTCATCCTTTTGAGCCTGTTCATTATTGCAAACACCGACCTGCATCCACTGCCTCCTCGTTCTTCTGATGCAAGAAGATGGTCCAGGCTGTCTATTATCACCAGCTCGATGCCTCTTTCAACAATAAGCTGCTCGATGCAGTTCATCACAAACATCAGCAGTTGCGAAGTCGTCGAAACATGCTTAATGACTATCCGATCCATCTGCTCATGTGATGACCCGTGGTATCTACTTGTGCACAGTGCCTTTGTTGTGATGTAAATTGTTGGGCATGTCTTGGATTCTTCGATTGCAATCGCCGTTCTTCCAGTGCCGGGTGCTCCTGTGATTTCTGTCAACCCGTGGTATTCAAGAAGTCTGGGCATCCGGGTTTGTGATTACGCTTTGTCAAGTAGCCCTTTGTGTTTGTTGCAAACCCTGGCATTCCTGATGGTGGCCAATGACAGCAGTGCTACGCCATATGCAATCGTGTCCGTGGGACTGGCAAGCCAGATGGCCTTGGCCGTGTACGGCGCATGCGAGGGCATGGCCTCTTCTGGCGCAGCATCGATCCTGCACAGCCAGAATAGATCGATCCTTGGGCCTACATACTTTATCATGATAATGATCTCGACGATTTTCTTCAGCAGCTTTCTTGTTGCGCTGATTGTTGCAACAAACATAGATACCACGCTGGATGTATCGAAGAGCGTGTCGTATTTCTCAGCATGCATGATGGTTGGGATAACATCTGCAGTGTCTGGAAAGGTTTGTGCATGTCTTGGCAGGCGAGGATTCAGGATTCTGTCGGAAAAGCCATCTTTCCTTCCAATCCTGATCATACTGTTTGGGATGATAGAGTTTGTACTGATCATTGTGTTTTCATGTGCCTTGCTGATGGTGTATCAGCCATAAATATCATCATACTGAAAATAAACCAAATATTAAGCCATTACAAATAAAGCGTATACAAGACATACATGCACCTAATAACTATGTTTATTCTCAGAGTCTTATCAACTTTGCATCAAAGCTTGGCACTGTGCTGTTTTCCACTCACACACATCTACTCGATTTCATCAGCCAATGCTCTTTATTGTTATATTCATTAGATTATGATATTCTTAGTGTATCCTTTGCTTCTGGATCATCATGACCCTTTTCATTCCTGACATTCATGATGTAATCCCTGAGGAGCCTTACTTCTCCGTTGAATTTGTCTTGCCCTGCCCATGCCATCAGATGATAGAAAGACTTCTTTATACACTCTTCCTCAGCTATCCCAAGATCCTCACATATCAAGTAATACACCCTTAAACTTTCAAGATCAAACTTCTTCCTCTCTTTTGTGTTTGGCTCTGGAGGAAGAAACATATCTGTTTATTTACTCCGCTGCTCTTTAGGTTGCTCTAATAAACAAATGTCTGGCATTGTCCAGCTATCACATAGCCACACTCAAGGAAACACAAAAAATACTTTGCTCTTGTCTATTTTCTCCGCTTTCCAATTGTACAGATAATACCTCAACACTCCAGTTCCAATGCAGAATCCATACTCCTTCAGAAATTCTGCATTTCCCATTATGTCCAAGCAGTTGAACACATCACAGCCAAACTTCTCTGCAAAACACATCAGATCACTAACAATCATGCACTGATTCTCTCCTCCTCTATACCACATGTATGCACCACGGATTCTCTTTCCACTTTCTCTCTCAACCGTGTCAATCACAAAAAAACTTCCAAACTCGCTTATTCCATATACAGATTCATGAACATACGTGTATATCACATCTTGATGACTCCTCAAGTCTGTGATCTCCTCATCCATCTCGTCGTACAACGCATGCTTTGCTATCTCCTTCAGGTATAGCATTCTTACCGCTTCCATATCCTCGCTTCTTGCCAGTCTTGTTCCTTTGCGTGCCTCAAGCTTCTTCATAGGCACTATCCGATCGCAGAAGCCTGCTTCAACAAGCCTGTCAATTCTCAGCGGTCGGTGATAGTATCTTCCTACACAAACACACGAAAAAAGCTCGCTCCCTGCTGTAAATATCCCACGGTATATCCCATCTGCATTTGCTTGCCTCACTATTTCTCTGATGAGTAGAGGCACAATTCGCTTCCCACGGTGTTCCCTGCTCACACATAGTAGATTCACGCCAACCACATCGTTCCTCTCACCATTCACAACCAATCTATGCTTCCTTCCATAAATAAATCCTATCAGCACTCCGTTCTCCCTCAGCACAATCCGATATCTCTTGCTGCACTCGCTGCCAAACATCCATTCAAGAAACTTCCGTGAGTACACAAGGCTATGCCCTGAACACACGTCCTCGACATAGTTTCTTTCGAGAAACTCCGCTATCTCTGCAGCATCACCTTGGTTCTCAAATTGAAATCCATCAGGAAGAGCCTCCGCATCAGCAGTTGCTCCGCTTTGCTTGCTGATGGCTCCACTTGCTCCTCTGTCGTCAACAGGCTCATTGCTCCAAAACTCATGCCTCATCTTAGGGGCTGATACTCACACTCAACTTCCCATCAGCTCTGCAATCTCCCTTTCTTCCTCTTCGCTCATTTCAAATCCAATGTCATAAACACAATACATGTAGTCAAGCCCAATTGAAACAATCTTGCTTCCAACAGCAGCCACCCCAACAACATCCGCTTCATGCGAATATAAATGTTTGAATCCTGTGCCTGATCCACACTTGATTCCGCTCATGTCTGCAACAACACTCTTGCCCTCCGAAAAAAGATACCGGCTGTGCATCGACCTAATCCACTGCTGCCCTTTATATATCACCACATGCCGTTCTAGGCTGCTGTAATCCTGCCTCATGACTGTTCCGTCTGCAGATCCCGTGTATTCTCCACACATGCAGAAAATCGATGTTTCATGTGCACTCTTTCCAAGAATCATAATGCCGTCGCCGATTCGTGCAACAAACGGCACCCCCATTCCGCAATACACCGCTCCTTCAAAAACACTCATGCATAGTACCTTATGCTCTACTTTATATTCATGCACCACAGCCAGATCCAAATCCAATACATAAACAAAATTGCCAACCGAAGCATAAATCAGATCTTGATGCACCACCATGCACTTCACAATGTGCCTTCCAAAGTTAGCCTTCTTGCCATCCACTTCCACAACCCCAACATCTCCGTCCCAGTTTCCATAATACAACCGATCACCCGAGAATACAAGTGCAGATATAGGGCCTACAGATTGAAACACAGCAGTTGCAGAAGTGTATGGCGTCTTCAGTGCATACAAAACACCATGTGCATCTCCAATATAAACACACTCGCCAACAGGTACCACAACTAAAGGCTTGTTTGGAAGACGCACTCTTGCAGCTAGCATAACTAAAGGCCAAACTATACCAAGAGTTTAATCATGCTCAAGTACAAGCTCATACAAAGACAAAGAATATCATAGCAAGAAATTCACAATCTCACAATCATTCTGTATGGATGCTCATAACCAATACATCCAGTATCTGGAGCACATATACATGTGTATAGCATCACTACAGATTCATGTGCACATGTCACAGATACCCGTACGAAAAGTACTGATATGAATCGTAAAGACCTGTTCCCATGTTGTTAAAGCTCTTGCCTATCAAATACAGCACATGCTCGGCAATCCCACAATCATCCAGGCTCAGCTGGAATCGATCTTTAAAGTTGGCCAACTCCCTTGGATTGAAACACTCAGGGCTTGTGCCATCAAAAAGCATCTCCACCATTCTGAAGAGTCTATCGCTGTGCCGTCTCAATGCCAGATATCCCTGCAGAAACAGCTCTTTGAACTCATCCATCAGCCCCTCAAGAAGCTCAAGGTACTCCTTTGAAAACTTGAATGGCGCACCCTCCACACAGTAGAATCCTGGATGCCCACCCATTATGAATCCAAAGTCTACATGGACAATATGCCCTTCTCTATCAATCATGATGTTTCCATTGTGCCTGTCCTTTACCTGAAGGATATATGTTGCCAGCGAATATCCAACCAGAGAGCACAGGAAGTTCCTGACACAGTCTCTGTATCTTTCGCCACTCTGCCCGAAAGACTCCATGAAGTGACTTTTCAGAGAATAATTCTTGCCATCCAGCATCATCTTCTGTTTGATCTTATGGATTGACATTGCATCAACCACTGTCTCAATTACTCCACACCTGCTGTTCACAAGGTAGATTTGGTATCCATGAACCCATAAAGGAACATGCTCTTCACTCCAGATCGTTTTCATCTCAAGAAGAACCTGATATGCAAGCAGCTCTTGTTTAAGAGACTCGCCGGTCTTGACTATGACAGACTGTGCATTCCATCCTTTTGCATGATGAAACTGTGATGTTCGCTTCAGTTCGGCTGTTTTCAGCATCCAGCTGCTATGATACTTGTATACCGATGGATCGTGATGAGAGCTTTGGGAATCATCGACCATATTGCTACAGACAGCCTGAGCATCTTCTTCATGCCCCTGTGTGCCCTGTGAAAGATGCTCTGCAGAGTATGACCTCTTTTCCATCATGAATATTCCACGGCCTGCTAATGGCTTCGGAAGCTTTATGCCTACATTTGAATACTCTTGGTGTGTGCTGGCATCCGGGCGTCTGTATTGGTGCAGATCAGTACCACTATTGCTGTGCATATCATCTTGTTTTGCATGCTCTGCATCCATGCCATGGCTGCTTGAATGCAATGTCTTTTCATGTCTTTCAGTCATTAGAATTCTTTCAATCGATACCAGTATGTTTTCCCTGACTACGTTTATTTCACCAAGAGATGAAAGTCTGTCGACGGCATCAAGCTGCTGCTTGAGGAACTGGATATCCTTGCTGCTTTCTCTACCACCGCACGGCCGGACAATCTGTGCCGATGTTTCAAAAACAACAAGAAATGGCGAGCTTTCCGCAGAGTCAAGTAGAAACGACTCCTCGATCCTTGCAGTCAACACATGCCTTGTAGTATCCACTGGCAGAAAAACCCTTGCAGGAAGATTATGGTTCAATAGCCTGATCTCCATTTCTAGTCCGCGTTTCCGCAGGTATCTTGGAAGCTTCATCAGCCTGTCTGGAATCTCAGCCAGCGACTGTATAAACAATATGTTTGACTCCAATCTGTTCTTGCTGAATGCATGCCCAGAGCCTAAATCCCTTATTTGGTTGATGCTGCATGCATTCTTGACCTGGATGAAGGCATCTTCGTATTCATGAACTTTTTTAAATAGTCTTGGATCAACAAACCACGACACAGCCTTTGCAAAGAACAAGAACATGCCTTTGAGTGGAGGATATCCCTTTTGTGCTCTGGGCATGCATACTGTCCTGTTTAGCTTTTTTGTGTATCTGTACTGCAGCTCAAGAATAAATGTGTTCCTACATGCACGAACTCTATTGTTATCAAGCAGATCACATATCATGAAATAGCAGAACACTGATTTGGTGTTGTTCTGTTCAAGGGCACACCTGAGGTGGAAGTAGAGTGCACATGAAAACTCATTGCTTCTGGATGCCCACTGCCTCAGCAGCTTGCTCATTGGCCAGCTGATCTCATCACTGGATGCATTTAGGAAGACATGCATCAGCTGTGGAAGAAGATGCACCGGAGGCTTGCAGTACCTGATTCTATTGCATATGTAATGCTGAGCACCTACTGACGTTGCCTTGTGCATGTATGACAATGCAAGGCCAATATCAGTGCATGCGAATGGAAGTAGAGTGCTTTCGGATGCATCCTTCGAATTCATTAGCATATGCAGGGCAAGGATGCAGAGGTGTGTTTGTGGCCTTGGCTGCATGATGGGCAAATATCATTAATAGCTGAATTAGCTCAGTGGGAGAGCACCAGACTGAAGATCTGGGTGTCCTGGGTTCGATCCCCAGATTCAGCATCTGTTTTGCCATTACACATGCTAGCGCATCAACGCTGTATTTGTAAACACAGGCACACATGGCTTAGATGCACATGATATGATATGCCAATGCACACATACATAAAATAGCAGTTCTCAGACACTACAAACTTGCAATCCATGCTGCTTGAACATAGATGCTTCGTTTGAACAAAACATCCTTTTGCTTGCATCCCATGGATCACACTGCGTGCACTGCTGCCATACAATCCGACTTCTGCAGAACCATTTCTGAAATAACGGCATTGATTACAAGAAATAGTCAGCATTTGCTGCTCTGCGGAGTGGATCCAAAGATCATATCGACCGTTACTGAACTAATAGAGACACATGCAACTAGTGTTGGCAGAGACACTGTCCACATTCATTCTACATCGCATAAGGACCAGAACCCACAGGGAAAGGTTTTTTTCATTCGCATTTCACACTGCACAACCACATCTATACAATCGCTGGTGTATTACTATCTACACAAGTCAAGAACATCCGAATGCTGCCTGATACTCATCTCGGATTCATGCACAGCACTCGATGCATTTGAAAGACGCGTAAAATCAAGATTTAATCACAGAGTGTTTTTCCTTGGGTTTCTTTGCCTCGAATCATACACACGTCTGTACTTCAATGCAATGGGAAAACACGTTTCATCCACAGAAGAGCTCACAGATCATGAAAAGAATTCGGTAGCCAGGTTGCATCACACAGATCCAAGCATGGCTACTCTTGAGAAGACCATCCTCGCTCACAAATACAGCATCCCAGAGTACTCAATCGAAACACTCTACAATCTGCTCGACTCTGTTCACATCACACTTATTACAATAGCAACAAAAAAACGAATAAAATACACCAACTGTGTTTCTGAGTTCAAGGCATTTACTTCAGGTGCCAACGAGCTGAAGAAAACCAACCCGATCGAAATCGTCTTCTGCTTCTTGGACCTAATCAACTCAGGTATCATAGGCATCGATGGAGATCTACTGATTGATGTAAACTGCTTCAAAAGATACGTCATCAACAACAGACAGGTATATCTCAAAGCACTGCTACACAAAAACATCCCATAGCAATGCATTGCTGATCATTTGTCTTGTGCAAGAAATAAATCCAGCCTTCCTTGTGTTCCTTTTCCCTTCGTGGCAAGCAGTTTATCAACCGCTCGGTTTACCCTAACCAAATCAAATCCTCTTTGATTAACAAGAAACTCAGTTATTCCTTCCCTGTCTACTGCATCCCAATTAATGCTATACCTGCTTGCTTCTCCAGCACCTGCAAGATCTTCAAACATCCTCCTTGCCTCTTTGTATCCCCAATCCTTACAAACATCAAGTCTCTCGTTCTCAACGATCTTTTCAATGCTTCTGTGCTCTCGTATCAGCGCCAATGCTCTCTTTGGACCAACTCCTCTTATCCCTTCACAGTAGTCGCATCCCAGTAGTATGCACAGGTCGATAAACTCCTTCTTCTCAAGTGACAGCTCCTTCATCAGCAGCTCAAGATTGTACTCAGTAACCATGTGTCTCTTTGCATTCGATCCAAAAAAGTTTCTCAAAAGCACAGGCGCTCCAAACGTTAGTCCGTCCATGTCTTCTGTGGCAACCCCATACACAGCCTCTTTCTTGCATAGAAACGCACAATGTGCTTCTGCCTCACTAGGCGCATTCTCAAAAGGCATCCCCATCAGGCTCAGTAGCCTCTTGCATTCATCAACATGCACCGAACTCACCTTTGCCTTCCGCTTGGAGTGCATATCCATCTTTTCCTTGTCGCCTGCCTCCTCTGCCTCCTTATAATCCTTGTCTGCTGCAAGCCTTCGCTCACTCCTCTTCTCCAGCTCCCTCATCTTGAGTGCTGGAGGCACTCCATCAAACACATATACCGGAAGAATCCCAAGCTCCACCATCTTGACAGTCCTGTAAAACATCCCAACCAGGTGCGATGTAGCTGCATCCCCAACCCCTAGCATTGCTCCCTCAGAACGAACAGCTATCAAAAACTGATACAGCGACATCGATGCATCGACCGCAACACTCTTAGACGAGTAGTACGACAACGGCCTCTCTCTGATCCCTTTCGTACAGTTCTCCTTCAACAACTTCGACAACTGCCTTATCCCCATTCAAACAAACATTTTATTCAACAAATATAACAGAAAACTCATCGGCCATTATATTCCTACCATTCAAGCTCTCCTTGAGCAGAGCTAAACACAAAATCTATATTCCCTATGCTTATAAACCCTTGCTTGAACACACACTTCCATTTCCCCTTCGACATGCACACCTTGACATATAAGCATATCATATAGTTTCCAGTATTCCCACTCCTTCCTATAATCTCAGAGTCATCGCTAGGCATATCCTCCTCTCCATGCTCCTTGTCTCCAAGATCCGCGTCCCGTCCGTGCCTGCCTTCCGTCAGCACATCGTTCGATCTCTCAGAAAACTCCTTGTACTCCCGAAATCGCTGCCCATACATCTCCCTCCCACCGTTTCCTGTCCAGTCGTTTTGCGTGCATTCAATCAGCCTCTCTCTCCAATCATTCCGAAGATCATATATCGAAGCCTTGCTCATGCTATCTACCTCCTCATCCTGCTCAAGCCTGGAAACAACTTCGTTGATTATGTCCTCGTAGATCTTCAACATAGGCCGCTTTAAGGGTTACTTTTTTCATGCTTTATTCCTCTCCGTCCTTGCTCTTGCTGTCTGCTGCTCTGGCCTCCGCTCTGGCTCTCTTTATCGTGTGGCTTGCTCATCAAATCGATGCATGTTAAATATTCGGGTCCAACAAAAATACCCTGCTCCAGTCTCCCTCATCAGCATATTCATGAATGCAGCAAGGCCAAGAAGAATCTTCAAAGAACTCATAAGAATGCTACTTCTGGCTGCATGTGCATATGGCTCACTCGATCGTGCACTTCCAGAAGGATTCAGAAACATTGTATATGCAACCCCAGGCGCACGGTTCATCTATCTGACAAACATCTCTCTGTATCTTACTATAGCTTCAGTGGTGCTTGGGTATGCCATCAGAGCATTGAAGACAACATCTGCACACATATGTCTTCTTTACAAAGACATGCTTGCTGTGTCATTCTCAATAGAGGGTGTGGTCACATCCATGTTTTGGACACTCTGTGCAATCAATCCCATGCTTTTGCGAAGCAAAGCCTTGCTTTCAAAAGAGCGGTCCATCAGCCTGACAACGGACATCTGCCAGCATTTGCTTCCGTTTGTCCTGTTGCTTGTGGAGCAGACAGGCACGGTGCTCGTAAAGCGAAGAGGATGTATGTATGCTATATTTGCACTCGGAACCATCTATCTTGCAGGCATTTGGCTGTACTCAGCAGTCTATGGTGTGTGGGCATATCCAATATTCAGGAAAAGCAGCACTGTAGGCAGGATACTACTGGTGTCGATTGGATGCATGCTCGGTGGAATGTTCTACACGTGCCTTGTGAAAATCAACAGGTTCATGCACAAAATAAGTTTATTAAAATAATGCAATGCATCAGAAAAGTTGTTGCTATGCGATACACATCAGTATAGAAGGCCCGTTTTGAATCTATAGATTGAATTGAACTTGCCTGGGCTTTGAGCTGCATCCGTACCTGAAGCAAACAGACTGCACAACTTGATTGGTGCTGCTTTACGTTATATACCAAACCAATATGTTTGGCATGGTATCAAAACGGTACTTCCAAATGTTGACTGAAATACTCAAAGGCGTGCTTCTGCTTCTCTGTGTGTATGGCGCATCAGACTACTCGCAGACAAAGGAAAGCATCGATCTGTCGAATAGAATTGCCGGCGGAAACCACGTGTACCTTACATACATCAGCCTTTACATGACGATCATCACGCTGTTCCTCAGCTACCTAGTCAAGCACTTCGGATTCTCAAGCATCAATGGCATATATAGAGATGCACTTGCAATCACGCTGCCCATCGAAGCACTTGTAACATCAGTGTTCTGGACTCTCAACTCCATAGACCCCACACTACTAAAGGACAGAGACCTGTACCTGGCAGGCATCAGGACACCATTCATAAGCGAGCTTTCCATTCATCTTGTCCCAATGATCTTGCTTCTTGCAGACCAGTTTGGCGCTGAAATCAAACACAAGAACCATCATTACCACGCACTAATCATTATTCCACTTGCATATCTGTTTGTTATTCATTATGTTTACTGGGCAAACAACTACTGGATCTATCCGTTCTTAGGATGCATTCCAGCCGTCATGCGCATCGGATTGACTCTAGTATTAATTGTTTTGATCCTCATATACTACAATATCTTCCAGGCAATCTCAAAACTCCTCATCAAAGGTATTCCTGAACACTCAAAACACTCTCTGCCTCACACACAATACTCCGAAGACTCAAAGAATAAATAAACTCCTTTATTCTTCTATTCATCAAGATAGCTTCTAAGATCATTGTATGCTGCTTGGTCAAATGTCTTGCACTCATTCAGCACCTCATTAATCCTATCTGGATTCGCCTTCACCTCCTTGATATACTTGGCCTTCACATGCTTCCTATCCTTATTCGGAAACAGCGAGCTTATCAACGAAAACTCAATCCCGCATATCTCCAACGCCTTGTAGAACAGCTCTATCTCCTTCTTGCTCCATCTCAACGCTCCTTTCCTCTTGCTAAACGTTGAAGACGTCACTATCCTGTCATCCTCCATCACCTCCATATCAGCATTCCTGTGTGTGTTAACGTACATGCTTGCCTCGTTCACAACTATCTCTCCATTTCTAATCGTCAAGACCTCCTCAGGCCCCTGGTCATCCTTGCACTTGCTTGCTTTTGGCGCATTCTTCCTCTTTCTTCGATCCTTCCTGAAGTTCGAGTTGTCAAGAAAGTGTCTTAGCTTCTGCTCCATTTACAGGGCATATTTCCGTTGAAATTATCTTGCCTTTTCTTGCACCCTCTACTTTCACACATCCACTCAGGATCATCCATCATCCATCATCTACCATCCTGATTGCTTTCGAAATCATCATATACTCCAGATCATCCCCCAGCACCTTCTCAATCTCTTCGCTCAGCACCATCATCTCAATCTCCCTTCCTTCCTTCCTTCGTTTAAGTATTCCATACTCAACAAGCTTCGCCACTACGTCCTCAAATCTAAAATAGTCAATCGTTTCCATCTTTGCCCGCCTGTAAAACCCTTCCACCTCCTCATAGACCTCCAGAACCCTCTTTCCACCCATTCCTACGCTCATCAGTCTCAGCACAACCTTCGCATCAAACCTCATCTCTTGCAGGTATCTCGCATACATCGGCGTATACATCCTCTTCATTGCCTCATTCGCATCAACTACTCCTGCATCTCCTTCGTTATCCTCCTCAATCCTGCTCATCACGTCCTGAACCCTGCGTACATCCCCACTCACCGCACCTATCCTCTTCGAAACAAGCTCAATGCACTTCTTGTCCATCTCCCTGGCCCCAACTATCCTTGCAAGCTGCTCAGAGGTATATGGCGCAAAGTTCACTCTCAGCCTCCCCATCCTGCTGCACACCTTTGGCTCAAACATCCTCTCAGGAAGATCCATGGTGTTGGATATCAAAAACATCGCAAGCTTCCCTCGCTCAGCACAGGACATCTCAAACAAATTGTACAGTATCCTTTGGCTGCGCCCTACAAGCACATCAACCTCATCGATCACCGCCACGTGCCACTCCTCACACACTTCCAAATGCTTTCTCAAGTCCGATGCAAGCACAACTTTCTCGTGCCGAGTGCATGCCATTTCCTTTGCAATCATCCTGAATACATCACTCTTGTTCCTAAATCCCATCACATTAACAAAAGCATGCTCAACCTTCCGATTATCAAGCAGCCTAGATAATGTGTAAGTCTTCCCTGAGCCAGGAACTCCACTGACATAAACCGCTCCTCCTCTTCCAGCACTCAGAAACATGTCCAAGTATTTTTCAAGCTTCAGATACTCCTCCGCTCTGCACTCAACCACCATCCAGGAGTTGTACACGGCCAATTTATTCTCTTCAGCCACACATCTCTTTCCATGTCATCTGTATTTGTACACCTCACATATTTCTCTCCAGCTGTACAGCTCAAACCTCTTATTCATCGTTCCATTGCATTCTTCAAAAAAATCATCAAGATCCAGCCTTCCGCTCTTCTTGTATCTGCATATTGCATCATAGAGCTTTTCAAATACCCCATGCCCATTCATCCTTTCCCTAACACTTTCAAACACCTTTACAAACTCTCCAAGCCTGCGGAAATACACAAGACCATTCATCCATCCACACAGTAGCTCAATCCTCATCTCCTTACTAACACATGTTAGCCGCATAACATCCAGAAGCCCATCGAAACTCCTCCTGTCCATGCATCTCTGTATACAGCACTTCAGCAGAGATAGGTAAAGCTTCTCACAATCAACATCCAACATACTATGGAGCACTTCATCCTTCTCAGCAGTCTCTACTCCAATCAAAACTTCACATATCTTTTCATAATACACATCCTGATCAAGATGCTTTCCAACTCCTGCCTTTTTACAGTTACCAACTCTATCCATCACATTTGCAATCACATTCTGATGCATGTATGGCCCAACCACATCAAGATACGCACACATCTTGCCATCAGGTATTTGCATTATTTCCTTCTCGATGTCTTCCACTATACCCTCGCCCATGTACTGTATTCTGTGTACAAGTACCTGCATTCTATACTCTGCACAATCATCGCCAACAAAAAATCGCTTAAACCTTGGAAAAGCCTTCATAAATGACAGCTTCAGCAGGTAGTTTCTGAAAACAATCCTTCGCCTGCACAGCATCCTATACACCATCCTTTCTATCTCATCACACTCATCAACTGCCATCTTGGCAAGTAGCTTCCTCACATCTGCCGATCTGTAAAGCCTTCTTCTATATACATGCAAAATCATCTCCAGTGTCTCTGCACACACATACTCATGCATGTTCAGCCCATCACTGGTCGATAGTTTGCTCAACATACTGCAAACACCTACTTGACTGTCAATTAGGTTCCTCCTTATGCAATCCATATCTGTTTCTGTGCATTTTTTACAACTATTGCACAGGCATGCTCCTGCACTCCATTCTGCAATCTGCTTGGTCTTCTTGGTGCCCAATGTGTTTTTTCGTATTTGTTCATTTCTCATCGGCAGCGGGATGTTTTTTCAGTGCTTAATCACACGTGCATTTGTTTGCAGCGCCCTTGCATAGGTTTACACAACGAGGCAGTAGCAGCTCCAGCATAAAAACAAAAATGGGCAGGGGTAGCAATGACTTCCAGGCAGTACGAAGAGATGCTGCAGAGAGCGAATCTGAGCGACATGGCCGAAAGATACGACGACATGGCGAGCGAAATGAGGCTTGCTGTGGCGTTGGCACACGAGAACAAGCATGTGCTGAATGTAAACGCAAGGAACCTGTTTTCTGTGGCATACAAAAACTTGGTAAGCTCAAGACGATCGAGCTGGAGGATTCTGTGCTCTGAAAAGCAAAAGGTAGAAGGCAAAGGGTCAGAGGCTGTGAATGTAATTGAGGAGAAAATACGAATGGTTGAAAATGAACTGTTGAGGTTCTGCGACGAGGTTTTAGACACAATCTCTACATACATCCTGAGCCTTGACGATGCAAAGAGAAATACTGAGTACTGTATATTTTTCATGAAGATGAGGGGAGATTACTACAGATACAAGGCAGAAGTCTTAGGCGGGTCTGAGCACAAGGATGTGTCCAAGTGTGCAGCAGAGTCATATGAAGAGGCAACAAAGAAGGCAAAGCCTCTGCCGCCCACAAACCCCATAAAGCTGGGGCTTGCACTCAACTACTCTGTGTTTCACTATGAAATCCTGAACGATTCTGAAAAAGCATGCCTGATTGCAAAGGGCGCTTTTGATGACGCAATCAAAGAGCTGGATGCATTGTCTGAAGAGCATTATCGGGACTCCACATTGATAATGCAGCTTCTGAGAGACAATTTGACGCTCTGGGCATCACGCGAGGAGTCTGGAGCAATGGGAGACGAGGGTGCAAAAGGAGAACCTGACGAATAATAAATAAGTTAATGTTCCAATTGTGCTTATTTGTATCTGTACATTCTGTTTTAATGTGCTGTTCAAGGTGCCCAATTGAAAACGTAGCACCTGTTGTTCCTTAGGGCATACAGAGCACCCTTTTGAGGTATATATCTTGAGGAAAGTCATAAGGGATGCAAGCAAGCAAGGTTGGAGATGGGCATCCGATCGAAGAGTCAGAGTCATGTGCAGACTCAAAACACATGTCTGCCCCGGATATTGAGCGAATAAAGCCGCCGTTCCTGCCATGGATTCCTGCATATCTGGCTGGAACAGTTTGCACAGGATTGCTTACGTATGTGTTTCATACGCATATAGCATCTAAAATACCTCTTGATAGCTATCCAGACCTCTCTGCGGTGATTTCGAGGTTTATCTTTTGTGCTCTGTTTGGAAGCATGGTGTTTTATCTTATTAGGCTTGTGCTGGCGTGTCTTGCAATGGCAATGAAGAGGTCCGATCCAAAACGAGAATTCATGCAAATAACACTCATAAAACACGGAATGTTCATGAGCTTTGTGGCAACCCTGTTTGTGCTTTCGTTTGTTGTAGATGCATACAACAAGAGGATAAACGCAACTACACTTCTAAATGTATCCAGCGATGCTGTACCTTTGCTCAAGGAAATCGTAGGCATAAGCGTAGAAGACAACGAGCTGAAACAGACGCTCATATCTGAAGAGAAAGCAAATGGCGATCAGAAATCTCCAAAGACACTGACAATGTTTATTACTGATGACTTGGCAAAAATTTTACTTGCAAGCTCGGCATTCCTTGCCGTTCTTCTTGCTAAGGAAATCCTGATGAATGGCCTGAAGTACAAGATGCTGTTCAAAAACTACGAGATCAGGATCAGTAAGAATGATGAGGACATAAAAATCTTGGAGCAGCTGAATAGAGCAACAGGCAAGCAGATGATTAAAGATGCTGAAGAGTGGGCAGATGAGATCTTCAAGCTGATTTATCCAGAAAGCAACGCGGTGGATCTGCAGACACTCGAGTACTTCTTTGGCACCGACGATGCAAAGACAATATTTAACAGGTTCAGCATCTATCCACATGGAAAACTGACAAGGGAGAGCTTTTCCCTGGTGTACCAAGGAATCATCAACGAGGAGAAGAGAATAAGCCGGGGAATAATACAGAAGGCTTCGATAATTAAGAAGCTGAATCTTGTGCTATCTGCAATACTCATACCTGTTGGCATGCTGGCTGCGATGACAATCCTGGAAAATACAAATTCATTGGCCAGATCGCTTCCTGTGCAGTTCAGCACCGTTATTTCGCTCAACTTTATCTTTGCACCTATAATTGCTGATATGTTCAAGTCGCTTGTCTTTGTGTTTCTTGTTGAGGTATTTGATATTGGAGACAAGGTGTTCATAGAGGGTGTCTTGCATGAGGTGCACGACATGGGCTTGCTGTACACTTCGTTTGTTGTGGACAAGAAGATCACTGTGATTCCAAACTCAAAGTTCATGGACAAGACCATTGTGAATCTCAGAGAGGCCAAGACGTCCCAGAAGACGTTTGAGTTTACATTCATGAACTCACCCGATCTCAAGGAAAAGATAATCAAGCTGAAGGATGAAATCAAGAAGGAGGTTGAGTCGGATTCAAATGCATACACGGGCAAGTTTAATATCTGTGAATATGCTCTCAAGAAAAGCCTGACTATTGGAATGAAGATAAATGTTGTCTTCAGGGTCCAGAACCAGAACATCAAGGCATTAAGGGCAAGGGAAGATGCATTCGTAATAGCACTTTATGGAATAGTTGGAAGCATTGGGCTTCTACTTGAGTAGCTCATGGTAGATAGAGCATAATAGTATAGCGCTCAAATCATCAATAAACACATAGATTCAATTCATGTTGGCTGGTTAAATGTGTTACTGTAGTATTATCTCTTCATGCACTTGTATTAGCATTTGCCATCATTCACGGCTTACTTACATTTATCGCTGTGCTTGTCCATGCATCGATGCGTGCCGACCAAGCAGCTAAAGCCTATCCGAAAACGGAAGTCCAATATCTACTTTACTGTGTATCGCATCACTAAGCCCTCCATGATTGGCATTGTCTTCTTTTTGGCACTCTCCATGCACACATTGCTCATCAGGTACAATATGTAGATGGACTCTGCCCTTCTTTACCAAGTCATCCAGCATATTGTTCAGTTTGTCTTGATTATACTCAATCTCCTTTGGTATTATGCACGATCCGTCTTTATTGTATCCATCAATGCACCTGCGATTGCCGTCCTTTCCTTTGGCATGGTTATCTCTTACTCCACTGCCTGCTTGTGTGCTTGCTATCCTGTCTGTGCTTAGCATTACTGTCGGTCTAATCAGCTTATTGCCTTTATTTCCATTAGTATTCGCATTATTCGTGCTGGTTTGCTTTTTGTCTGCATCCCTCCATCCTTCGTCGTCGTTTAGATCTCGTTCATATGCTCTTTGCTCCGGCAGGCTTAGGCTTGCTCTTTTGCTTGGAGACATCGTTGTGGCTTCATCCCAATGCTGAGGCAAGTATACCGTTGTAGTTGATGTAGGCTCCGACTTTGTTGTTGTAACTGTTAGTGTGTGCTCAAATGGCAAGTCCGTATTCCATGGGCTTTTCTGCATCGCCGGCTCTTCATCAGGCAAGCTTTTGCGATCAATCATAGGCACTTGTGGCAGATGCTCCCTGCCATCTCCAATGCCCTTGCTGTGCTGATGCTGCACATCGGTTGGATTATACAGTGAGCTTTGCTTTCTATCTGTCAGGCTATCGCCTTCATCTGCTTGCTTGATGAGCTGAATCAGCGATTGTATTGCTGGAGCCATTGTTGAGCCTTCCGGATTCTTGAACAGAAGCGTAACAACAGATCCCGTCGATGTGTGCAACCGAATTGTTTTTGGTCTGCCTTTATCTGCATCTGCATTTTGGTTGTTGGCATCTCTGTTATGCCTATTGCCTAGCTTGTGCTTTTCACTGTCTTTTGGCATTCCCTCTATCTTAGATTGCTCTTCATCATTGCTTTCAGGAATCAGGTAGTCTCCAAAGCTCAACTGCTTACGCTTTGCCTGCTTTATTCTATCTCTTGCCGCTTTTGTGCTTGCTGCTGCACCAGGTGCCTGCCTATTGTAGTGCGATGCATTCCATCCAATCAGTCTTGCATTGTCATTCCATTCTCCACCCTGTGTGCTTCTGTGCAATGGCCCTTCCCCAACTTTATCTTGCATTCTTTCTTGCTCTGCATGCATATCTTTTATCGAAATATACTCAGTGCCAAATTCTTGGTCGTCCTTACAATCTATGGGCTTGATAACCATCAGGTATCCTTCATCACCAGCCTGGGTGCTTTCCACTCGCTTGCCATCACTTGCTTGTCTATATCTTGCGCTGTCTATGCCGTCATCATCACCGATGCGATTGCTTCGGCCCTCTTCATCAGGCCGATTGGTATATGCAGCCTCACTTCTGATTCGCATCTTTGCAATCTCAGCATTGCTGACATCCTTGCCAAACACATGCACCCAGTATCTGTTGCCATCCTTGCCAACACACGTGGCAATTCCTGAGTATGCATAATCTCCAAGAATGTTGTTTCTGTGCTCTTCAGAATCCATCCACAGCTTTGCTACCTCTGTATAGTCATCGTCCTCTTGCTTTGCAATGTTTTCTCCAACATTCAGCCCAACAAACTTAAACCTCTTCAGCCTGCCTGCAAGCGTCTTTCCATCCCCATCAGGCCCTTCATGCGTCAAAACCCCTCTTGTGCACATGTGTGTCGCCTGCATCTTCGCTGCATCGTGCAAAGAAGACAGCTCGTGTAACTCCTCCATCTTATGCCTCGCCCGAAACTTGTTGACATATCCAAGCATGTCCTTCTCAAGCACAGCAGCTACACTTCCAAAAAAAATCCATCTTACTATCATCCTCCGGAATCGCAAACCTTCTCCGTTTATAACAAAACCAAAACATCTCAAAACAGACCCAAAACAAACATTCGCATCAAATGTACCCGATTGTGAACCTTTATGCCAGCAGGCCAAAGGGAGCAAATCGGCACTTTGGAACCCGTGGTATTACCCACAAGATACAGGGGCATCCTCATCACATTCTTTTGTCTCTGCAATACACAATAATACAATATTTATTCAAGCCCTGTTCTTCATTCCAGTGTATATCCATTCATACACACTCCTAAAGAACTTCCTGTCGCTACTCAACGGCGTTATGGTCAAATAGTACTCGTTAAGCAAAACATTAAAATACATCGAAACCTTGAAATAGCATTCCAGGCCGTCTTGCCTTACAGAGCAGAGATAGCTTTTCTCAGTAGCCTCATATGCAATTCCATTTATGTTGAATATATCAAGCAGGATCTTCTTGACAGCATTCTGGCTGCCTATATGCTTGACTCTTATTCCCTTGAAAAACCCCTTGAGATATGTCTGCCTGATCCTTGGATATCCTGCTTCCTTGCACTTACTGCCATGGCTGCTGCACAAAGACTCTTGGTTTGGTGCCAGAAAATGTGCAGTCTTTCCACGCTCACAATACACTTCGCCCTCACTATAAAGCGTAAATCTCACGAACTCGTGTATGTCTTCAAGTTGGCCGTCGCTTTTCCATTCGCCTTCATCGTCGTCCAGATTCTCTTCTGTACCTCGAAGGCTTTCGCAGGCAAGATAGTACAGTGAAATCACCGGCCTTCGCGACCAATATGCCTGCTCCAGTGTTCTTACATCCTCCTGGCATATCCTGTGAAATCTTCGCACTTCTCTCTCCATGTTTGGAAACTGGAAGCGCACTGCCCTCGATACCCTCCTGATGCACAGCTCGTTGATCTTCATCACCGGGCATCTTATTGGCACATAGCTGTTTATCTTGCCCTTCTTTCCACCGTTCACCCACTTGCTTGCAATTATCTGCTCAAGGCCCAGCCTAGACGACGGCTGAGCAAGAATCATGCCCCGGATTAGCTCAGCGGCATCCCTCGATATCGTCTTGCAGAACGAAAAATCCGCCTGCTTGATCTTCTCCTGCAGCCCTTGCACATTCTCGTCGTCAAATGGCACACACCCACACAAAAGAACATACAAGACCACGCCCAAGCTCCACACATCAATCTCAGGTCCGCAGTATCTCTGCCCAAACAGAAGCTCCGGTGCTGCAAAGTACAGGCTTCCACAGAATGTATTCAACAGCATCTTGTTGTCGTAGAAGTTCGAAAGCCCAAAGTCAATCAGCTTGACATTGTCGTCCTCGTCAATCAGCACGTTCTCTATCTTCAGGTCTCTGTGCACAATCGAGTTTCTGTGGATGTATTCAATGGCAGAAAGCAGCTGCCGGAAGTACTTCTGTGCGTCCTGCTCGCTCAACGGGCCTTCATTGAGTACAATGTCGTACAGCTGACGGCCATTCACATACTCAAATATCAAAAAATAGTGTGTTGGACTGTACAGAAAGTTCTTCAGCTTGACAATATGCGGATGGCTTAGGACAGACGAAATGACCACCTCGCGGAATATCCTCTGGTCACATCTTATTTCTGCCTCGCTCTCGTTTCCATCAGCAATCCTTCTTGGCACAATTTTTATTGCAACCTTCTCGCCGTTGCGGATGTCGCATCCTAGCACAACCTTGCTGCTGCTTCCTGTCCCAAGCTGCTTAACAAATCTGTAGTTTCCTATCCATCTGTTTTCGATGTAGTCGAAGTCTCCTATCATCCCCTTCATGTCCTGTCCGACAGATGGGCTGCTTGGCACCCGTGCATCAATAAAGCTGCTTATTTTGTCATCTGCTCTAATTTCATCCAAGCTGACATAGCTCCACTGCGACTCTTCCTCGCCATCCATAGCTGCTGCATGCATGCACTATTTATGAGCAAACAGAGTGCGATTGGATCTTTGCATCTGGCCGTCGAATACAAGCCCACGCCTTATTCCATTTGTGCATCCTTTTCCAATACATCCAATCATGCAGTAGATGCTCACTAGCAAATCCCGACTGCAATCAACTGTACACTTTAATCAAATGGTTTATTAATTCAAACGTTGCTCAACTAGCCAGTCCATGCTTACTCTGCAGACATCGTATTTAGTACATGATTACTAGCCGGTACATGCATGCACACCACATTCTTTGTGCCATGCTCCATGAATCAGTCGCTTCTCTGCATATCATCCATTGCAACTGGTTGCTCAGAATCCTTCACTTCTTTATCCTTCGCCCCTATTGCCATGCATTCATCTGCAGTTATGCATTTCATCTCATTTCTTGTTGCCTTATCAGCAAGAAACTTGTCAAACGACGATTCCATGCTTGACTTCTCGGCTGCACATTTGGTTTGCTCGCTTTCCACACCGCCCATCTGTGAATCAACAAACGGTGTTCGTAAATTGCTTATCTCCGCCTGGAACAAGTCCTCCCCAATACCTGCATCAGGCACTTCTATCTGAGGCTCAATAAGAAAGTTGTATTCAAACCAATTGTCACCAGCTCCGCTCATGTATGACTCCCCAGATGACTCCTCTTCGAATCGCTCTTTTGCATTCCATGCACTTCTTGCTGCATTACGTATCTTGCTGCTTTCAATAACGCAGTTTTTGTATTTTTGCATCACTATGTCTTTTGCACATTTGCACCTTGCATAGTCCGTGTGTATCTTCTTGAACAGCTGTTGGTGTGTGGGATGTGTTCCACCAATCGGCTGCTGCACTTGGAAACTCGTCCTGGTTGAGCGCCCTCCGTTGCATTTCGAAAACTCATCAAGACATTTCTTGAATGCTTCAACCATTCTCGGCTTGCTTTGCACATGCTTAGACTCCTGTGCCACGCTGTTTTTTTTTACGGCAAACACCGGTGCCGGCTCGTCATCAACAACAACTGGCCTCATCACATTTTCATATACCACTCCATCGTTTCGATTACTCTTATTACATATATCATACATGCAGTTGTCTGGCTCATTTATTCTTTTCATGCTTTGCTTTAACAGCTCGCGCCTTATTCTCTCTATCGCTTCATTGGCTTGGCCATTGTGATTGCTGGAAGCCATGTCAACTGCAGAAGCTGTACATAACTCTGCAACCGAATCTTCCTGCATGCTCTCTTCAATGAACTTTCGCACAATACTTCCTTTTTTTCGCCGCCTTTCAAGCCTCTTGACTACCTCCATCATCTTGTGCTCCCGATACCCAATCTCCCAGTCATGCGTAAAAACAACCTTCTTCGACTGCCTTAGAACGTCCTTCAGCATCACCTCTCGTGCCTCAGCCACATAACCTGCTAACTTCTTCGTCTTTTCATGCTCATGGACGATCTTTGCACTACTGGCTGGTGTCGTGATCTGCACACATCGTTTCTTATCGTGGAAGTACTTCACATCTTTCTCAAACTCATGAAGAATGCATGATGTCTTCCCAGTGTAGCCCACTGACTGAATCTCATACGCAATCAGCTTCATGTCATGCGTCAGCTTGTCTATCTGCTGTCGCCTCAGTTGCTTTTCTGCAGGATTGCACTGTGCATCTTGCTCCATGCTTCCCTCCATACTGCATTCGTCTTCTGTTTATTTATTTTGTCTCTGCAGATGCAAAAGCACTGCTGAACGATCAAATGACAATCGTGGTCCACTATCACAAGCGGTACAACCAAAAAATAGCATGCATCATGGGCATTGCATAGACATTGTACAAAACAGCAGCACAAGCAAATCATGCAGTCGCGAAATGATCCCTCACCAGCACAATGCAGTTGAGTTTCTTGAAGAAATTGGTTACGTTTCGACAGGATCCGTATGAAGAGTTTGTTGATGCATTTAAAAACAGTACTGTCAGCAATGCAATAGAGATTGCAAAGAAAATGGAGCATACAGAGCCATTGCTTTTGGTTGCATGCCGTCTGCTTGATATGCTGAGCAATCCAGAGGACCTTTTGAAGAGGAATCTGTTCATGATATCCATCAAGCGGACAGGAATCAAGACATGCACCATATGGATGCTATACAAGAAAGGCATCCTAATAAAAGAGCTGTACAGATACCTCAATACGAAAAGCACAAGGGATTACATATACTACCTTAGCCTGAAGGAGGTGCTTTTGCATGGGCATTACATGCTGATGGAAAAGGGAAGTGTGCATGAGTGCATAGAGTATTTGCTAGACAATCTTGATGACTGGGAGTTGTACAAGTATGCACTGGATAACAAAATAAGGCTCAACAGCAGGAGCAGCACGAATCATGAGTACTACCTTTTGCACATACTTGGAGAGAAGGATAGAGCAAGCAGGATGCTTGAGTCACGAACATGCATTGAGGAGATATCAACGATTGCACGACTTGGAGGCCTAGAGTCGCATCCAGATCCAGTTATTGACTGCATTATTGAGCTGGAGAATGCTGGGTTTAGCTATGGACTGCTGAGGAGGGCATATGATGTATATGCGAATCAAAAATCATTTTTGAGTGTGAAGATGGTAGTTGCATGCCTGGTAGCATCGAAGAAGGCTGAACTGCTTGTTCTTGCGCTTTACATATCCTTCAAGCACAGGAACGAGTTTGAGCAAAATCATGAGATGCATGTGATCTATATGTTTCTGTGCAGATACTTTTGCTTCTACACATGTGTTGTTGATACGATGAGGCTGCTGAATATCAAGAACATTCAGATTGTCAGTATGTCGTTTGTATGGTCTGATATATTGTTTACAAAGCGGATCGGAGTTCACAGTGCCGCTAACCGTGTAACAGCGGAGATGAGCAAGAGAATATGTGAGGTGAATGAAATGATTGAATGCTGTGTGGACGAACTTCGTAAAGGAATAAGATATCTGATTGTATCTGGAAACCTTCCACATGCAATTGATGCGGCAGAGCATCGAAGATCTCTTATAGGCTGTGCAGTAGTGCGTGAGATGAGTGAGCGCAAGATTGTTGCATCTGAAGCAAGCAATGCATTCTGCAGTATGCTTGGGAAGTCTGCAAGATATTTGTTTGAAAAGATGACGAAGGAAAGGATTCCGACGAGTGAGAGCATGTTTTTAACTGACAAGGATGTGCAGAGTCCTGACAGCATGGATGGCTTGCTTGAAAACGAGCTGTGCAGCATTGACGATGAGGTGTTCTGTGTGTTTTTCAAGTCTTGCATGGCACAGAGTCTTGCAGACCGTATGCTAGAGAAATAAAGCGATGTGGGAGTATGAGCTGTTTTGAAGAGTGGAGGTGGCTGCTGTGTGAGGTGGTTATTGCGAAATTATTTTGGTTTCCTTGGAATGCTTGAGTGTATTAGAACAGAGATGAAAATTTTGCCCTGAAAATGGAGCAAGCGATGAGAGAGGCGCCTCGATCGTCATTGAAGAAGCAGGAGTATATGAGTAGGATGGACGAGATCAAGAAGAGACAGGAGAAAGAGATGGAGGAGAGGAAGACGGCAAACATGAAGTATGCGGAAGAGATGTCTGGGAAGCTGCTGAGCAGGTACTACCAGCAGGAGGCGGATGTCTTGGACAAGAAGGTGGAGATGATGAATGGGTTTTATGTGCCGAAAGAGCCTGAGTTTTTTGTGGCGGTGCTAATAAGGTCTAAGTGCAAGATTGCGCCGAAGCAACGCAAGGTGCTAGAGATACTCCGACTGACTAGGCTGAACACATGCATCATAGTAAGGAACAATGAGTCTAACAAGAAGAATCTTAGCATTGTGAAGGACTATGTTGCGTATGGAACAATTGGGATGGAGCTGCTCAGGAAGCTGGTGTATACCAGAGGGTCTGGAAGGAATGGAAGGCAGCATATTAAGCTGACGAATGAGGCAATTGAGGACATGTTTGATGGAAGGATAAGATGCATTGAGGAGATAATCCATTGCATATACAACGGGGATGAGACATTTAAGGAGGTGAACAGTTTTTTGCATCCGTTCCACCTGAGACCGCCTGTTGGAGGATTTAGGCAAAAGAAGACGAGGAACTTTAATGAGGGGGGATGCCTTGGGAATCATCATGATCTGCTGCACAAGCTTCTTGAGAGGATGATCTAATAAAACCGATTGGCTTAAGCTGTTTTGAGATATTTGAATGCCGCAGAGTGTTTTTGAGGAAGAGGGCGGCAGGAGATGAATTGATGATATATTATTGATGAAAATAATTAACTGCCGAATTGGGGATGGGTATGAATGAGCTGAGCAGGCTGAAGAAGCTGTATCAGATAGAGGAAAGCAGGTTTGCAGAAAGGTTGAAAAGGCACGAGGACTTTGGGCACATGATGGACTCGTATCAGTTTTGCCTTGAGGGGATACTGCTGAAGAGAGAAGAGATGTTCTACAAGTACGATGTGTGTGGCACACGAATTATGGACTATGGCATGGAGAGTGTGCTGGGATTTGACCACGAGTTCATAAACAAGAATGTTGGCGAAGTCAACTGGGGAGGAGGGAATAAAGAGAAGCCGTGCAATCAAAGTGATAGTTGCGAAGGCCAAGGCAAGGAGGAGCAGATCGATGGCTACCAAAAGATTACAATAAATGAAGAACAAGAAGACGGAAGAGCCAAAATAATTGTAGAAGGAAGCGAGCACAAGCCAAAAGTGACTAAAGATAAACGAACAAAGGGAGTTAGAATATATGCATGCGACATCGATGGATGCAACAAGAAGTACACATCATCGTTTGGATTGAAGTATCATATGAAGGAAGGCCATTCCGAGGAGAAGATGAACATAATCAAACCGTTTAGCTGTCCATTCAGCGGATGCGATAAGAAGTACAAGAACAACAATGGTCTTAAGTATCATATAAAGCACTATCATGATGTTTCATGATGAACTGAATATGAGCAAATATCCATTTGAATAAAGAAGTTATGTTTAGGATGTTGGTGGCAAATAAGATCGAATCAAGCGGTAGTCTACTGGTATATAGCAATGATTTACGGATGCTTGCTATGCCCATGTGGCTGTATGGTTGCATAAACATGCAAAATCCATTGATCATCCCACAAGTAGCTAAGCATGCGCCCAATTCACTTATATGTAATGTGTGAGCTACATACCAATCTGCATACTCTACTATGTATAATTAGCACGCAGCATCTATATGCTGTCGTATGGCAAGTGTTATGATTGAAAACCTTTTAATCAAAAACAACCACTATTCTTGGAAACTCGTCATCATCATCCGTAACCACATCTAATATCACCATCATCTGCCCTGGCTCTCTCTTGACAAGTTCTCCAATCGTTTTCTCGAGATTGTCTGCATACTTCGAGTCAAAGTCCCAGTACACAAGCACATTTCCTGCAGTAACCATAGAGATCTTCTTCTTGAACTGGATCTCAAACGCTTCCAGAATCGTCCCCAGCTTTGCATCTTTGTACTCCAGCCTGCTCCATAGCGTGTATGTGTACTTTTTATTCTCAATCTTATATGATTGCTTCTGCGGCTCCATTGGGTCTGTGCTTGCAAAAAATGGCAGTGCAAGGTTCAAAAACGAGTTCTTGAACTTCGTGTGCTCAACTCCAAATGCCTGTTTCATCATCTCAAGAATCGCAAGGCCAGATACTACCGCTGTCGTTGTAGCTATCGCAGGAATAATCCTTCCTGCAATTCCCTTCACTGTAAGCCTGTCTACTTGCCTTATCTTGTAGTTTGCTGCTCTCAGGTTGGCTGCTGCATATACAAAGTCCACATGGAAGTTCGTGTCATCATCCTTCTCAAAAGCCGCTGGCACAATGCTTTCTGCATCCGTCTGTGTTCTGGCTCCTGCATTTTCTGTTACTGCCGTGCTTCCAGGCATATCCTCAACCAAGATCTCGTCCTTCACAAGACTAACAACCATCTCTTTAGACACTCTCTTTCCAATCCCAAAGTTAAATGCAAAGATATTTGCTGCACTCTGCACAAACAGAACATGAAGGTCGTTTCCCACATCAAAGCTAATCGTCACCGGTGGCCTCTTCGGTGGCATCCAGAACGGTTGCCCCTCCTTCGTCTTCGAGTCAGGTGGAAACGCTGTAACTAAGTTCTTGATCGATGTGTGAAACAGCTTCACAAACAGCATAATCCCATTCCTTATGCAATCCTTCTCATCACACGGCATCTTCTCAACCAGATCATCAATCGTCTCATTGTTCGTGTCCCTTGTTCTGTCTTCAGAGCCAGAAGACTCACTCTCCTCATCTCTGTCCTTGCTCCTGCTCAGGTACTCCTTTATCTGATTCACCTGATCATGGAACTTAAACTCAAACTCACTCCTTGCCCACTCAATCGTATGCTCAATAGAATAAGGAAAGTTCTTGATCGTGCAGAGCGGAATCGACTTCTCTGGCGGATCCTGGCTCGACCCGTAACTCTCCGTGTGGAACGGAACAATCACCTGCACATTCCCCTTCGTCCCTGACGTTCCTGCATCAACAAGAAACTTCCTGTTCACCACACACCTCTCATCAACATACAGCCTTGCATCAACATTATCAAGAGCAGTCGCCACCACATCTACAGACTGAAACACCCGATCGCTAAACACCGACTCTGTCTCCCTTCCAACCTTAAGGTTATAGTAGACAAGATTCGGCTTCAGAGCGCTTCCTCCACATATCCCGTTCGTCAGATCAAGCGCCCTCTTTCCCTCATCTCCATCAACCTTCAGAAAGTCCTCGTTCAGAGTGGTCACTTCCCTCACAGCCACCTCCGCCTTCATCTTCGACACATCGCACGATCTAAACAGAAACTGCCTGTTCAGATTCGATTGCTCAATAGCATCCATATCAGTCACGCTAATCCTCCCATCCCTTCCTATACCACACATAACCATGTTCTTCAGGTGCTCACATCCAATCGCTCCTGCCCCAACCATAAAAACATTCAGCTTAAACAGCTTCTCAACACTCTTTCTCCCAAGACACCGAATCATAGGCGCATACCTGCCTTCTTCTGCATCCATGCATCGATTATCACACTGCATGTCCTTCGAATGCTCGCATTCTTCATCGCTCTTTGGCTCATCAGAAATCACATCAATCGCATCAAAGTAGAAGAACTGCTGTAGCGGTGTAAACTTACTCCCAATCGCCTTCAGCACCTCCTGTGCCACAAATCCCCCAACCACAGAACACATCGGCATCAGCATCCCTCCACATTGCCTTCCAAACTGCCTAATCAGCCCTTCAAACTCAAAATGGCTTCGGTACTTCCTTACAAACACCGAAAGAAACTCTTCTCCACTCGGCATTTGCTTGTGATGCTCAACATACTCCCCTAGCACAACAAAGCATTTGTGAATAACAAGGTTCCGCTCCCCAACCTCGTAATTGAATCCAAGAATGCTAGGATTCTCGACTGCCACACTCAGAGGTTTGAACGACATCATCGTAGGCTTCTTCTGCTGCTCAAAGTCCCCTCCATACACCGCCTTGAACCTCTCCTCCTTAAACTCACTTTCCTCATCAAACAGCCTTACTCCATCAACAGCCTGCAACCTCACCTGAATAGGCGACATAACCTTCACACGGAAATACTTCCCTTCATACTCCTCACACTGCGTTATCTTGATTATGTCCATGTCTTCAAGATTGTGCCTTTGCTCATCAACAACCGTCATCACTCCGTCACAGCTTATGTCATTGATCATCCCACTGACCGGAATCTCCCCCGTCCTATCAATACAGATAAACTCCGCCCCAAAGTCGCAAAAAACCTGCGAAAACAACCCTTGCACCTGGCATCCAATAAACATGGATCCGCTCTGCCTTGCCCTCTCATTCATTCTCGTCTGCTCTGCATATCCCTCATTGCACACAACAACCACATCATATCCTTCAAAGCTACTTGGCTCCTTGACCACCTCAACGCTTACATACTCATTCATTGCCTTAAACCTCTCCAGAACACTCACATCCTTAGGCTTGCCAATGTCACTCCTCCTGAAGTAGAATCCCGTGCACAGGTCATCCTCCATGACTGCACTATCATCAAAAAGCGCCACTCTGCTCACCCCTGCCAAGCAGATATTCTTCACCACCTCCTGCCCAAGCCCATCAAGCCCAATAACAAGAACTCTGCTCCTCATCATCTTCCTCATTGCATCCTTGCCAACAACATACAGCTGCCTTGAGTACAGAGACTCGTCTATTTCTGCATCCCCATTGTTTTTCATCCAGGGATAAACATCATGCGTTTTAAGCCAGGCACATTACATTGCATCAAAACAACAAAATTTGTTTCTTATTTTATTTCTTCTACATTCTTTAGCTGCATCCTCTCCACAAGCACCATTTCAAATCCATCCTCCGCAAAGAAAACCAGCACCATCTCCTTGTTTGCTGATGCACAGGTCCTTTGAATGCCTATAATGTCCTGCATGCTGTATCCATCGTCAATCAGCACGCCATACCGAGAGTGCACCTTCGAGGGATCATCCGTATACAGCAGTAGATCCACTCCATACTTCAATCCGTCTCCAATCACAAACCCATCCTTGATAAATGCATTCATTAGCACTTCTCTTCGCTGTGCTCGAACCCCAGGCATCACATCCATGCATAAAATCCCTGATAAACCAAAAATCATCACGCTTGCCAATTAAGCATCTACATCTGCACAAGTATCTATTTGCATCAAATCATAGCTTAGAGCTGCATTCATACTCATCAATGCATTGGCATAATCCGCATGCACGCATTGCTTTCTGATGCTAAACCACCTGTCTACAGTACTCCAAAGTCAGCCGGAGGCTCTGCAGATCCCTTCACCATCCAATCGTACGCACCATCACTCCTCATTCCCCTCTGTCTCAGTGCATCACTCAGCAATGCCTTCAAATATGCATAGTTCGGCATGTCTTCATAGCCAAGATTCCGCACATAGAAGCAGAATGAATGGATCTCCTTAGGAAGACCCATGCACAACTCATACAGAGAAATGCTCTCCTTGCTCTCTCGTATTTTGTCATACTTCTCCTGCTTTGTTTTTGCCTTCAATCCTTGCCAAGGAAGCCTGCCTTTCAAGAAGTATACCATGCAGAACCCAACACTTTCAAGGTCATCTCTTCTGCTCTGCTCGTATCCTTGATGCGTGCGCAAAGACGCATATCTTGCTGTCCCTGTCAAGGACTTGTCTGTTCGTATCTCTCTGTGCTTGAACGTTGCTGGGTTCCTGAACTCCTTTGCAAGCCCATAATCAATCAAGTACAATCTTTCTCCATGTATGTCAAACACAAAGTTGTCCGGCTTGATATCTCTGTGCACATAGTTTCTGTGATGCAGATACTCTATGCTATCAACCATCCTTTCGCCCAGCATCAGCACCGTCTTCATCGAAAACTGCCTACTTGTACCTGCAAACAATTGCTCTAAAGACTTTCCAAGCAGCTCCATCACCATTCCATTCACATACACGCTCTCATACAAAATCTTCCCATACTCATAAACCTTCGGTGTACTGTGGCTTCCAAGCATCTTGTATACTGCATACTCATGCTTAAGCTGTCCATACTGCGATTTCTTCTCAAGCTTCACCGCCACCTTCTGGCTTGTTGCCATGTTCTCCCCAACATATATTTCTCCAAATGCTCCAGATGCAATCTTCTCCAGCAGCCTGATATTCCGAATCTCTGTTGTCATTGCCTGCCTTGATGGGATAACAAAAAGATTTATTTCCCAGCCTGCCACCGTTCACCAATGCTAGCCTTAAACACAAACACATCCACGCATATAATGAGCATATACATATCTATAGCAAGCATATGCTTCAATACCACATCATTGTATTCGCCCACATGCATATGCTTCGTATGCACACAATGCAGACCCACAAATATGCAGCCACGCTTATTTACAACTTTCTTGTTCTTGTTGCATGCACAAAATCGATCGTGCCGATGCCCTGACAAACACAAATGCTACGAGAGCTTCAGAAACAGAAAATAAAAAACTTTCTATTACTACCAGCCAATCCCTGGAAGGTTTTGGTCATTGATGAGCACACACAGCAAATTCTTTCTCCTCTCATGAGGGTCAATGAGCTGAGGGAGTGTGGAATAACAGTTCATTTCCTTACATCACAGAAGAGGCATCCAATCAGCAACACCCCAGCCGTGTACTTTGTTTCAAGCGCAAGTGGGATTGCAGAGGATGTGCTTGCACAGCTGTACTCCGAGTTCTACTTGAACTTTTCAGCAAGTGTAGGAAGGAGGGAGATTGAGCAGCTGGGGTTTTTGCTGTCTGAAAAGGGATATGGATTGAGAGTAAAGTCGGTGTATGACCAGTTTATTGACTTTGTTGCATTGCAGGAAGACATGTTTACGTTTGGGATGTGCAACAGCTTTGCGAGCATGGCTGATCCGGAGACATTAAGGAAGATTGTGGGATGCCTAATGAGTGTCTTTGTGACGCTGGGAGAGGTTCCGTTTGTTGTATCTAAGGACGATGATGTCTCGATGCAGATTGGCAAGATGCTTGAATCGAAGATACGCAACACAAAGGTGATCAAGAAGACAGCGAAGAGGCCCTTGCTGATAGTGGTCAACAGGAACTACGATGTGATTACGCCTGTACAGCATGTATGGAGCTACAATGCACTGATGTGCGATCTTCTGGAGCTTGGCGCGAATAAGGTTTCGATGAGTGGCAAAAGGACGTTTGATCTGGATCCGCAGGACGGCCTGTGGAGGAAATGCGGCAATGAATATTTTCCTGTGGTTGTGGAGAGTGTTGAGAAAGAGCTGCTTGAGTACAAGAAGGAGATGGCCCTGAGGAGTGTGGATGAAAGGACAGACAAGAAGACAATACAAGAGGTTCTTGAGAAGGCACCCGAGCTTGCGAAGCGAAGCGAGTCTGTAAATGCACACATTTCAATATGCTCTGAAATGGTGGAGATTATAAAGGAAAGATCAATCGATGACTTCTACAAGGTTGAGAAGGGCGGATACACCACGCAGGAGCTGGTGGATGTTTGTGAAAAGGGCAGTGATGAGGACATCCTACGGCTTGCAATTGTGCTGCTTGGCACAAAAGATGCGGATCTTGTTGATCCATTGCTTAAGAAAAGAAAGATAAAGTCGAATGCAATCGATTTCTTCAGGAAGCAGAAGGGAGGTGCCACAGACAAGGCAGGTACGCTGTATTCACAGGTTGTTACAAACCTCATGGGTAATGTCAAAAAGCTCCTGCCGGTGAAGGAGCAGACGCCTGTATCGTCTCTTGTTGAGATGATTCATGGATCTATCAAGTCTCAGGATTACTCAAGCATGAAGGTCTTCGACCCTGCTGGATCAAACACAATATATCCAAGTGAGGTTTCAAAGGTGGTGGCTTTCTGTGTGGGAGGAGGCACATACACCGAGCTTAAGGCATTGAAACTTGCTGAAGAGAGGTTGGGCATACCTGTTATATATGGGTGTACTGAGGTTCTGAATGCAGGCATGTTCCTTAAGCAGATCGAGAGATTGCTTGAGCAAGATTAAAATGTTGTTTTATTGTATTTTTGTGCATTTGTTCAGCATTTGCTCAGCCTCTATCATCGAGCTGCTGCTATCCATGATCCTAATATATTGTGAAATCACCGAACTCCTTCCTCGGAACCTGACCTTACTAAATGCTTTCTGTACAAGATACTTCATCCATAGAACATTGCTTCTTGGCACAAATGCCTGCCAATCGCTGCAGCTTAGCACACGCATCTGTTTATACACTCCAAACTGTATATCTATGCTTTCATCTCCCTCAAACAGCCATTCCTTTGCATTCAGATCCTCATATATCACTCTTCCACTGCTTCTGATCCTACTGAGCGAAAAATCTATCAAATTCACCTTTCCGCCGCTGATAAGTATGTTTCCCCAGTGTAAGTCTCGGTGTTCAAACTCGTACTTCTCCTCAAGATTCGCAAGTGCCCTCGCTACACTCTTTAGAAACCTGTTAACCTCAGAGCAGTCTGTAAATTTCACATCTTCCAGACTCATTCCTCCATCCTCCATAGCCAGCACTCCATACTCCTGCTCCTCATTGTACTTGCATGGCCTTTCGTTTTCTTCCTCTCCATACTCGTCCCATGCACGCAGATACTCTTCGGAATATCGCCCTTTCAGCAGAAACACATCTACAAGTCTGCACACACCCTCTTCATTGCAGATCGTTTGGAATATGCTTGACTCTTTGAGAAATGACTGCATGCATGTCTCGTTAGAGGATTTTCCCAGCGGAATAATCTTGTACACCAGCGTACCATGTGCAAATACCTCACTGAATGTTGCTTCGCCAATCTTTCGTACGTCTTTTGGCATCTGGTCAAACCGAATTTTTTTCAGATGCTGCATATCTGTGCGCATGCCTTCTGTGCACATGTCAGAATGCGATATCCCGTCCGCTTCTCCACGCATTCTACGGAATGTTATGTTGTCTACCTGCTGAGCCTCTCCATCAAATATTCCAAGAAAACTTACGAATCCAAGCTCCTTGTAATCCATCTCATCCGAAAGCGACTCTTCATGAATAAGTTCGCGTGTAATCATCTGATCATCTGCTTTTTCTTCACACCCTTGACTTTTGCTTATTTCCTGATTATCATTGAGTTCAGCACTTGTGTACTTCGCACTAAGGCTTGTATTGGGCCTTTTATTACTTTCAATATGCTCCGTGCAATGACCAGCCTTATTGGTGCTTGTTTCGGAGCATACTGTGCCTGCATCGTCAACAGCACCTCTGTATTCAGGCCCAATACTAACAAGTGTATTCGAGCAGGAGTCTTCATCCGACGAAATCGATGTGAAATCACATGCTGATCTTTCACCGGCACACGGGCCATCGCCTTGAACTGCCGTGCTTAGATCCACAGAAATCATCGAGCTGCTTGCATTCGCCAGCCTTGTCTTGATTGCATCGAATGCTCTTCTCATGTCTTCGTACGTGCTGTTGCGTGATGATTGCTGCTTGCTTCCGAACCTTCTCATGTATACGCATAGGGTGAGTGCATTTCACAAGTAGCCTGTGCATCCACAAGTGCTTTGCCAAAACACAGTTGTAGCATGCCCTGCAGGATGCATGAGCGGGATGTGATTGCAAAGATAGAAAGGGTATTTGAGATTGAAGATCCGTGTGAAGTTGCTGGATGCACAAAGCAGACGATTGGCGAGATAATTGAAGGAGCGGTGTTTCCATCATCGCATCCGTTCTATACAGACTTCATCCTGTTTAGTCTTGAGGTGCTTTACCCAGATGTTGAAGAGGCACTGAGGCTTTTGAAGAGCTCTATGTTTACCAAGGAGCAGTTTGAGGCGTCTGGGCTACGCAAGGCTGTTGATCGCGCTGCACAGGCAAATGCAGAATGTGCAGAGGAAGTGTTGAGGATGTATGACGACTCTATGCCCAAGAGGCGAAAGAAGGTGTCGTGGGATGCAAATCTGATTAAGATCAAAGAGATTGAACGGACAGTAATGGAATCCGATGTTATAGATGCAGTGGAGACGCAGTTCAGGGATTCAAGATCACCTAAACGGAATGTAAATGCATATGGTGACCTGAAACGTGCAAATGCACAGGAAAGGCGCGAGCTAAGATGGATAAAGCCAGCCAAAATCGATACAGGCAAAGCAGCACAGAAGTCAGCAGGCATGGCTGAGGAGGAAATAAGAGAATCAAATGCCATAAGAATGCAGAATACGGAAGAGCACAGGAAATTCATGCCTGTGCAGTGCACTACATCTGTTCATTCAGTTGTTGAAGAAAACGAAACAAAAACAGTTCCAGTCATCACATTTGCAAGAGGAAAGGCATGCTTTGATTTCAAGAAGATAGTTGAGGAAAGGCATAGAAACAAGGATGCAATCAATCAAATCCTAGATGATGCAGATGTGATCTCTGCGGTTATGCTGACAAAAACATGATGCCTTAAGGGCACAGCATATGAGCATCACATGAACGAGCACTGATGCATTGGTATCATGAAAGATGCATGAATATTGCTAAGGATTTAATATCACATACGCTTTGTGTGTTTCTGTGGTTTCTATTATGTAAATGAATTATCTGTAGTAGTAGTGAAGGAAAACCAAGATGAACGACATGCAAAGCAGTAGAATAAACAATAACCTGCGAAAGAGCTTTCCAGACTCGCCAACTCTATCCAGCGCATCATTCCCTTTTGAAACGCACTTACCGGCCCTTGATGCAATGTCCACGATGCCATCTATTCTTTCATCCTGTAGGACTAGATGCTGGAATATTGTGTCTTGCAGAGCTTCAACCTCAAGCAGCCTTTGCCTTGTGAGCCTGTATCCCTCAATGCTGTATTTTTCAACCAGCCTTTTGTTTTCTTCTTCCATTGCCTGTACCTGGTCGATTTGTTTGAATGTTTGCGGCCTTTCAGGATCAAGGTCCACAGACATGCCCATCTTTTTGTCCTTGAGCTTTGCAATCCTGTCTTCAAGTGCCTTTAGATTCATGCAGATGATCTTCTTTATGCCTTCAAAGTGAAGAACAAGGTCGTTTGAGCCCTGTAACGAGATGGAATCGATTGTCTGCTGTGATTCTGATGCCAGAGACAAAAACTGCTCCTCAACTGCAAGAAGCTCTTTGTAGGACAACGACTTTGCAAGCCTTTTGCTGATGTGCTCTATTTTGGTGATGATTGCATCGTAGAATGTTTTTTCGGATGATTGGAGAGGAACCTGGGAGCTGGTGTCTATGTGTTTTAGATACTCATCCGTCCTGTCCATGGGGATTCTGATTGATGAGAATAAAAGCGAAGGCAAGCCCATGGGAATGGGCGGATGTGATGCAGTGCTGAGGATCTTTGAAGTGACTGGGAATTCGTTTGTTGTTGGAGGCATAAGTGTGCTTGTAAGCAATGTTCTAAGAAAAGAAGAATGTAAGTGAGAAGTGGCTAATTTGAGCAAACAGAAGAGCAGTGATTGAGCAGCCAGTAAGAAGTGGGGGAGAGATGGCAAAGCAGTCGATGGTGTATTCACTGATAAGTTGTGGATTGAATGCGCTGGGTGTTTCAGGATATGCCAAGCAGCTGTTTGCACCGTTTGCTTCATCGTTTGTGTGTGGGATGAGGAATGGCAGGAGGTTTGGAATAAAGAGCGGGATGAGCGGGATGATAAGCTCGTTTGGATATGAAATGATCAATAAAGCAAGAGGGTACTGATGTTAGGTTTTGAGATGGAAATGGCCATGAGGAGAGGCTATGCGGAGAGGATTGAATAAGGCGAAAAAATAGCCCCAAATGGATGATGAAGATGTGCAACTCATGGAGATGGCAGCTCGTGTGTGGAGCCGAGCCGATGAGGGCATAGCGAGTGTGCTGCGGCAGTATGTGTTTGAGCATAGGTTTGATATGAAGCATGTGGTGAAGTTTTACGGTGCATTTACTGGAGGCCGACGATGCAAGGGGGATGTGTATGAGGTTTTTGAGAACTATTTTGTGCAGGAAAGGATGTATGATGAAGTGCTTGAGCTATACAAGGGATGGATGGATGCAATGAAGAAGGAGTATGAGTTTGAAGAGAGCATGCGGTTTTTTAGGTGTTTTGAGAGGATGTACGAGCAAGGAGTTTGCATGATGCGTGAGAAGATGAATGAGAATGCGGTAGTGGTTCTGCTTGATCTCTGTAGGCTACTGGGCAGTAATGCGGCAGAGTATGAGTGCTATGTGGTGAGCAGGAGGATAAGCGAGGTACTTCTGCAGATGGGGATGCCTGCGTGGGCAATGACAGAGTATCTTGATGTTCTGAGCGAGATTTTTATTGAGTCGAATATGCTTTTTTCGTATGTGAACGTGGTTGGCATGCTTGTATCGCTGGATGCGAATGCAATGAGCAAGCAGAGCAGTCTTGATGACTTCCGATTGATATGTAGGTATGCGGGGATGAAGAACGAGGGAGAAATACACAGGAAGTGCTTCGGAAAGATGAAGTGCATTGATGTGTTTGAGGTGCTTGGGAATGTTGAGAGACGATGTGCAGGGATTGAGTGTGTTAAGGACACGCTGGTGAGGAGAAGGTTTAATTTTGGGATGTGGAGTAGATATGCAGATTGTGTGTTGAATGCAGTATGTGCCGATGAGAACATAGATCTGATTGTGTTTATGAAGAAGAACGATCTTGGCTTTGAGATAGATGGAGGAAAGGTGAAGGCAGATGGATATGAGTATAGGAGTGTTGAGAGGAAAGTGTTTGAGATCTGTGAAGAGTATCGCGAGAAGGTGGAGGATGCAAAGATGCCCGAGGAAGAGAGGAGGATACCGAGAAGGATAGAGGAAGTAGGGAGTGCGTATGGAAGGGCAGAGGCATGTGGCCAAAAGAACGAAATAAGGTTCCGAGACCGATTTTCAGGGGTTTACAAGAAGATGAGGGTGTACTTGAGATACTATATGGACAAAGCAGAGGGGATAGATGATGTATGGTATGAAGAAAGGGACATGGCGATGCGACGAATGTTCGAAGAGAATGAAAATGAGCAACGACGAAGCAGGGAGAAGCTGAAGAAGCATGCGGAATGTATAGAAAGATTGAGTGTGATGCTGTCGAGTAGGATTGAGGAAGAGAAGCGAAGCGAGGAGGTACAGAATAGAAGAAGTGAGGAAGTGAGTGCAAGTGGAAAAGTACGTGTCAGCAATTGGAGGAGTGAGCCTGATGAGAAGCCCAAGGCATATGTACCACCGAGTGTTGATTCATATAGCATGAACAAGAGGCAGGAAAGAAAAGAAGAGAAGTCTATAAGTGAGTTGAGGCAGCCAAGAATGCAAGGAGAGCCAGATGTGAAGCGGAACGAGAGTCAGCTTGAAAGGGGCAGACGTGTCCGTGGAGGAGATTGGATGAACGAGCCTCGAAAGAGCGAGAATACAAATTGTAGGAACCGTACTGACTGAGGAATACAGCATAGACAGGATATTGAGTGTGTTGTCGTAATAAAGTGTTATTCAGAGTATTTCATAGGGTTACGAGCTTTTGACTGTTGAAGTAATTAGTGTGCAATGCCCATGGTGGTTAGTGTTCCATTGAGACTGCTGTATGAGTCCCAAGGATTTGCCGTCAGTATAGAGACGGACAGTGGATGCATGTACCAAGGATTGCTTAAGGAGATAGACGACTGTATGAATGCAGAGCTTGTGGATGTATCTGTATTGTCAAAAGAAGGCCTGGAGAGAAAGAAGGAGGTTTTTATCAGGGGATCTGCAATTGTGCTGTTTGCACTGCCACCAGCATTGAAGTTTGCACCGTTCTTGAACAAAACAAAGTAAAGTGAAGACAGGTCTCGGATGGATTTATTAGATGCGATGCTTTCCGTTGATGGAGTGGTGCAATGGATAAGGCTTCACGCTACCCTTCTCAGTGAACACAAAGAGCAATGTTGCCACCACAAGAAGAATAACAACCATTATGAGGATGGAGAGGAATCTTCGTTTGTTGATGATGGGTATTTCCTTTGGGGTGAACTGAAAGTTGACGGGCAGCTCTTCAGCAACTCCACTTTGGTAGAAGATCCTACTGCGGAAGCTGTTGTTGCAGAGGAACTTTTCGTGATCGCGCACATACTCAGCACGTAGCGGTGTGTCAGAGTCGTACTTGAGCAGGAAGAAGCTGATTTCGTTGATATGCTCGTTGTTGATAGGATCCTGGAAGTTTTTGATTCTGATCTGCCTTCCTTCCGTGGATATGACCATTTCAAAGACATACTTGCAAAGCTGCCTGGCATCATAGCAATAGTATGGTGCTTTTGCATCGTTTGCTGTGCCTTTGCACTGTACCCTTGCAAGATAATAATCGTGCTTTCTTGAGTGTGCATCCTTCATCATGTCTGAAAACGGCCTCTGTGTGAATGGATCGACTCCGTTAGCATCAAGAAGATAGCGGGAGCCGTGCTCCTTCTCTAGAATATGCAACATTTGGTTTATGTCTCTGCAGCAATAAATTTATTCTCCTAAACACGGTTTCAAATGCATGTATATGAAACATTATGATGCAATGCCATCGCATTCACAAGTGCATGAAATATCTTACACAGGCACACATCATTCTCAGCCATAACATACAAACACAGTAAGAGCACCACTTTAATTAACCAAAAACTCTTCAACATCTCCAACAGTTGCATCTTGATACTGCTGATATTCAGAAAGCAAATCATTCATGTTTGACTCAGCCTCAGAAAACTCCATCTCATCCATACCCTCGCCAGTATACCAATGCAGAAATGCCTTTCTTCTGAACATCACCGTAAACTGATCAGAGATCCTCTTAAATAGTTCCTGAATTGATGTGGTGTTTCCAACGAACGTTGCCGACATCTCAAGCCCAGTGGGTGCAATGTCACACACTGCAGTCTTCACATTGCTTGGGATCCATTCGACAAACAGCGAGCTGTTCTTCGACTGCACCATCGACATCTGCTCATCCACATCCTTCATTGAAATCTTGCCACGGAACACTGCTGCAACCGTCAGGTACCTTCCTTTCCTGGGATCGCATGCAGTCATCATGTTCTTTGAATCAAACATTTGCTGTGTAAGCTCAGACACAGAGTACGTCCTGAACTTCTGTGTTCCGACTGCAATCAGTGGTGCAAATCCCACCACAAAAAAGTGCAGCCTAGGAAACGGTATCATGTTCACAGCCAGCTTCCTCAGATCCGCATTCAGCTGCCCAGGAAATCTGAGGCACGTGGTGACTCCGCTCATCACCAGCGACACAAGATGGTTCAGATCCCCGTATCCAGGATTGCTCAGCTTCAATGTCCTGAAACATATGTCATACAGTGCCTCGTTATCAATGCAGAACGTCTCGTCTGCATTCTCAACAAGCTGGTGTATAGAAAGCGTTGCATTGTACGGCTCAACCACCGTATCGCTCACCTTGGGCGACGGAACCACCGAAAACGTGCATACCATCCTGTCTGGAAAGTCCTCTCTGATCTTCGACAGCAACAGCGTTCCCATCCCTGCTCCTGTTCCTCCTCCAAGCGAATGTGTTATCTGGAATCCCTGCAAGCAATCGCTCGATTCCGCCTCCTTTCTTACCACATCCATCACCGAGTCTATCAGCTCTGCGCCCTCGGTGTAGTGTCCCTTTGCCCAGTTGTTTCCTGCTCCGCTCTGTCCAAAGACAAAGTTGTCCGGCCTGAACAGATCCCCAAACGGCCCCTGCCTCACTGCATCCATCGTCCCTGGCTCAAGATCAATCAGAACCGCACGCGGAACATACTTCTTCGACGACGCCTCGTTGTAGTACACATTAATCCTCTCCAGTTGGTTTTCAGATTCGCCAACATATCTGCCTGTCTGGTCTATTCCGTGCTCTCCGCTAATCGTTTCCCAGAACTTGCATCCAACCTGATTTCCACACTGCCCTGTCTGTAAGTGGATGATTTCTCTCATTTGAAGGGCAAATTTTTTGGCCTGAATATAACATGTCCTCGCTAGCCAGGTTGCAGGCATTTCCACCAGGTACCCATCTTGTATCATCGAGCATATCACAAATGCCTTGCTTCTAAACACTGCCGTTCGCCAGCCCATGGGCGAGCTCCTAGTAATAGTCTCTGAAAAGAACGATATTGTTTACCAGAGGATATTCAACAACGCAAGCGACGAGGAGTACTGCAGATTGGTGATCATTGTGTATGGATCGATCGATGCACTGGTGGAGAAGATGTCATCGTCCACAGCAAGCTACTTTGGATGCTTGGATACCTATGGCGATGCGAAGGTCAGCGCATATGTGATGCCGTCTGGATATAAGCTGCTATTTATGCATTCCAGGAGTGATGCAAAGCAGTTTCTTGATAGTATGCATAGAGTGTTTGCAGGTGTTCTTTTGAGATCTGTACGGCCAGATGAGATTGCAGACGACCCTGATCTTGACAAGAATGTGGATGAGTTATATGGCTCGTGCTTTGTATAATTTAGTGTAGTAAATGTGTTGATATGCAGCCTGATGTGGATTTGTTTGAATATTGTGCTGGGATGCTGAATGATGCTGGGTTCGTGCCTGCATAATTCCTGCCTGCAGATGCCCAGCAATGAAGCTGAGATTTAATGGAGCAAGCGTTGCAAGGCTCAACAATAGCGAACTAGCAGTAAGCAAAGAAGCAATCGAGGGCAGTAGGATAGAAACGATTGGAGATGTGCTGAGGTATTTGTGTAGCACCGATGCAGATGCAAGAAGCAGCTTCTTTGATCGCCATGGCGAACTGGTGCATGGAACAATCTGCATTATCAACAAGATGGATTGGGAAATCATGCAAAGAGAAAAAACACCAGCCGTGCATGGAGACGAGATTGTGCTTATCTCCACGATTCATGGCGGCTGAATGCCCATGACCATAAACGTGTGAAGCAAAGCGATTATTAAATTACTGGCCGGAATCCCTGAACGGCACCATGGGCAACGAGTTCTGTTGCAATGTGCAAGGCTGTGGAAAGACATTTACAAGAGCTGCAAAGCTCAACGATCATCTGAACACACACACAAACGAGCGACCTTATAGATGCGACATGTGCGAGAAGGCATACATGAGGAACAGCCATCTGACAATCCACAAGAAAAGCCATTTTCCTCCAGAATTCAAATGTTCGAAGTGCGGATACAAATGCCATACTGATGACAGGCTTTGCAAGCACAAAAGAACTTGTGTGCACTATAAATGCAGCACATGCAAAAAGACATACAGTAAGTATGCATGGTTTGAATCACATGTAAACAGTCATCACATAAAGGTGTTTAATCATGAAAAGAAAGTTTATGCGTGTCAACACTGCAAGTTTGAGTTCAGTAAGAAGAGCAATCTTTCCACTCATGTACGATCGGTTCATCAGCTCAAAAGACCATTTTCGTGTCCTTGTGGAAAGCAGTATGCTCACAATATGTCTCTAGATAGGCACAAGATGAAATGCCTAACTGTACAAGATTCATCTGGATCTTCACAGCAGCAATCATATGACCAGAATTTTACATCAGTCACATATGCAGTGCCCGAAGCTCGTTCTTATAGAATCCAGCAATAAACCTTATTTCGCTTGTGTCATCCTTGATCTTTTTCAACAGCCCTTTGTAATAATTCACGTCCTCCATCCACAACGGGTATATCCTGGTCATCAGCTTTTCCAATGACTTTTTACCTTTCCATTTATTGATAATATCGCTACTTTTGATTCCCCCTACCCTTAGAACATTCAGCAAACCTTCCAAAACCTGGTAGTTGTCTTCGTTTCCAATATGCACACATAGTCTCAAAAACATCGATACATTCAATTCTATTCCAGATGCTAGTATCTTCTCTATAAGAAACATCTTAGAGTCAAGCCTTGCACTCTCAATCGATATGATGCTCTCAAAAACCATCTCCTCTGTGTATTTTGCGCTCCGTAGCACATTCATAGCATCAGTAGTCACCTTGTCCACATTGCATCTCTTCAACTGTTTTATCAGCTCAACAAACACCATGTTTGACAGTTCATATCCTCTTTCTACCATTCTCGGAAGAATATCAAGATACCCAATCGGATCAACAAAAAACATGTCGTTGATCCTGCCGGCATCATCTGTATCAAGATCATCCACATCCACCAGCCTTAGACACTCCTTTCCTACTGCATCAAGCTTTCCTCTTCTGCACAGAATATCCATCAGTTTCGTATTAACCGTCTTTGTCACATCCTCCTTTCTTAGCTGCTTCAGCACAGTCTCAACTATTCTATCGCTTCCAGAGTCAAGATGCTTGTGCACATCAATCCAAATGCCAAGAGCTAATGCACATCTCAATCCAACATATTGCTTAAATTCCTTATCAGAGTGCACAAGCGCATTTACAGTATCTTCCATCCTAGGCCTCCACCCACTCTCCTCGCCCACAAACATCGTTTCAATGCGCACCTCATCCTTCTTATTGACTACTGGCTGCTCAACTGCATCGCCAACCTTCACATATCCATTCACGCACTCTCTGGCCATCGAAATCCTATTGCATAGTGCACTACAAATTAAGTCAATTGCTCTATCTCTGTATTCCTCAACAATCGCATTTATCTCCTCGATTCGTGCCTTCATAGCAACAAAATACACCACCATGCATCCTTCACTCTCCTCAACATGCCTCTTTGCAATTTTATTAATCCACGGAAATATTCTAAGCTCTCTTTTGCTGCATGCCAGAACACGCACAATAAACTCAACAACATTCAGAAACCGTCTTCCACATCGATTTGCATCATACACAACAGAAACCACCTTATCCATGACATCGTCATTGCCCACCAATGCAGCAGTAACCATTGATGCTCTTTCAATCCCTTTTCCAGACGCCATCCTCATGCTCACTTCGTTGCAGACCATTCCCACTCGCCCATTCATATCACTATACGAAATCGTCTCCACATCGACTTCATCATTATACACATTGCTTTCTTTTTTCCTCTTCGCACTTTCATATCCATTGCTGCAATCATTTGTATCTTTGCCATCTATCTTACCACACACACTCCCTGCCAACTCAGTGTTCTCCTTCTCTTCATCATCTCCATCACACATCTCTGCATGAATGCATTCTTCCGCTGCTTCATCCGTGCTTGCACTGTTATCCATCAAGTCTATGCCCCTTGCCTCTTGTAATCTATCTTTCATGTTGCGTATCTGTTTATCAGGTATCCCAATAATCCTCAACGAATCAACAGCTGGCATCAGCAAGCATGCATCTTCGCCAAATACCGCCAAGACGTGTTCAAAATGCTTCACAAACACGCTCAAATGATCCTCCACATACATTCTCTTGTACTGCACACTCATCTTGTCAAACCACTTGTCAAAATCAACTGCAATCCGGAAGTACCGGTCCTTCGTAACAAGATACTCTACAAACAGCTCCTTATATCCAGAACTCACAATCGCCTTGACTGCTGAGTCTCTCTTCCGACTCGATGGAACCAGCGCATTGTTGAACTCCTGCACCAGGTTCAAAAATACATTCAGATACATCCCAAGTGCATCACAGAAATATGCATTTGGAAGACGCAAAATCTGCCCAAACGTCGGATGCACACAACTCTTAGCCATGCATCTAAATCCGAGCCTTTTCCTCACATATCTAACGAAGCTTTGGTTGTCGATGCATTCCTCAGTGCCATCGCTTTTACATATCTCGTCAATATACTGCTGCATGCACCTTTTGCTTATGCTTTTCCTATTCAGAAATTCAAATCCACCAAGTACACTATTGCATATGCACTGATCATTCTGGCTCTCTGTGCATGTGCATTCCACATCTTCTCTTGCCACTCCTCTTTCTGCACCTGCCAATCTTAGTTCGCCCGTTGCTCTGTCAACATCAACACTGCATCTCCAATCTGCCTGCCTTTCTCTCAACATCAAAAACTGCTTCTCAGCACATTCCTGCAATCGCTGCAACTCGTCTCCAAACACAACCCTGCAGTCATGATACACCATCACAAGCAGCAGATCAACCACATTCTTGTGTGACATAAACTCGCATTCCCTGCCTTTCATTGCATGACAGACCATCCTGCACACCTTCTCACTCCTGCATCTCTCCATTCCAACCTTGATTGCATCACTGGCCGATCTTGTTCTCAAAAACTCCACCCCGTCTTCATGCATTACATTATCAAAAAACCCGTTGCAAGCAAGCACTGTGCAATCAATCTCAAGCCTGCATGCAATGCCAACCAGCATCCCTCGTTGAACAAGCCCATTACCCATTATGTAAACAAATGCTTCATTCTTGCCAGGTATGCGCATGACTGCATCAACAACTCGATCGTTTGAGTAGTCAAGAACATCAAGTATCTCAGCACACCTTCCTATCAGCCTTGCAAAGCACGGCTCAAAAGTGTCTAGCAATAGTCCGTTAAGCTGTGTATATCCCAAAAACACATATGGCTCAAATCCACGGACACTGTCAATAAAGTCAGCCTCAATCCCATTCTTGAATGCATATTCTCCAATAATCATGCTCAGACATTCCTCGTTGCATATCTGCTTGACAAGCCCAAACTCAAGATGGAAGGCGAGTCTTCTGATGCACTGGAACACAGCGGCCTTGCCATACATATCTGCTGTATCGTATCTACTTCTCAATATTCTGATTGCATCAGCCTTGCACAATCTCTCGTCGTACCCATAGATTGCAGCAAAGCACTTGATGTTATCCAGGCTGCATTTTTGCATAAACTCCTTGGCTTTCTGGTTGCACAGCATGTTATTTGCATGCATAGACGCCATTTCATACAGCATTTTGTCCTTGACCGTCAGAGACACAGACCCAATGTATTCTGCATATGTACAGTATTCTTCCTCGTATTTGACGGTGCGCAAGTCATTTAAGCGTACAAAGTCAATAGGCATGATGGGGACAGCTGTTTTTTGAATGAAATCGCATTTTATTTGGAGCACTTAATGCAAGCACACGAGCAAGCATTTATGAGATGCAGCATATACTGAGCGATGCACTTAAGCCTACACTCCAGCAATCTGCAATGCAGGCGCTGTACACTAGTAGGCATAGATGCATTTGTGTATGTGCATTGTGCAGCGCTTCCCCTTTTAGTGTTGCCAGTCTGATTGATTCATAAAAATATATAAGCAACCCTGTGGTAGGAATCGATGGTAATAGTGACGATGAAGTCAAGCGATGGAAAGTATGTATGCACAAAGGAGTTTGAGAAGAGCAGCACGGTGTTTGATGTAAAGAAGTACATTCTGTCGCAGATGCTAGGCATGCATATGTGTGGAGGAAGGGGAATTGCCAAGATCTTGTTTGGTGGCAGAGAGGCAGACGATTCTGTGGCAATATGCACCCTGGATCCGGATGCACTGGTTGTGGAGTATGAGTTGCTAGTTGGCATACGCCATGATGCAAGCAGCATCCATTCTGCAGCCAATGAAAGTAAGGACAAGATGCAATTTGTGGACGATGTGCCAACCAGCGACATGTCGATCCTGGTTGCTGTGTCTATTGAGCAGACGCGCAAGAAGATGCTGGTTGATCCTGAGGACCTGGTGATGTTCAATGGAAAAATGTATCTTGTGAAGGATAGGCGCAAGGTGCTGACCCTGAAGAATGTTATTGATTGTGTGCGCAGAATTGAGTTTTCGAAGGAGGATGCCACGAAGCTCCTTATTTTCTTTGTGCTGCTGAGCACAGGTAACGGGGCGATTGTGTTTATTCTGGGATGCGTGTTTGGACTGGAGATTGTGAGCAGAAGATTGTGCTCTGGCTTCAAGGAAGCCTTCAAGACGATGGATCATGGAGGAAGGACGTTCTATATGTTCTTTGTGAGCATGTTTGTAATTGATCATGCATTGCTGTAGAGTGCTGGAATGGAATGTAAAGTTGATTAAAGAGTTTTTTTGAATACGAAATGGCTGTCTTGCTAATCCTTGCCGATGGACAGCAGTGATGTTTTGGCAAAGTATTTCTGTGGAGACAGCCGAGGCTATTTCTACAGAGAGAAGACGTTTGAGGGGACTGATGAGGAGTATCTTGAGGCGAAGAGACGATCGGCGACTGTGTTTGTGTCGAATGTGTGTGCGTTAGTGCGCGAGGAGAGAATATGGGAGTTGTTTTTGCTGTGTGGACGGGTCCGCAGAGTGATAATGGGGCTGAACAGGAACACACTGCGCTTTTGCGGGTTTTGCTTTGTCGAGTTCTATGCCAGGGAGTCTGCAGATGCAGCAGTAAGGTATTTGAACGGGTTCAGGCTTGAGCAAAGCCCACTGTCGATCGACAAGGACTATGGATTTGTGGATGGCAGGCAGTACGGAAGGGGAATGTTTGGAGGGCGAGTTAAGCAAGACAAACTATATGTAGAAGACATGCACCACAGGGACGTGAAGAGAGGCAAGTACATAAGGCGGCAGAGATGATTAATGCAATGTGCTTGGGAGGGTTGCGAGAATGTGTAGCAGAGAAGCCGTGATTGGCTGATTTCTGTTTGCTTAGATGCATCGAACTGCAGAATGATTTATTGATTTTATGCAGATGGAGATACCTTTGCGCCGTTTAAATAGCTGATGAGTTCGTCATTGAGCTTTGAGTATGCTTCTGAGGCATCATCAACAGAGGCAAAGTCTACGAATGCCAAATTCTTCACACGAATAAATCTAATGCATTGAAATCCTTTGAGTCCATGCAATATTGCATCCAAATCCTCCTTTGAAGTGGAACTTGGGATGCTCGTGATAAGCAGCGTGCTTGTTGCTATCCTGGCCATTCTTCTGCCTATGCACATGTCAGAGCGTGCTGCACACACCGAAATCATCGTTCCAAGAAAAACCATTTTGTCTAAACATCCAATAACTGCTTCAGTGACATCTTGATCCAGAAGCACAAATGCTTGGCCAAGGAGGCTTGGCTTGTTGCTCATCTTCACTTTCAAAGCTTTAAAGTGGCCAGAAACAAGCAAATGCAACCTCCTCTTTACTTCGGTGATAGGCAACTTTTTGTTCAAGTTCTTGATATACAATGTTCTCATGGATTCCCCATGCATCACTCAAGGGTAGAACTAACACTCAACAGCTGGTCCATCCGGTGCGCTTCATGCTTCCATAAAATCTGAGTTGTGTTGATATACATACATACACAAAATAAAAAGATGCTGTTTATTCGCTATCCGAGTCATCAAACCTCACCTTCTTGTTGCTCTTGTTCTGCCCATCCAGCCAATGCTTCTTGCTGTTAGACTTCGATCCCCAGGAGTCGTTGCTTCTCCTGTTCTTACCATAGTCGCTCTTCGGCCCACGAGGCCCATTTGCCGGCTTGTGATACAGGTTGCAATCGTCAAACATCAGTTTGCTCTTGTTCAGTACTCTCTCATAATCCTCCTTGTTGCCAAAATCAATAAATCCAAATCCCTTCAGCCTGTTGTTCTCAACATCATACGGAAACGACACTCCAACAACGTGGCCCATGCTCTCAAAGTACTCCTTCAGCTTCTTCCTGTCGCTCTCAAACGGTATGTTCGACACATATATGCTGTACTTCTGCTTCGACGTAGACTTCGGCTGTGCCATGTTCACCACCACCTCTCTTCCAAGAAGAACCGTTCCGTCAAGCTTCAGCGCCTTCTTCACTTCCTCCTCGTTACTAAACTCAATATATCCAAACCCCTTGTTCCTCTTGTGATCGTTGGTCATCGGGATGCCTACTCGCACCACATTCCCTATCTTCTCCATCTCCGTCTTCAGATCATACTCCGTCAGGTCATAGCTAATGCCCTTTATAAACACAGTAAGCGACGGATTATCCTCCTTCTTGCTTGTTTCTTCTCCACTTCCGCTCTCAGTATCATGAGTACTTCCTGTGCTGTCGTCACTTCCACTCTCTTCCTCAACACTGTTAGACCCTGACTCATCCTCAACACTCTCATCGCACGACGTCGCCTCGCTTCCAGAATCGCTTTGCTTCATTTTGTTCTTTTCATTTGCGCTTTTGCTTGTTTTCTTCGTTATTTTTGTCATAAAATTTTTGGGGTTACCGTTAACGAAAATATCTATCTTCGACTCCTTGTATGAAAAAGGTGCTTTCATCGGATCTGCACTGCATCCACACAATTGCAAATCCATCTATTGTCTACGGCATCCTGAGAGAGTCAAACCGTGCAATCACCACATACAACCAGCTTATGAGGCACTATGAGGATGGCCACAGAGACATTGCAGTTGTGTTCGTAACACCAAGAGACGATGTGCTTTTCATACATATTCCATTGTTCTGCAAGCACTTTGGGATCAGGCTGTACGCGCTTCCTGACGATGCAAAAGATGTTTTAAAATCCATATATGGCATGAAGCATGTCAACATTATAGGACTGTACAAAGATGACGTGTCGCACAGGCAACTCAAAGCACTTGACTTGGATACGCATACGCATCAGACAATTGAGTGATATGAGATTGCATGTACAAATGCTTGTGGTAAATTAGCAAGTTCAAAGTGTGCAACAAATGTAAATATTGCAGTACATATGGCTGTGTAGTATGAATGAGGATTGCAACATGATATGTGTGCAATGCAAACAATATGGATGTGAATGCGTTTCTGTTCAATCACAACTTTATATTACATTGATTGAACAGCTGAGGTACAAGACAGGATGAAAATTTTTCCCCTTGCAGGATGAAGAATGTTCTTATACATAAGGGAAGAACGTACAAGACACGTAGCAACATAAGGATGAAGGTTCGAACACCATCTGGAAAGCTGATCAACAGAAGAGTCAAGAAGAATGCAAAGAAGCACAAGTGCCACGAATGCAATGCAGAGCTGAGCAGCATTGCAAGGCTGAGGCCTGCAGAGTTTTCTCGGCAGAAGGTTTCTGCAAGACGAGTCAACAGGGCATATGGGGCCACGATATGCGGAAGATGTGTTGAAGACAAGATCATCGGTGCATTCCTTGCAGATGAGGAGAGGATTGTCAAGGAGAAGATTGGCATGGTAGCCGGCAACTAATAAATTGCGCCTTCGGTTTTTACATGTTGTTTTTGTAGTTTATGATCCCTTGATGTGGAAAGGCAATGTGAGCGAACGAAGAATATCGAAGAGGCTGAAGCTTGCCAAGAGAACAAGGGAGCGGTATGTAAGAAGCGATGTTCCCTGTGGATTTGAATGCTGTGGAGCAGCTGTAGCAAAGAAAATGCGGGCACCGGTGTTTGTCATACCTGATGCATATGTTGCGAGCAGATACTGGGCTTTATTGCAGAGCGATTGTGTGGAGGCAATCATATGCCAATCTGTGCTTGAAGAGCTGAGTGTCGATGACAGGAAGAGATTGAAGGCGCTTGTGAGGGAAAAGCAGTATATTTTGTTTTATGACGAGTTTTGCAAAGAAACGAACGGGCAGGGACTTGCGGGAGTATTGGAGTATTACAGAAAGCATGCAGGGGAATGCAGATGTGTTATTTTGTGCAAGGATAACGTTGCAGAGTATGGGAAGTACGTGAGTGAGGATATTTCTGATATGCTGATGAATAGCGAGGATGAGGATGATGCGGAGTATGAGGAGTATAGAACAAACCTGGATGTTTTGTATGGTGCTGGAGAAGTATACCGAGGAGTAATTGAGACGAGTATGTACAATTGCTACAGCGGAGTAGTGAATGATGGAAAAGTGCGAATTAATGTGATTGGAAAGAAAAGCATGAACAGAGCACTGCATGGAGACGAGGTGTATGTAGAGGTGGTAGAGAAGTGTGAAGATGATGCGATACTTATTGATGATCGGGAAGTGCAAATGCAAGGGGTGAATAATGAATGTGGAGCCGATGGTAAGATTGGAAGTGTAGGCATGCCAGCGAATGTTTTAGACACGAATGGAAACTTATTTGGAAAGGTTGTAGGGATATACAAGAGGAAGACCAGGACAGTGATTGGGAGTGTACCAAATGATGATTATTACAAGATTGGATCTCGGCATGTGCTTGTGCTTCCGATTGATAAACGAATGCCAGCAATACGGGTTATAGCCCTGGATGTGCAGAAGCTGAGGGGAAAGAGGCTTTGTGTAGAGATTGATGCCTGGAAAAGCACAAGCAAGTATCCAAGTGGACGTTATTACAGATGCTTGGGAAATGTGGGAGAGAAGGATGTTGAGATAGAGTCTGTGCTTCTTGCGAACGGAATAACTTATTACGCAAAGAGTTGGGATGGTGCCGATGCGGGTCTACATGCATTTGATGAGTGCGAAAGCATGAGACGGATCAACGAAGAGGTGTCGATGGGATTGAGAGAAGATTTCCGGAATTTTCTTGTGTTGAGCATTGACCCGCCTGGATGCACAGATATTGATGATGCACTTCATTCTCGCTGCCTTGCAAATGGAAACATGGAGGTGGGAGTGCATATTGCAGATGTGACGTTCTATGTTGGCAAAGGAAGTGGCCTTAATGACGCTGCAAAGGATAGATGTACGAGTGTATATCTGCCAGAGATGAGAATTGACATGCTTCCGGCGGTTCTTAGCACAAACCTGTGCAGTCTGGTTGAGGGGAAGGAGCGAGCCGTGTTTTCTGTGGTCTGGGAGGTTTCTATGTCTGGAGAGATCATTAGCACACGGTTTTGCAGGTCTGTAATAAAATCAAGAAGGGCGATGAGCTATGAGGAGGCCAACGGTGTAATGAATGAGCAGGGCGTGGAAAGGTGCGAAGTCCGAGAAAGCCTGAGGAGGCTGAACGGGATAAGCAAGATATTGAGAAAGAAGAGGTTTGAGAAGGGATCGTTGGATGTGAGCACGAAGGATGTGATGTTTAGGGATGGAAAGATTGAGTTTAAGCAGAGCTATGAAACGAATATTCTTGTTGAGGAGCTGATGATATTTGCAAACATATCGGCAGCAATGTTTATGTATCATTACTATCCGGAAGCATCTCTGCTAAGAAGGCACCCGCCTCCAAATACAGTTCCTCTAGGCTTTGAGGTTGACACATCGTCTGTAAAAGCACTGAATGAGTCGATACTACGGCTAGATGGGAAGCAAAGCGAGATTGCAAAGCGAGTGCTGATCCGATCGATGAATCAAGCAGTGTATTTTTTGTCGGGAGATGTCACGAGCTTCCATCACTATGGATTAGGGGCGGACATGTATACGCACTTCACGTCTCCAATACGAAGGTACGCTGATATTGTTGTTCATAGGATTCTTGGCCATATTCTCAGCACATCTGGGCAGAGCGAGGAGAGCATCAGTGGGCTTGGACGAGTAGCATTTACGCCTATAGCAAGGCATGGCGAAGAAGGAACCGAAGAGGTGTTTGCTGATGAGAGGACCTGCAAGAATATGAACCGAAGGCATCGTTCGGCACAGAAGGCGTCCTGGGAATGCGAGAAGCTAGCAATATATATGGCTGTTAGACATGCTGAGCCGACTGTCGACGGATATATCACGGGGATCAGGTCGAACGGTGTGATTGTTTATGTTCCTGACTACAACATAGAGGAGGCCGTGGCCTGCAGCACGCAGCTCTGCATGTTTGAAGCAGTGCGGGTCCGTGTGGTACGGGATGACCAGATGTTCTTTGTCCACAGGAGGTTTTTGCTAAAGCTGGTTAATTAGCACTGAGTGTTTTGGTGGTAAGCTGATGCAACGCATACCTGAGAATGGATAGAAACATGGGTAAAATAACATAATTCAATAAACGATATCAATTCACAGATTGCCTGGTGCAATAAGTTTCCAAGGAGAGCTTATTGGAGATGGAACGGCCTTCGAGGATTTTTCAGATCTATGTTGTGTGTTTTCATAAGATGGGTGATTAGACACCTCTTGTATATGTATCTTGCATTGCAGAATGCACATACAAATCCATTTGTGTCTTCTGTAAAAGGCATTGAATGGTTGCTGTGCAATATGCGATTGGATTCAGGCTTGGCATAGTATGTCTTGGCACATGCTTTCTCCTGAGCTTGCTGTCTGAGATGGTGATTTGGCGTGCCTGAGGAGATTTTGTTGCATGGTTTGTATGCAGAGTGTATTGCATCTACAAAGTGCACGAACAGAGACGCATCGTTCAGCACGTTGTGATTGGCCAACGCCTTCGCCTTTGTGCTGTCCCTGATAGACATGCAAGTGTATGCCTTGGCAGGTTTTTGATTATTTTGCCAGCATGCCAAATATAGAAGTGTGTAATTGTTTGATCTATTGCAACGCGGATACTCGGTAGGATATTAAGCTTGTATGCACGAATAAGCCAAGCCGATGGGCAAATTAATTGAGCTCTATGGTAATTATGAATGAAGGATGATGCATATATAAATATTTTTTTGAGCAAACGCATGCAAGCAGTTGTGGAGGAGCTTCTTTTGTCTGGAGAAGGCATTACGCAGAAGCACGGCGAGATATACGAACTTCTTGGACTGGATGTGGTATATGACAAGGGAAGACTGAAAATATACAGCACCAACAAAGCAAAGATTGTTTCGATGGGGACGGGGATACATGTCAGGGCATGCTACAAGTCGATGAGCCGGCTTGCAACAAGGGGATTTGTGAATCTTGACGGGCACGGCATGCCGTTGGAGATACTCGACATGATGGGAAACAAGATTGTGGTTACGTTTGTTGGGAAGGAGAATGCGAACCGGATTGCGATTGTTACAAGCGGGGGGGATGCACCTGGCATGAACTCAGCAATTAAAAGCATAATACGGACTGGAATTAAGTGGGGGGCAACGGTGTATGGAGTGTATAATGGGTATGATGGGCTGATAAACGACAACATAAAGAAGCTGAACTGGGACACGGAGACGTACTACAGCAGCCAGGGAGGGACTGTTCTCCTGTCTGCAAGGTCTGACAGGTTTCTGGAGGCGAAAGGAAGAAAGCAAGCGGTACTGAACATGGCAAAGAAGAGAATCAACTGCATGGTTATACTGGGGGGAGATGGGTCGCTGAAGGGCGCGTTGGAGTTGAGGGACGAGTTTAGGGAGCATCTCCGAGAACTCTTGCGAGAGGGGAAGATATCGAGTGAGGAGAAAAGAAAGATACGAATGAACAAGTCGAGGATGGAAGGCAAGGCAGATGTTGAGCAGACGACTGATGGAAGCGGGGTGATGTATTCCGACTTTTATGGAAAGCCAGAGTGCTACAAGGCGAATCCGACGGTGTACCACGACCTAAACTCGTCTGAGGAGGTTGATGATGGAGAGATGAAGAGAGACGGGGATATCCGATGCGATGAGGAGGAGATTGAAAGATATGTGTATGGGCTGAAGGTGGTGGGTGTTCCAGCATCTATTGACAATGATATATATGGGACCGAGGTTTCGCTGGGGGAGGATTCTGCAATACACAGAGTGGTCGAGGCGATTGATCACCTGATGTCGACGATGAAGTCGCACTCTCGTGCGTTTGTGATTGAGGTGATGGGAAGGAAGTGCGGATGGATAGCTCTTATGTCTGCCCTGGGGTGTGCGGCTGATTATGTGCTGCTGCCTGAGGCGCCTGGCGATTGGAGGAGGGAGATGATGGATGCGATTGCGGTTGGAAAGAAGCACGGGAAGCCTGAGATATTTGTCATTGTTTCTGAGGGAGCGGTTGAGGCCGATGGCACGCCAATACGTGCCTGCTCTGTGGTTGAGGAAATAGATAAGGTCGGGATTGAGGTCAGGTCACTGAAGTTGGGGCATATACAGCGAGGAGGCCCGCCGTCGTTTCAAGACAGGGTGTATGGAACTTTGTTTGGAATCAAGGCGGTTGAGACAATAATGGAGCCGGTTGATGAGCCATTGATGGTAAGAGTGTTCAATGATGAAGTAGATACAATTTGCCTGAGGGAGGTAGTGCTGAGGAACGAAATGACAGCGGTATTTGAAAGGGAGATGAAGTTTCCGGATGTGTTTAGGAGTCGGAATGAGTTTTTTAAGCTTGCATATGTGTACTTCAGGAAGGCGCTGATGACAAGAGTGCTGTATGAGAGCGGATGCAACGCAAGGATTGGGTCTGTGGGGATCCTGCAGGTTGGTGGCCGATCCAGTGGGATGAATGCAGTGTTGAATGCAATAGTGCAGTACTCATTGCGGATAGGAGTGGAGCCATACTACATTCCGAATGGATTCGAAGGGCTTGCCAAGGGCCAGATTGTGAAAGCAAAGCTTTATGAGTTTTCCAGCGATGTGAACAACGGCGGGTCTGCGATTGGAGTGGGGAACGGCGGAGAGATTGATGCTGATGAGCTGCAGAAGAGGATAGACGAGAGTGGGCTGAAGTCGTTGATTGTGATAGGAGGCTCTAAGGCTCTTTCGATGATTAGTAAGATAACAAGAATTAATGTTGTTCTTGTGCCAGCAACTGCACACAACAATGTGCCAGGAACAGGCGTGAGCATTGGATCTGACACTGCATTGAACACCATTTTGAAGATGTCTGATATGTCGAAGCTGAATTCGTTTTCGTGCAAGAACAGTGTGTTTGTGATTGAGATTGGGGGAGAAGAGTGCGGATACCTATCACTAATGGGAGGAATAGCGGCTGGTGCGTTTGAGGTGTTTATTCCTGAGAGGAGGTATCTGATAGGGAATCTTTCTGAAGCAGCGCAAAGGTTGCGGATGAGGTTCAAGGAGAGCTCGAGACGAGGAATAGTGATATTCAGGAATGAAAGGACGTTCTGCTCGATCCCCACGGACAGCTTCTGCAAGGTTCTGAAGACGGACAGCAAAGGGCTGTTTGAGACGGGATATTCTATTCTTGGGCCTATACAGCAAGGATCGAATCCATCACCGACAGATAGAATATATGCAGTGATTCTAGGGATTGAGGCGGTTGATCTATGTGTTGCAAACAGTGGGATCGGCGTGGTGGGCATCTGTGGAAGCAGCATTAGGTTTACAAAGATCGGAGATGTTTTGGATGCATTTGATTCTGAGCATGACCGGGAGAAGGATCCGAAGTGGCTCAAGTACTCGAATATATGTAGATCTGTGGAATAAAGCGAATGCAAATTTTATGTGTATTATACGCATTGTACTGCTGTCGATTTTATCTAACACGCTTTGCTCATGAGCGAAGCCAATATAGTCTGCTGTTGGCATGCTCAGTGTATATCAGCACACCTATGTGCAGCTACATGCTTGCGCAGCATTTGTATGCAATCAATAACACATTTTGTAATATACCTGTTTTGTGTTCATGCATAAGAATGTTTTTTTTTCTAGCTTTGAGCAGGATGGAAAGTTCAGCAAGGAAGCTGTTGTTGGGATAGACGAGGCAGGACGAGGCTCTGTAATGGGATACATGGTCTACGGCGCCTTGATAATGCCAAGGGGCTTTTCCGAGGCTGTTGAGTTCAAGGACTCCAAAAAACTATCTTCCTCAACAAGAGCTCGGCTGTTCGAGTGCATAAAGGAGCACAAAGAGTTCGAATACATTTACTATTGCAATCATCCAGACTACATATCAGAGCAAATGCTCAGCGGAGACAAAAACCTAAATGAAATCTCATTTGACTCAATTTTAAAAATACTAGACGAGATCACGAAAAGATGTAAGACTGTTAGCACTGTTTATATAGATGCGCTAGGAGATTGCAAAGAATGTGCAAAGAAGCTTGAAATGCTGTATCCATACAATTTTGTTGTCAAGGAAAAAGCAGATGCAACATTCAAGGTTGTTTCTGGTGCCAGTATTGTTGCAAAGGTGATGAGGGATTCAATGATGCTGGAGTTTGGAAAAGATGTCGGATCTGGATATCCTGCTGATCCAGACACTGTCAAATGGCTCAATAAAAACATCAATAACGTGTTTGGATTTCCAACAGGAGTCAGATACTCATGGGTAACCATCAAGAGAATGCTTGGCGAAAGAAAATCATTGCCTCTCAAGGGCTCTCTGGCTGGATTCTATGCCAATAGCTCATGAATAAACACAATACCAAGCATTCAGTCAATACTCATTTGTAATATCTTGCCTTATTGTAGGCTACCTCAGCAGAAAAATATACCCGTCTTCCAGAATCTCAACACTGCATTCAACTATTTTTGTATCGTCTATCAATTTACACCCGTTCTCGCTGTAAACCCACCATGTGTAGTGTCCTGATGCTGGATTGCATCCAGTATGGCTGATACATCCCACCACTCTGTACTCATGATCCTTTGCAACCTCGCATTCTTGATCTGCCTGCATAATTTGCAGCGCAATCTCCATATCGTTTTCTGCTGTGCTCAATGCACTCCTTGCCCTCTCTGCTGCATATCCACAATTTACTAGATCTGCAACAAGAGCTTGATCTGCATGTGCATTGCTCATATGCTTCTCAAGCACAAGACTCCGGATTCCAATCTTATAATTGATCTTCTTAAGCTCGCCAGAATCATACACATACCTTCCTACCTGAACAGCCATGTACTTTGGAAGCCTTGTAATGCGTTTTTTCCGTCTTTTATCTCCTCCACACTCACATTTCCATGTATCATCATCAAAAAACACATCCACAGCTTTGCTTATGCTATCATTCATGATTGTGCACACGACAGGGATCTTTTCATGAGTCACACACACTTCGCTACATCCACTGCACTCAACTCTCATGCATATCTCAAAGTTCAGCAGCGATGTGATCTGTGGAATCAAATACATGCTCTCGGCCTCTGCAATCTGCTCCAGCAGCAGCACAAGGAACTCATGAGCATCCTGCTGAGTATGCCTCTCAAACACAGGCATGGCTTTCCACACAAGAGTTGCTAGCTCTTCTATCAAAATCCTACTGCCTTTGCCTTCTTTCACAGACTGCCTCATCGTTCCAAAAACACGCATCAGCTGGCAAAATAAGCATTCAAGAGGATTCTTTGCATGGCATACTTCAAAATGCATCTCAGTATCTACATCTTCATGTGAAACAGCATATCCAACAATTTGCAAAGCAGACGAAATATAGCATGTGTTTCCAAAATTGCCTATCCCGACATAAGGCCCATTCACCTCCTCCGCAGGCTCATTGTCACATCCATGCCTGCTTTTCTCACTGCTTTCCATTCCTCCAGAATAATCTATCCTCACACAAACATCATTAATCACATCAGCTGCATCTCGATCCTCAAACCTGATTCTAACCATCCTGTCAAACATGTCATACTCACTCATTACTCTAGAATCGCATAGATAACAAAAAACCTCCACATTCTTCATTCCAAGGCTTTCAACCAGCACAAAGATGTTATGCCCTTCCTTCTCATAATGCATTCTTGCATGCCCTTCTCCTTCAACACCATACTGCTTTCTTCCGCATCCTACATATCCACAGCTAATGCATATCCACAGCCTAGACCTTATGCTACACATCTCACACTCCACCTTACATGCCTCCCCAACATTCAGATCACCTGCATTTACACTACATCCATGAACACACATAATCTCGTCATTCTCTTGTGTTACTCCCTCAAAGTAATTGAGTTCTGCCAATGCCTTCAACTTCTTTACTGCATCAAGCATCTCATCACCATCAATAACCTCACTTCTGACCTCGATTCCTCTTTCGCCTCCAAAATCTCTCGCCTCAAGCACTGCAAAGCATCCAGCCTTGCAAAAGTGGATCTGCTTATGTGCACTACAAAACGAGAGCCCACATCCACACACACATATGCCTTCTGCAATATCTCTATAGCAGTAGCAGCAACACTTCCTGAACCTTGAAAGATTCACCGTAGCATTCATATATGAGAGGGTTAGTGCCTAAACAAATAAACTTCTTGGCTGCTCTCCATCATTACGCCTGTCACTCATGCATATTGCTCAAAATACACACCTGTAAATAATCGTTTTATTCAAACTCTCCTTCCCCTGTGGCCTCCACGCTTCCTAACACGATCTCTTGCTACAGGCGTTACGTCCTCAAACCTGCCAACCTTTAGCCCTGCACGTATCAACGTTCGTATTGCTGTCTGTGCACCAGGCCCAAGCGCCATCGGCTTCACTCCTCCTGCCCCTCGCAGCTTGAAATGCAGTATCTTGATCCCTCGCCCAATAATCTTCGTTGCAACATCCTGTGCCGCAAGCATCGCTGCATACGGCGACCCCTCATCTCGCTGCGCCTTCACCCTCATTCCTCCAGTTATCTTTGCAATCGTTTCAGACCCCGTCATGTCGGTAATATGCACAAACGTATCGTTCCTTGTTGCCTTGATATGTGCAACAGCCGCAAGCTCTGCAACCTCAACCTTCTCAGACATACAAGGGCAATTTTTTTTGTAGTTCAATGTCTCTGTTGCATTACTGGCCTCATCACCACTGCAAGCCCATTCATACAAAAAAATACTCAAACACCTCTGTCTCTGCAGAATCGTTTCCATATGCTCTTACAGTGCATGCATCCTGCTCAATCTTACTCTCAGTCTTCACATTGCATCCAGTACACTCCACAAAAAGCTTGTCATTCTCACTCCACACCCTGCTATTTACAACAGGAACATACACGTGTAGGCACTTGCCGCAAAAAACCATCTTCAGCAATCCGTCTCCGTCACGATGCATTCTATGCCTTATCCTCGACAAAACATACTTCTCCCCGCCAATCCCCATGTAAGCAGGCAAAATACACATCAGATACTTCAAATCCTCATGAATGTTTGCCAAGCTTCTACAAATTATCATTCGCCTAATCCCATCAGAAACAAATATTTTAATCTACTCCATGCTGCTGTATCCTGAACTCGACAAAAAATCATCACTGAGGTTCACATCATCCTCATCCTGCACAGCCATCGCCTGCCCCAGGACAAATGGATGTTCAAGAAGTTCCACTGCACTTGGCCTCGAAAACCTATCAAACGACATGCACTTCCTTACAAAGTCCTTCAGCGCAAAAGACGAACTCTGTCTGAAAAACAGCGGCAGCTTTCCGCGTATAAACATCTTCCACTTCTCCACATCCTTCTTGCCATCATCAAAGTAAAACGGTGTCTGCTTCAGTGACAAAAACCACACAATCGCCCCAAGGCTCCAGATGTCTCCTTTAATCCCATGCACATTCAACTGCGAAATCTCCGGCGGTTTGTAAGGATACGTTCCAAAACTCTTCGAAGGTATCTGTATCTCTGCATTCCTGTCCTCTGGCTTGAATCGTCTTGCAAATCCAAGATCAATGATCTTGTAAATCACGCCATCCTTTGTCTCTTTCCCCATCACATTCGAGATCTTCAGGTCAAGATGTGCTATTCCAAGCTCATGTAGATACTTAAGTCCGCGTAACACCCCTTCGGTAACCTCGCGTATTCTATTCTCATCCCCTCGGATGATCTCCTGAGACACCTTCCGATCCATATGCTCCATAAACAGCCAGATAATCGTCTCCTCCTCTCCCTTTCTATTTACAAATTTCTCCCTGAACGACTTAAACGACTTCACAACATGCTTGTTGTCCAGCATCATCAGAATCTCGTCCTCAGACAGGCCGGGCGAGTCAGGCGCAATGCATCGCTTGATCACAATGTGCGGATTCTTGTATGTATACAGAAACACCGCATTCGCTCGCGTTATCTTCACAGGCATCAGTGGAAGATGCGTCTTGATAGCTGCAAACGCCTTGTTCTGTTCATATCGTGACCTGTGCTCCAGACACTTGTCGACACTTTTGTTTATAAACTCCAAGCATATCTTTTCCATCCTCAAATCCTCCTTGGCTCTGTAAATAAAAAAATATTTTTTATACCAAAAGGTAAAAATAAGAACCATCGTTACCACCGCCACTGTCCTGAAAATCTTCCTAGACAAACTTCGCTGGTACCCTTGCACTAAATACCCTGCATTCCTCACAAAGCTTGCCCAGCTGCTCTTCTTGCAATCACTCATACTCTAAATCTACTTTATTTATTTATGCAAATTTCATTTATATGATTCACTTAAGCTTTCAAACATGCAATTAATCATATATCAACATACTTCTATATATCAATTTGTACACATCATTTAGCCAGCCAGAGAATGCTTGCTCCACATTCTATGCCGCCATCAACCTGTACGCTTGCATTCAGCATCCTCTTTGAATGCTCTCCAGGGTCTCCTTGTTCTTACGCACTGCCATCATTATCACATCAAAAAGCCTCATTGGGTCTATGCTTTCGGACTTTCCTCTTGATACTGCCTGCATCTTGCTCCTTTCCAGATTCTCTTTCCTGCTCCTTTCATTCTGAAACCATATCTGCACTGCCTTAAGCGGGAGCTTGATCATCAGCGCAAGATCTATCTTCGTCATTTTCGATGGATGTGCCGTGATCTTAAACACCTCCTTCAACGCGGTCATCTGGAACATCGTCTTTCTTGTCCTTACCTCCCCCATTTGCTGTGTATCCTCGCCATCCCTCATCAGCTTCAGCAACCCCAGCACTCCACTCATCTCCCTCACATCAAGCTTCCCTTCTTGCATCCCGTCCTGCTGATTTTTCAATAAATCCAAAATTATCTTTAATTTCATAAAATAACATCAGAACCTTAAAAATCTTCTCCATACTAAATCTCAAAAAATAACCACCATTACAAAACCCATATACCCCATCAACAAGGGATATCCAACCACTACTTGCTTGTTGCTGAACGACAAATACTTGCAGAAAACAACAGATGCCGTGTAGCTCGACCACAGTGCTGCCACAAACCCACAGCACATTCGTAGCCCACTCCCCCGCATCAATACACTTGTGATAGAGAACAGAACTATCGGCAGAAACGAATAGCCCAGCACACTGCAGCACTCAAGAAACCCAACCCTCTTCGTGTCCAGCACATTCAGAAGAAAATACATGCTGAATGTTATCAACAACGAAATAAAATAAACATATCCAAAATGAATCCTGTAGTTCATCACAAGCCCAAGGCAATAAAGTCCAACAAACACAATTGGCCCAGAAAGATCTGCATTCTTCACAAACGAAAAGTCAACATCACTCTTCTGCATCACCTTGAAAATGAGTTTACTCTCCTTCTTTATTGTTCCAAAATCAATTCCAAGCTCCTCTAGCAATGGCCTGTCGTTCGGCAGCTGTCCAAGCAATGCAGACTTCAAGTCAAATTTGTTATAATGCTCCTCTTCATCCACATCAAAGCTCATCCCAAGGGCCATCCTAACCATTTGTTTTATTTATACAAACACTCTTACACTTTATCACTACATCTCTACTGGTACACTCATTGCTTTCTCCTCAGCATACTATACTTCTCAAAACATCTTTAATAATCCACCATTATAGCCTCTTAATTAGCAAGAAGCACTCATCATTGAAGTTCGACATCGGCCACTCAAGCTCAAGATCAACATAGCTCTTCCCATCAAACATCACCAGCTTTTCAAACAGCTTGTATGCCGCCCTGAACTCCCCAATCGTCTTTGCCTCCGTGTGTAAAAAGAATGGGAAGCCTATCACCTTGTACATCCCAGTGTAGTATGCTGTCTTGATTGCCTTTCCAGAAAACACCTGCACCACACACATTCCATTCGCAGTAAACTCTTCAAATGCATCAAACGACTTAAGATAAAGCGTATCCCTCACCGTATCCACTACCCTCAGGTCTCTTGTCGAATGCCCTCTTGCAGGCGAAAAACACATAAAGTGCGACACAAGAACACTCTTAATCAGCTCAAGTGACGTGCTACCCGTCTTCATCACAAATATATGCAGATGCGAAATCACATTGTAATCAATCTCCCTATCGCAGAACGTCACATACACAATTTGCTGGTTTTCTCCTAAAATACACCGCACAGAATTCTTTTCCTGTAGGTACCTCATGATCCCCATCTCGGGTACCACATCAGACACCGCATAATCTTCGCCTGTAGTTGCCACATCAGAACTCTCGCATACAGCCTCTTTGCTCAAGAGCATGTCTTTCGACCCCACAAACTTTTGCACTCGCTCCTCAAACGACCTAAGCGCCAGGCCTTTCTCCACAAAAACAGTAAAGCCATGCATCCCACAATGCACATTCACACACACTCGCCTGCAAAAATCCCTCATAAACTCCCTATACACAGAAATATGCTCCCTTCGCACTGCAACAAGAACATCCCCTTGCGGAAGATCCTCCATCCTTGCAGAAATACTCAACGGCGATGCATACTCAGCCTCCCTAAAAACAACAAACTCCTCAATTCCTGTCTTTTCAGCTATCACATTCATGTTCTCCTTAAGACTACCAGACATGCTTACACATGCGCATAGCCTCAAGGATGTCGGTAATGTGTCTTCGCACCATGGAAGATTGTTGAAAATCTTGAGAAAAACTAATCTGCTACGGTCAAAATCAATCTTCTTACTGCATGCATATACAAAATAATTCGCATCCGGATTAATTGCTCCGTCACTCACCAGCCTAGTTTCCATTCTTAGGCTAACTCCCACAGCTTGCTCGCCATCTGCCCTTATCTTCTTTGTCTCGTCGTGCGTTCCCTCTCCATCACAGCCAGTCTGCTTATCTACCATCTCTTCGCCAAATGCTTCTTTACGGGTACATTCAAACAGATATATCTTCTTTCTGGTGTTGTTCAGCCGCCTCTCAATACTGTTATGCAACATCCGAACACTATCATTCTCATTCATCTCAATCTCAAAGTGCTCGCTCAATGGATAGTCATACGACTCGGTGTTGCAAAACCCCATCCCTCGGTAGTTCCTCATGCACTCCATAGTCATATACTTGATCAAACCCTTCCTCTGCTTCCTGCCCAGCACCTCTGCTGTCACTGCAGGAATCTCAACCTCTGCATTCAAAACAGACTCAAGCATGCTCTTCCTCACATACACCAAGTAGTATCCAGAATACTCACGCATCCTCTCCTTATACGGATGCTCGCCTCCAAAGTTCCCCTCCATCACTTCCTCCTTTCTGCTCTTTGTAACAACCCCATCGTTAAACTTCAGCCACTCCCCCCCATGCTTCAGGTACACATAGAAATGCCCTTCCTCAACATCTCCCCTGTGGACAACAACAGAGTACAGCTCATACTGGTTTATATCCATTCCATTGCCATGCTCCGTCTCTGCCTCTTCCACACAACTCACACTCTGCTCATCTACAGTCCCTCTTGGCATATCCACAAACTGCTTCATGTCCAATACATCCGGATACTCAAAATAGTCATTCACCTTGTATCCCTTTCCGCTCTCAAAGTCAACATTGAACCGCTTCAGCAGCACAAAAATCACAGGAGGCAGCTCTCCAAACATCACCCCCTTCTCCGCATCAACAAGCCCGTGCTTCTCACAACTGTACCTGTTGCTTCCCTCCAATCGCTCAGGCTTCACATATCTCTTCAATGACTCAATCAGGCTGGAATCCAGCTTCTTGTTCATAAAGTCCCTGATCTCCACTTGGATGTCCTGAAACTTCTCCCTGATCTTTCTGACACATCCGCACTTTGCATTGATATAGGTTATCTGCTCTCCTTGTATGAGCTTCTCAATAAACTCTTTGCTTCCGCTGTCTTTCTCAAGCAGATCAAAGAAAAACTTCGAAAACTCATGGATGTCCTGATGCACATGCACATCATCAACCCATGCATTATTAACAACAAACTCCGTCGTGTCAACCATCTTACTGCTCTCCTGCATGGCCTTGAACAACCTTTGCAAATGCAACACTCGTCCGCTTGGATTCAGTGCATACACGTCATTTCTAAACTTCCTTATTCCAAACAGCGTCTGGATCAACGAGTTGATGTAGCATGTTGCCCCAAGGTTCTTCAGTCCAACATACCCTGTCGAGTCCTTCGAATCATATTCCCCACTCACTACATCCACCCTCACTCTGATCTCATACTCATCACAGCCTTCAACATACACTCCTGTGTCTGCATTGAACATAGAAAACTGATACTGGCCATCGTATCTTCGCCCATTGACACTAATCCAAAACACCACAAGCATCTCGTGATACGACCCTCCCATATACTCCAATGCAAGATATATCTTGCTGTTCCTATTCGACAAAACCATCTTCCACTCATGTCCACATGCAGAAAACTGCTTAGACTCTATCTTCGACCCATTCGACGGTTTCCTTACTATCCAGTTTGTGTCCATCTGGGGCTCCTCTCAAAAACATTTAACACATATCTACGCCCTCCATCCACAACATCAGTAAACAATCAATCACATCAATCACAGGTATGCAAGGAAGCCTCAACAATTGCATGCAGTCAACAAAACGCCTTTACTTCCTTTATCAAGACTCCTCTCGCAAGCTTCATCACTTGCTTGCGGGCAACATCTTCACCTATATGATACATCCCATCACTCAGCTTGCATTCTGTTCTACTCTGCGAACTCCCATCCCCGTGACACTCTTGAAAACACTCTGTCAAATAGTACCTGCTGGGAAACAAAGTTCGATGTATTTCTGTAGTAGTAATGGCCTGCAAAACAGTCCAGGTTTCTGTAATAGCAGCAGTAGTAGTGCCCATCTATGGATGCACCAGGGATACTTCTGCTCTTGGGATCCGGCAGAATAAATAGCTCCTTGATCTTTATGTACACAAAGTCGCTGTTTGCTATGTCGTATGCACTGCCTGCATTGGCATACTCCATCCTCCACTCAGGAAACAGCTTCCAGTGGATGATGTCTGGATTCGTTGCTAATGGCGGTTCTGTAGTAAATGGATAGATGCTACCGGCCATCTCTCCTTCGAAGTATGTCGTAAGTAACTCATACTTGTCACTGATGTTGTGGATTTCAAATGTGCCGCAGACAATTTCTTGCTGCTGATCCACAGCATCAATCACCATCTCAATTGTAAACGACCCGCCGCTTGAAAGCTGATTTCCTCTATACCTTGCACCGCTTTCAAGCCCAAAAGACTCTATACAATGCATCGAGAATGCTTCTATCGGCGTTTTATCCATGCATTTACTCCTTTTTATGCTCTGCTCCTGGGCTTACTTGCTAGCTACGAATAGCATAAGGCATTCAAAGTGGATATTGGCTTCACAACTAAGCAAACCATTTAATCAATGCATGATGCACTGGATCAATAAACTGCATTCATGCCTCCCGTCACCCAGCTATGCTGTGCATGCAGATCAATCAAACAGCGCAGCTATCATCGTGCAAATGACACAATTCTGTGACACAGGCGGCACGACATCTAATCTAATTGGACTGCCACAGTGTCAGTAGCAAATATATGAACAATAAGCCATGCATGCATGCACAACCACGAGCAGCAACTTGAACATAAGCAAAGGATATCGCTGCATAAAGTCTTTTCAAAGCAGATGAGTCCGGATGATCCGGCACATCTTGATGCATGCGAGCTCAAAAAGCACTGCTACCATGGGTTTTCTGATCGACTGCTGAGGCCAATGTACTGGAAGGTGTTTCTGTACCACTATAGCAGAAACAAATTCAGGGCAGAGCTCTTCTCAAGCAGACGAAGAGAGCTGTATGAAGCATATGCTGCATCAATCAGTCATCAAGGCAGCAGCATACACAAGCACTACAATTTAATCGAGAACGATGTCAAACGAACATTCATCAGGCCAAGAGTGCATAGAATGAGTGCACAGTCATACACTAGATCATGCGACTTTCTGGATGCTTGCACATCAGATCCAGGAGCAAGCCACAGAAGCGCAATCAAAAGAATATTGATGTGCTATTCAATTGCCAATTCATCAATAAGGTATGTACAGGGAATGAACTTTGTTGCATGTGTTGTGTACTATGTGATGTGTGCTGCGAATGGCACTGGAAGCAGCAGAGACATTGAGTCTGACACGTTTTTCTGCTTTAACAATCTGATGGCAGAGATTGGAGACAACTTCACTGAAGATCTGGACCACAGCAGTGCAGGAATAGCGTACAGAATCGGCATTGTTGCTGGTATTGTCAAGACAGCCGATTCAGAGCTCTACAGTGTCATGAAGAGCAAAGGATTAGACAACTGTATGTTCTGCATGAGATGGATCTTGCTTATGTTTGGATCGTGCTTTGAGATTGATGATGTTGTTTGGCTGTGGGACAGGCTGCTGAGTGATGCATCCAGGTTTGAGATGGTGCTGTACTGCTGTGCATCAATAATCATCCTGATGAGAAACACAATAATTAGCAATGACTTTGACGGATGTATGCAGATGCTCCAGGAATCCTCTATTGTTGATGCCAAGACGATGTTCTACATGGCTGATGGCCTGAGAAGGAAGCATCTCGAAAGTATGCTGCAGCATTGATGCTAATGTAATGGCTCATGCATGGCTTCTGAAACATAATAAGGCAATCGATCAAAAAACAAAGAAGAGCAGTGATGAGTAAGACAAAAAAACGCATTGAGGCATTGTCTGAACTCTTTGAAAGCGAGAAGTCGTACATCAAGGATCTGTTGCTGTGGGAAAGGAGCTTCAGGATGTGGATTCTTGGGTATCCACTGTTTGAGCTCAAGATAAAATACGAGATATGCGATAGAGTGTTTGTCAACATGGAAAGAATCAGGCTGCACCATCAGAGCATATTCGAAGACATGAAGAGGCAGAATCTGGAGATTTATTCGCAAATATCCCACGGGAGCATGCCTGATGATGGCGACTTGTTTGTTTTAGGCAGTGTAGACCATGATACCGAGGCCTTAGCAAAGCTGGAGTACATCTCAATATACGAAAACAGACTGGATGGATTCAAGCTGTATCTTGAGTATGTGCGAGGCCTTTCAAAGGCGCAATTTGATCTTGAAAGGCTGATGGAGTACCATCCAGAGTTTGCAAGCGGCGTGAAGGCATTTCTGAAGAGTCACAATGTTGATTCTCTCGGGATTGAGCATTTTCTGTACAGGCCGTCGCAGAAGCTTGCAAGATACCCTCTTCTGCTGAATGCAGTTGCAAAAAACGAGGAGGACGATGGATTCAGGGAAATGTACCTTGAGCTTATAGAGGGCTTCAAGATGATTACAAAAAGCGTTGATCGCGAGTTTAATGTGTTCAACATGCAATTCACAATATACAGGCTGGGCAAACGCTTCAGATATGACAAGTCCGTCAGGAACCAGCAATGCTTGGGGCTATTCCAGATCTCAAGGAGCTTGCTGAAAGAAGGCAATGTGCTTGCAAGAAGTTTGATGTCTGAAAAGCATGTTGAGTACAAGATGTTTGTGTTTGATCACCTGGTGCTTGCATGCAATATTCCGCAGGACAGATTTGATGAAATATGCATCCGTGAGGAACCAATGCCTATGACACGATTGAGGGTTCTTCGAAGCGATCCTGGCATATTCCCAGATGCAATGCCTGCAGGCATGTATTCCTCGCTATTACTGTTTGTGATGGGAGGAGGAATGGCATTGAAGCTTTACTTCAAGGACGATGGAGAGCGAGACGTATACTACTTCATCATCCAAAAGGCCGTGCTTAAGGCAAATTCAAAGCTTAGCAAGAGCATATCCATCGAGGCGCTGCGTTTGAAGAATGCTGGGCGGATGAAGTATGTGTGGAAGTCCGGGCATAATGCCATGATCAATGATGCAGATAGCAACGAAGATGTGTTGAGTGAAAATAATGAGGATGCTGTCAGTGAGGTGTATTCAATGTACTCTGAAGACAATCCTGACCCTGAGCTTGACGAGGCAATACTTGATTTTATAAAAAAGCGAGAAAGTAGTGCGTTGAAAAGAGCATCAAGCCATGGCACAAGCCAATCTGGAATTGACTTAAGCAGTAACAGTACGGCTGATGAGGAAGCGCTTGATGCCAAAAGCAGTACGGTGACGTATGGCACAATGTCTGGGTGGAGAATGCTGTTTTCAAGGTCTGAATGCTTTACCAGGCATGTTGAGTTTCCGTTACTGGCAGCCATGAGCAGGAATACCGAGAATGCCGACTCCAAGCAGGAAGGCATGTGTATTTTTGCAATGGAGGATGGCGGTGTGTATTACAGGCTCTCTGATATGAAGCCAAGGAAGATACTTGACAGGATGGTAGATAAGGTTGTATACGACTCGATGTATGAAATCCTGATGTACATGTCTGAGTCTGTGCTGTATGTGGCTCATTTTGATCTTGAGTCGCCATGCATCGAGGAGGTGATTCTCAGCAAGAGTGTTGGCAATTTCTTCTACAGCTCGACGAGTGGAGGGTCGTACATTGCATCGATCAGCCCTGAGAGCAGCCAACCAATCTCGGTGTTTCTGTTCCTGATTGGCATGTCGAAAGAATCAATTGATATAAGGTTTCTGAAAAGGATGTGTGTTGGATTCCGAGTGTCTAGTGTTCTGTTCTGCTCAGAGCGAATAGTGCTTGCATGCAGGGACTTTGAAATGATCGACATGGACACGCTTAGGGCCGAGAATGTGCTGAACATGCAAGATCCGTTCCTTCCGATTCTTTTCAACAGGCTTGATGCAGCAATAGCGATCTCGATTCTTCCGATATCGCAGCACTCGTTCCTGATGTGCTTCAGCTCGATGGGTTTTATCATTGATGGGGATGGAAGGCTGAAGAGAATAGGTGTGGTTTTTCTGTGGGATTGCGAGCCAGTTGAATTCAAACTGGCAAAGGGGCATGTGATATGTCTTGGGCATGACTGCGTAAGTGTTTTTGATATGAGGACTGGTGTGCTGATTTTTACAAAGTACCAGAAGGATCTACACTTTGTAGCCGGGAGTTCTGAGCCTTTGCTGCATGATGGCGAGTGCATATACACACTGGTTTTTGAATGAATGCCAACAACCTTAATGGCTCAACTGAAGTATTTAGAGCATATAATGCTTAATTATCAATCGGGCTATCTATATCTGCAAGCATCAAGCATCAAGTAAATGTAAAACAATAAATTTAATGTATTGATCGATGTATTAGAATAAAGCATCATTTGCATATGCTTTGTGCCATTGAGATATTGCAATTGTTCATGGAGCGCCTTTGCATCAGCAAAACCGATTGCATGTTATTGATGAGGCAAAATTTCTTCGTTCAAAATAATGAATGGCTCAACAAAGAGATCAAACCATACTACTTAATGCAGATAAACTCTTGCAATCTTTTATCTGTTTATAAGATTGTCCTGCATGCTTGCTCATGCTATATATCCATGTATGCTTTGGCCATTTCAACCACGTCGCTTGGAAAACCTGCTTTTTCAGCAACCATAATGCCAAAGCTCGTGTCGCAAACACCATCAATAACCTCATACATAAGGAGTGTGCCATCGCTCTTGACTCGTTTGTTGACAACATCTTCTCCGCAAAGCTCCGGAAAGTGTGTTGCACAGAAGCACAGCGCACCTTTGGACACAATATGCTCTTTCACTGCCTGTGCAATGCTCAGTCCGTCTATTGCGCTTGTTCCCCTTCCAAGCTCGTCAATAATAATCAGCGAACTACGCGTGCTCAGGTGGCAAATCCTTGCTATATCAACCATCTCAGCCATGAATGTCGATGCGCCCGTAAACGCACAATCACCGGCGCCAGCCCTTACATATATCCCATCAAATATCGGAAGCACTCCATACTCCGCAGGTATATAGCATCCAATCTGCGCCATTAGAGCAATAACACCACAAGTCTTGATAAATGTGCTCTTGCCTCCCATGTTCGGGCCAGTCACCACACACATTCTCTTTTCGCCCATGCTAACTGTGTTTCTTATGCAGTTTCTGTCCTCAAGCACAGGGTGAAACCCGCTCCTTATCTCAAACACGCGATCGCTGAATACTGGCCTTGAATATCCCGCAACACTTGCCTTGATCGAAAACGCATTGAGTACGTCGATATGTGCAACCAAATGATTAATGCACTCGACATCTGGCAGATACTTCTTTATCATCATCCTAAGCTTCCCAAGCACCACTTCTTCTTCTCTATCTATGCCTGCCTTGATATGTGCTTTCTTTTCATTCATGCACGATAGCATTCGTGTAGTAAACGAAACACCTCCCTTCGTAAGGCTAAGCTCAAGAAATCCTTCCTTCTTGAAAACATCCTGGCTTCTCTGGTACTCTCCCCTTGTACTCCTAAACATCCCTGTACTTGCATCATATCTTGCATGCGGATACACTCTATACACCCTTTCGTATTCTGTATATATTTCCCTATCAACCTCGTCAAGCAACTTCCTAAGCTCGCCAAGCTTATCTGAAAACCCAGGCCTGATTGTGTAGCCACACTCTTCTTCTGAATACACATCAATCATCTTGTTGGCCTCATCCAGAAACAAATCAAAGTGTTTGCAAGCTGCATCAAGTGTGGCTGCAAATGTTTCTCTAAGGCATGCTGACGACCCCAGAACCTTCACAATCCCAGGAACACATCGAATCGCTTCAATCAGCCTGAGCATCTCCTTGAAGCTTATTCGTCCGTTCCAAATCCTTCCAATGTGCTTCTGAAGATCAGGAAATCCCTTCAGCCCTTTTAGGTCAACCTGCATCAATGCTTCTACAACATCCAGCCTCTTCTCAATTGCATCCCTATCAGTCAACGGCTGTAGAAACATCTTCTGGAGATGCCTATGGCCCTGATTGGTAACGCACGAAAACGTACTAAAAACGCAGTGCTCGTCTTCATTCAGCACATTCAGTGCAAATAGCGCATTCTTGTCCACTCGACATACAAATCGCCTAACATACTCCCTATGCTCATATCTCTGTTCATCCACCCTCAGATACTCACACAGCATCCTCGTTGTGTTTCCATTGCACTTTCTCAAGTGACTCGGTATTCCATACCTGTTGAGAAGCTCTTCTGCTCTGGTTGTGTCACAAACCACTTCCACAATGTTCTCCTCATTCAGAATCCCGTAGAGGCCGCTAAACACATCATCATCCTTGAATATGCATGTATACATTGTGGATTCACAACTACCAACAAAACTGATCTCCACACATTCCGCAATCTTCACTGCTGCAACAGAAGGCGTCTGTTTGCTATCAAGAAGCATGTCTGCAAAGTCGTGCCAATTCCCAGGATATCCTTCTCTTACAAGCTCATATCCACTATACTCCTGCACAGCCATTCCTCCGCTCTTTCTTGTAAGCAGCGACTTCATCACCTCCTCTGCCTCTCCTTTTGATATCCTCAGCTCATTCATGCCGCCTTTTCTGACAACATCTCCATGTCCGTGGCCTGTAACATGCCTGATATCGTCATCAAAAACACTGTACCACTCCCCTTTTACAAATACCTTGAACTTGCTGCTATCCAAAGATTTGTAGAATCTTACAAAATCATCACTCATTCAATGGGATATGCTTATTCTCTATCTAAACTAAGTCTAAGCATCAGAAACTCTAATTATTTATTAGTCATGCCCATTATACACACTTGCTTCCACTTTCACTTGCATTAGCACTCAACACAATCATACTCCACTGCTCACGAGCCACAGCACCTGTTCTTGCTCTTCGCACTGTTAAAAAACATTTTTGTCTCATACCGCAGGTGCTCAGACTTTGCAACAAGATCCTCTATCTTGTCATCCCTCTCAAGCACCGCAATCAATGTCTTCGACAGAACTCCTCGTGTCTCCTCAACCTCTTTCTGCACTTGATGCAAAATATGCTTCGACGTGGGATCCTGATACTCCTCAATCAGCTTCTCAATGTTCCCATTCTTCGCCTCCTCAAGAAACTTTAATGCAACCGCTCCTGGATATTCAAAGTTCGAGCATGCAACATATGCTTGATCTCCCTGCACCATCGTAAACAGCTTGTAGCTCTCTTCATTAAACTTATGCACATACTCTTGGAATTTGTATGTCTCCAGTCTCTTAGCAAGTTCATGCGAAATAAAAGTCACCGTCTCCTTCACCTTTCCTCGCGTAAAAAACGAAAACTGCCCGAGGCTAAACACCTTCTTTCGGATATCTCCGCTGTTCACATCAAAAACTATCAGCGAAATCATTCCCATTGCTAGGGTTCACTCCATACTTCTTATGTCCAAACTCACACAAACCATATCTAAACACAAACATTGAATAAATCATTTAATTATCCTCCGGCTGCCGCGCCCATATCCATTCCTTCCATTCCAGAGCCCTTCATGGATTCAGCCATCATAGTCCGTAGGTCATTGGACCTGTTCTCGAGCTCTTCCAGCGAGAAGTCTGTTCCGTTTATCTGCGCAAGCCATGCCTCGTGATCACGGACCGCATTCATCACATTTTCCTTCTGCTCCTGGGGAATATTGGACTTCTCCATTGCACTGCTCACAGAGTGCAGTGTCTGCTCAAACGTATTCTTCTTTCCTATTTTCTCTTTGATCTCCTCGTCAATCTTCTCATGCTCCCTTGCACTCTCCGTCATTCTCTTGATTTCCTCCTCACTCAACCTGCTCTGTGTGTTTGCAACCTCTGTCCACCCATTCTTACCTGTTTGTGTATCCTTTGCCGTGACTTTAAGCACTCCGTTGTGGTCAACTTCAAACGTCACCTCAATCTTCGGCACTCCCGCAGGTGCAGGAATAATCCCATCAAGATTGAACGATCCTATTCGCTTGTTATCTGCACACATCGTTCGATTTCCCTCAAATATATTGATGGTAACCGCAGTCTGGTTGTTCTGGTATGTCGTAAACGTCTCTGTCTTACTAATCGGAATGCTGCTGTTCCTCTCTATCAACACCGTAGATACTCCTCCTGCTGTCTCAATGGACAGATCAAGCGGAATGCAGTCAATCAGAAGCAAGCTCGACCCTCCTGCAAGCGCATCAGAGTATATTGCTGCTGCCTGGTATGCCGCTCCATATGCAACTGCCTCGTCTGCATTCACAGGCTCAATCACCTTCTGTGCTCCAAAGTAATCCGTCAGCATGCTCTTGATCTTCGGTATCCTCGATGACCCTCCCACAAGAATCACCTTCCGGATGCTGTTCTTCGCCTCCTCAAGCGTTCTTTCAAGATTCTGATTCAGCAGTAGCTTACTGCCATCTGTTGAATATTCAGTGCGTGGCACCCCCTTGTACTGTAGCAGGCATCCCTTCACTCTCTCCATGCATCTCTTGAACAGATCGTCACACAGCATCTCAAACCTGGTCCTTGTAACCGGAATAACCAGGTCTTCTACTGCGTGGAAGCATGGAACATAGATCGAGCTGCTTATAGATGAACTCAATACTGCCTTCACTCTTGTGCACTCAGCCCTCAGCCTCAGTATCGAGTTCTCCTTCAGATCCTTCTCGTTCACAGTTGCATTCTTCTTCAGGAACTCCGCAATGCAGTAGTTGATCAACAGATTGTCAAAGTCCTGTCCTCCCAGGAACGTGTCTCCATCCGTCGCCCTTGCTATCCCAAGAGACCCCTCTACCGAGTTAAACTCAAAGTCAAGCACAGACACATCAAACGTACCTCCTCCCAGATCAAACACAAGCACATCCTCCTTTATAGCGTACTTTGCATTGCTCTGTGTCTGCACATGTCCATATGCAAGCGCCGCCGCCGTAGGCTCTGCAAGCAGCCTGACTCTGTCGGGATTAAACCCTGCTATCGTCGCTGCAGCCTTTGTGCTATCTCTTTGCGGCTCACCAAAGTATGCAGGCACTGTCACCACTGCAGAGTCAACAGTCACGCCAAGCTTCATCTCTGCAGCCTTCTTCAGGTACATCAGTACCCTCGCACTGATCTCAATCGGCGCATAGTAGTGGGTAACCCCATCCTTCGTCACCTTGATAGCTATGTTGTCGTTGCTGTCAACATTCGAGTCGTCCTCCTTCCTTGCCTGATGATTGTACTTCACAACCTTAAATGGCCACCTCTTCAGCGACTCCTGGATCTTCGGATCATTATACGATCGTCCAATCATCCTCTTCGCATCAAAAACCACAGACGACATATCGCTCCCAAACATATTCTTCGCTGCCGTTCCAACAACCACATTGTTGTTCTCGTCAAAACACACCACAGACGGCGTCGTCCTCTCCCCATCTGCATTCGTAATTATCTCAATATTCCCATTGAACATCGACCCCACACACGAAAACGTCGTTCCAAGATCAATTCCAATCGCATACGATGTCTTGTTAGGCGTATTAGATTCACTCATCCTATACTGTTAGGGCAATCACTCACTTTTATTCTTTTTTCTTTCGCGATTTTTCAGTTTTTTCTAGAAATCAGCGTGCTCATGCACCACATCCATATCTCATTTCCGCTCTAAAATCCTCAGTAAAGCATTGTCCTTCAAATTAATCACTTTAATTTCTCGTCACCTCATCTCCGTTAGCGCTCTCTTCTCTACATACTTACTCAAAAAGCACCTCAAAGCACCTTCTAGCATACTCAATCACTCGATAGTCTTTGCTCCTCAACACATCAACCAACACCCTCCTCACCTCCTCAATAAGCCTCTTGTCTCGCCTTCTCGCCATCTCGCCAAGTATCACATACACCTCTCTTTGTATCATCATCGAATAGAACCCGTTATACACCGCTTCAATGCGGTTGTACTCGTCCAGCACATGCCGAATCCTCTCAACAACCTCCAAGTACACAACTTCAATGTCATCAAACACAATCCCATAGCACCTCATTAACACACTTTCTCTCCTGTACCGTGCATCCATACCTATCATCTCAAATATCGCCCCATAGCCTTCCTTCAAATCCATCAGCGTCACCTCATCAAACGGCTGCTGTTCAACTCCTCCCTGCTCAAAATACATCTTCTTAACCCCCACAAGCACTCCGTGGTAGAACATCAAAAACTCCAAGGCAATCCTCTCAACCCTCTTCATCTTGCCAACTACCTCGTCTCTTACCTCCATCATTCCATCATCCCCAGGCTCTGCATCCCCAGCCGCACTACTCATCAGCTTGCATGCCTCTGCAAATATCATCTTGCTTCCGTTCACAAACGACACAAACCGATGCCTACTCATCTTTCCCTTCGTTCCACACATAACTCCACGCACCACATCCTCCCACAATCCTTCATCTCCACAATACCTCGCAATATTCACCACCACCTCAGAATATCTCTCTCCGCTTCGTCCCAGCAATAATCCTATCCTTTCAATCAGCATCCGAGACAGCCCTACATCCTCTGCAGAAATCCATGAGACATACACATCCAGCCGAGCATCCACAAAGTCCTCTCCACTTGCAAGCATCTCGATCATCCCAATCACCTTTTCCTGTAGCAGTCTATTTCCTGAAGTAACAAATCTTTCAAGGTAAGGCATCAGCATCCTCAGATCATGCTCCCGAATCAAAAAGCATTTCAGCATCTCAACCATTTCTAAGCATATCGGAAGACTCTTCATCCCTGCAGCCCTTCTGCCGGACAATCTATCCTCATAATCAGCCCTATTAACTCCATAAATCATATCATTCTGCACATTCACTTCATTCACAGGCTCAGCATTGCATACACAATCAATCGGAATTCTTCTCAGCATACTTTTGTATATTTCCTGTATTCTTACTCTCATTCCACTATCCCTCACCTCTAGATCCTTCTTACAAATCTTCATGCCAATCCCCACTTCTCTCTTGCACTCATCACTATCAGTAATACACTTTACAACCATCTTGAACCTTTCCATGCTCAACAGCCTTACCTCATCGTTATTACTGCAAACCCCATCCACTAAAACCTCAAAAAACACATTGCTCACACGCTCATGCCTACAAATCATCTCCACACATCCTCCACTCTCACGGAGCATCAAACACACCGTGTTCAGTTCATCAGAGCCTGACTCTGCAATCAACTGCCTTCCCTTCTCAAAAACCTCGCATATCCCAATCACCGCCTCAGACCAAATCCCATCTGCATCATTCATCCACGCCGCATTCATCATAAGCTCAAGCAAATACCTAACTGCCGTATCTCGCATGATCACTCTGCCGTCGCTCAACTCCTCCCTAAGCATCTCCACATACTTCGTCCATGCTTCCCTACCCTTGCTCTCCATTCGATTCATACCACCAAGGCACTCTCCAACATCCCGCAGAACATACATCAACCTTATGCCCTCATCCTCGCCAACACTACGGCACATCATCCATAAGCATTCAACAATCACTTCAAAATGCCTTCCACTCAGCAAATGACTAAATCCACCAACCATCCATTGAATCAGCAAATACACACTCGAGTAGAGCTCAGGAACACATCCATACCTAACACACTCAACAATCACATCCCATCCCGCTTCCGGTGTCACAAGCCTCAGCACCTTAAGCAGCACTTCCAGCACCTCCTTCTTCTCTGCATCTGCACTTCTCTTCAGCATCCTCTCCATCATCCCAAAAACCACTCCTTCAATCTCAGCACTCAGAATCTCAACATCACTGACATAATCAACAACAATCAAGCAGAAGATCCTTGTGGCATACATTCTATCTTCCTTGCTTTCCTCAATAACCCCATTCAGAATCATCTCAAACATCCTGACATTCAGAGGCTCAACAATCACTGGCTTCATCACATTGAACACAGAGTGTAAAAAATCAATCTTCTCCTTTCCACTCCAGGCATTTTCTGCATTATCGCCATCATGAATCATGCTTACACCCTTCAGCACATAGAACATCTCTTCTGCATCAAAATGCCCGATTGCATCAACAACCAGACCTACACACTCCTTTCCTTCGTCAATAACAACCTTCCAAGACTCCTGCACACCCTTTCTGTTCTCTATTGCACACTGCATCATCTCCTTACAAAACCCTAATCTCATGCCTACACTCAAAAACTTCTCGAGCCGTTCCTTGTCACCAAATCCTGCATAGAAATCAACCGCGGCACACAGCAAATCTTTCACATCATCATGAACACGCCCAGTATCCATCAGCTTTGAAAGCAGCTGCGTAGAAAACTTGTCAAAAAACACCTTTGCGCATGGATTGTACCGTGTTCCATTCAATTCCGCCTGGATGGCCAGCTGCACCTGAAGCGAGCCCTTAATCGATGCAATTACATCCCTGCTTCCCATCTCATCAACAGACATATCTCCAAGAATTCGGAAAAACACCCTTCTGACAGCTATCGCATTAATCCTTGCCAGGTAAACACTCATTCTTCCAAAAAACTCAAGAAACATCTCCCGCTCCAGCTCATCAAACCCATCGTATGCCTTCTCAACCTCACAAAAAAACACTTGAATGCTTTTCTCAAACATCTCACCGTTTCTTTCTGCCAATGCCTCAATCACCTTGTAAATTCCTCCCTTCGACGAGCATCTCTTGCTTACTAGCCGTACCAGCGAATCCATCACATCATTCAAATACACATTCTTAACGACATCATGCACAAAAAGCCCATCCCGCAACGTAATCATGCACAGAGCATCGACCACAAAGTAGCACATCTCCTTCGAGCAAGAAATACAGGCCAAAAGATGCTTCAAGAAACACATTCCATCATTAACTGCCTGCACCGTCCTGCACATCTCAATGCATGGAAGCTGCTCAGACTTCGAGTAATCCACTCCATCCACATTTTCTGCATCACATACTCGCTCATTAATACTCATGTCGCCCTCGCTTTGCACCTTCCTTGCTGGCATAGAATACATCCTAGCAAATACAAAATCAACTAAATGCATCGCTATCGATCTTGCCGCTGTTTGCACCTGCCTACTTTTATCATCTACCATTGCAAGCAGGCTCTTTAGCAAACTCAATGCAACATCTCCACCAAACTCATCGTACCTCATCAAGTAGTAGCTCATTTGAAGAATCTTCATCTTGGACGCCTCGCACCAACTGTTCTCTCCGATTGCACAGACAATCTCCTTTGCATCTTCATAAGCAAACAGCTCGTTCACAAGGAGAATATACACAAAGTCAACAACAAACAGCGGCACATGCTTTCTTGAGCACATCGCATTCATAAACATCTTCACAATCCAGCACTTTTCTTTTATGAAGTGCTTAATCCCCTCGTTCTCGACTCCTTTGATCTCATCCTTTGCCCTGTGGCACATTGCAATCACGTCAGCATCCTCGCATGTCCTCATGAGCCTTTCGATACAGGCATCAACCTCAGCCTTGTCGAGGTACATTTATTTACAGAGGGTTGCTGAGTCGTATTTATTGATTGCCTGAAACGCATGGCGTGCTATGCGCATCAGCAGTAAACATTGCGGCGGTCCACTCGGTTTGTTGCTACGCATGTTAAAATCACAAAATGCAATGCCCTGATGTTCGTCTTCATGGGATTGCCTGTTGACGACGGGCACACACAGCTCACAGAGGATCAGATATGGGGTGAGCATGGCGTGCTTCTCAGCAGAATACCGCTGCCATCGTTCACAGGAGTGTCCCTCGAGGGCATAGTGAACCAGGTAGAGAGGCTTTGCTCGTTGCAGAAGATGTGTGAGGGAGTTCTGAAGACATTCAGCAAGCAGGAGACGGCTGGCGATGCTGAGGAAAGTCGTGCCTACCGGAAGCTTAAGAACATGAAAGATGCGCTCAGGTGGGACGAGGAGTGTTTCATGACGGACTCAATTGATAAGGCAATTGCGCTTCTAGAGAAAGAATGTGCACGGATCAGCGAGAGATTCAACGCAATGCTTGAAGAGTTTAGTTATGCCAAGGCAGAGTGCGAGAAGTTGCAAAGGCTTACAAGGGGGAGCCTGAGTGAAATCAGCCTGAACATCATTGTTGAGAATGACGAGCATTATGAGTTTCTAAAGGTGCTTTATGTTGTGGTGTCGAAGGGAAGGATGAATGAATTCAGAAGAATGGTTGATGAGTCGCCATACATTTCTGAGGATGCAGTTGTAAGCATAAGCAGCGACGAAGATTATTGCCTATTCAAGCTTTATGTGCTGCTGCACAACGAGGACGAAGTCCGGAGCGCAATACACATGGGTGGATTTACAATCAAGGAGCTGGACGAGGAAGGAACATCGTGCACGCAGATTACAAGGGAAAGGCGAGCTGCCGAAGAGAGATACTCGTCATCGGAGGGATGCCTTATAAGGTTTATACATGTGAATCTTGATGATGCACTGAAGATATTAATCCATACAAAGCTGCTCAAGCTGTTTGTGGAGTCTGTGTATAGATACGGGCTTCCCACTGAGTATGCATTTTTTGTGGTGAGCGGGGAAAAGACAAAGATTCTCAAACAGCTGGTGCCGATCGCAAGAGGCTGGCCATCAGAAAGAATTGCATACGACGATGAAGGAGACATTAATGATGAAGAGGATGTCTTCTTTGCACTAGAAGAGCTCGATATCAACCGGAACGATGACTAGGTATGATGCTTGCATCTTGCAGTCCAAGTGATCACCAGTAGCTCAATAGTATCTCCTGCTATACATAATAAATACGATAAAGCATGCTAGTTTATTGTATGCTGCATTGGTATGGTGCTGAGCATTTATTCCTTCCATACCTTTTTGCATTCCATGCATTTGTAAAAGATGGTCATGGGCTCATCTGCACTCCGTGTCTGAAGCTCAACAAACGACACCTGCTCAGACCCGCAATCGCATTTTCTTCCACATTTCATAACAAACTTTGCATTTTCTTGCTCGTCTATCAGTCCTTCACTTTTCTTTGGCTCTATACACGTCGTCTTCGATATCTCTTCAGACATCAAGTACACATACTTGCACATGTTGCAGAACAATCCATTGCCCGATGCTTGCTTCCTTACCACAAGCATGCTTGAGCACAGCGGACAAAACAACATTTCTGGGATAAATCCACAGCAGAATCAATCACGATGCAGACTGCAGAATCAATTGCAATGATTATTATGATTATTCAGCCATTTGCAAAACACACAAGTATACACAGCCACACCATAGGTATACCATAGTGCTTATATTTCACAGACACATCTCTGTTGTATCATCAAAGAAAAACCGAAAAGCATACACTCCTTGCTCTTCGTCAAGCTCTTGATGCATCAGAGTTGCATCAGTTTGCTTGTTCTCAAACCTAAAGCCAATATTGTCGTATGGTTTGCATACAAACACAATATACCGGTATCTATCATCATATTCTTCTACACCCTGCTCAAGGCTACTCACAAAGCGATACTGTGGAAGCTCCTCGGCAAGCTCATATCTTATCACGATGCTATATCCCTTTCTGCCCCCTTGCACCAAACAGCGTATCTCATGCACTGGCACACCTATCCCAGCAGTATTCTCCTTGTTGATCCTTGCATTATGTTTCCTGCCTTCTCTATGGCGTACATAGCTCATCTCTGTAGAATGCCTTGTATTGCAAGTAGCACACACATATCTTCCTGTATCATCTCTAGTCAGATTCTCATCGCTATCTAGGCCATGGACCTCAAAAAACAGTTTCTTGCTTCTCTCTTGCCTATGCCTCCGAATCTCAGCTCCGGTATGAATCTGTATTCCCCTCTTACTCATCCCAGGGATCCATATATCTACTCTGTGTTTTAAATCTACTTATTTTCGAGCTATTCTATTGGCCGACCATCGAGCCTTCTACTGCCGCACATGCCTTGACTGCTACCTCGTTCAATAGTCTCTTCATTGACTCAGCCAAAAGCCAGTCAAATCCCTCATTCACGCCCTCTCCACTTCTGGCGCTGCACTTCATAAGTCTCACGTCTTTTCTCGATAAAAACTGCTGGAAATCATTTCCAAGCATATCCTGACTGAATGCTGTGCCTATATCGCATTTGTTTGCCAGCAACAGCATAGGCTTGCCCACAACTGCAGACTTTATCCGGCCTACATGTTCAGTAAACGACCGGCCGTCAGTCGAATCAAAAACAAACACAACTCCATCGACATCCTCATAGTAGCTCGACCAATGCTCCTGGAACACAGACTGCCCTCCTACATCAAGAACAACCAGTTCATATCCTCTGTGCACTCCACTGTGTATCTGATATCCAAACGTCGGCATGGCATCCATCACGGGCTTTCCAAAAAGACGATGTAGAACACTTGTTTTGCCTGCATTATCAAATCCGAGAACAAGAATCCTCAGTTGGCTTCGTTCCTTCTTGATTCTCCTCACTATCCTGGCGAAATGCATGGCACATGCCATCAAATGTTTTTTGTAACGCCCTGTGATGATCACAATAGATGCTGCCTGGATCCGATCAAACATCAAGGCGTTTGCACAGAAACGAGTGGTGGTGCTGACAGGTGCCGGAATATCGGTCTCGTGCGGAATCCCAGACTTCAGGTCACAGACAGGAATATTCAACGACATCAAGAAAACTCTGGGAATCAGCGGAAGAAATCTGTTCACATACGGAATATCTGTAGCAAAGGAAACACGAAGCATATACATAAAGTACATGAGCAAGCTCAAGAGCATGGTTGATCTTGCAGCACCATCTCTCACTCACCGGTTTCTGCTTTCATACTCGCAAATCTCCAACGGATTCAGGCTGTACACACAGAACATCGATGGGCTCGAGGAAAAGGCAGGAATGGTGCCCAGGAATGACAAGTCAACACAACTTGTATATCTGCATGGAAGCATGAAGGAGCTGGCATGCCTGTATTGCGGAGCAAGAGTAAACTTTGGAGAAGCCGAAAGAAAAGAATATGAGGCAGGAAACGAAATCACTTGCACTTGCTGTATACTACGGAACGAAAAGCGAGGTATAGAACATACAGCAGGCCTTAGGAAAAGGCCCGTTGGCGTGATGCACACAACAATAATTCATTATGACCAGCAGCATCCGGAGTCTGCATTCATTTCCAGGATGGCACAGAGTGATGGATGCTGCAATTTGTTCGTTGTCATGGGAACAAGCTTAAGAGTGCTTGGAGTAAAGAGACTCGTAAGGTATTTCTGCAGACTGGAGAGTACACATGGCAGGAGGATTCTTGTGAACCTTGAAAAGCCACCTAAGGAGTTTGCGGAGCTGTTTGATTTCTTCTGGAACGGAGATTGTGATGAGTTTTGTAGAATCGTTGGAGAGTGCCTTGGAATCAATGCCATGGCAAACGATGTTCAAAGACTTTCAATAGCATACTGCGATGGCATAAATGATTGCAATAGACAAAAGCATATTGATGAATTACTTCAACACACAAACTGTAATGCCGGTGACAAAAATGCAAAACCCAAAACCATATGCATAGAGTGTGCACAAGATAACCCATAAGCATTGTCTGCTTGCAAACCACACACCGATTAGTAGCATAAGAGCTAATTAGATGCTGCCACATCATAGAAGCACAGTTCAAGAATTAAATCATTGTTTTATTAACCTGCTCAACTAGTTTATTCACTTTGCTCTAAGTGCAGCAATCACAATATATGGGGCAGTTCTCTGTATCTCCTCCTTCATTATTGAGCTGGAGTTCCTCGATTGTGTACACAGGAAGCCCATCGTGGTATCTCCTACCGTCGCGCTCTGTGCAAAAATACGTTTTTTCATCAGACATTTCATTTTCATCGCGCAAGTCATGCCTTGATGCTTTATGTGTCTTCGACTCTACTGCTTTTTCCTTACTATTGCCAATCTCCGAAAATATATCATCAATGTCTCCAGAAACCCTAGCATTGCCTTTATTCAGCCTGCTCAGCTTGTCCTTGCTTCCCATACAGGGACCCAAATAACACATTGATAACACATTGTAGCACAGCTCAACGTCACAGCATCTTGGCCATCCTGTCAGAAATCAATACTAAGCTTTATGTTCATTGCAAGTAATTCACTGCATAGATACTTAAACACATACGGCATTTCAACAACCCGCAGTATCTTGTTACCACATCTACACTCTCCATTGTTGGTAAATAGAATGCTCTTACACTCTGCACAGTAATCAAATTTAGTTGCATCACTGCACTTCATCAGTCTGTCATGTAGCATATATGCGGTTCCGTGTGCAATCAGCGCATCTCGCTCCATCTCGCCAAACCGAACTCCACCATGCCGCTTTCGTCCTCCAACTGGCTGCTTGGTTGTAGAAACCACTGCTCCGCTCGTCCGTACCTGGAATTTATCTCCAACCATGTGCCTCAGCCTCTGGTAAAATACCACCCCCACAAACACATCCACACGGAATTCATTCCCAGACACCCCGCTGTACATCGGCTCATTTCCGTAGTAATTGAATCCATGCTTTGCAAGCTCCTCACAAAGAATCTTCTTTCTTTCTTCTGCATCAGACACAGTCTCCTCGCTCGTTTCCACCTCCTCATATAAAACACTCTTCTTCTTAAACGGCGTTCCGTCCTGCACTTTTCCTTCAAGGCACCCTACCTTCCCTGCAATCGACTCTACCAGCATTCCTATCGTCATCCTGCTCGGAAACGCATGCGGATTGATGATAATATCAGGCACATATCCAGACTCAGTAAAAGGCATATCCGCAGACGGCCAATGCACCGAGCACACCCCCTTCTGCCCATGCCTTGAGCAGAACTTATCTCCAATTGTCGGATTCCTAACCACCCGTATGGTAAACGTCGCACACTTATTCAAATCATTATGAAACACCCTTATCGTATCAATCATCCCCTCTTCTCCTCCATGATACTTCACCGTATACTCCTTGCCATCATCATCAATGTACCTGTACAGCACATCATTTATCCTCATATTCTGCCCGCTGAACGGCAAAAAAGTAAAATGGCATCCTTTCTTCAGAACAACCTTCTCGCTCTTGTACACATATCCACTAAACAACCCCCTATCCAGGCTTCCCTTGTTTATCACAACCGCATCCTCCATGTCATACGCCGTGTACGAAAGCACCGCAACCATGCAGTTCAGCCCCATCGGATAGTCCTTTAGTAGTTCATATCCTTCTGTCTGCACTATGGGCGATTGCAAGTAATTTAAGGAATACAGCTTCACATCCGTCCTTGTCCTTATGTTGTGTCCAGGCGTCCCCATCGCCTGCTTTGCCATCTGGCATTGATACATGTTCCTTGGACTCTGGTTATAGTCAGAGTACGGAATAAGCCCTGCAACTATTCCTAGAATGTTCGTATTGTCTATCTCGCAATATCCATGCCTGCAATTGCTCTTCTCTGCAAGGTCTACATCCAAAAACACCTGCTCCATAATTCCAATCCATTCATGCTTCCCCTCCTTCCTGTTCAAAACTCTTCTTGTGAGCCTGCTGCGCGTTCCAAACACATAAATAGCCTCAAAGACTCCCATTCCATGCTGATACACTATCTCAACTCTGAGTGCATTCTTGCATCTATATTCCCGAAGCGCATTCGCAAGAACCTGTGGCATTCTTGTAAGCCCAATCACCTTTCCATCAACAACTACCGGAACACCCGTATGCCATCCTCGTACCAGAGGAACCACTCCAAGCTCAAAAAGTATATTCTCATCAAAATCCTCAAGAAGCCCAACTACCTCAGCATGCTTTGCCAAATGCGTCAAAATCCCACAAGGCGACCCATCAGGCGTATGCACTGGACAAATAAAGCCCCAGGTTTCAGGCCGCAGCTTCCTGGTCTTCGTTATCTTTACCCTCTCAAAATATGCCCCCCTGCTTATTCCCCTGAAGTGTGCAATAAACCTGTAGAAGTTGATCCGGTCTGCAACTATAGAAAGCCCAGATCCATTCATGATGTCTGATGAAACAGCCTGTGCAATGTTGCCAGTAGACAAAAACAGCTCAATCTTCTCTCCAATTATAAGCCGTGTCTTCTTGAAGATATTTCTTATACTTGCAATGTCAAGGCTGCCCTCGCCATCATCCTCATCTACCGGCAGGCCCTCAGATCCGCCTTTATCCTTCAACGGCTTTATACATGCCAAACGTAAAAGCCTTAGAGATTCATCAATCCTATCTCGCAGCAGCGTCGAAAATATCTGTGTTTCTGTAAGCAACTCGTGGTTACTTGAATGGTCGGGATCATCATCTGCCACCTTCCCATCAACAACAAGAAAAAGCTTTTTGATTGCAAGCACAAGAAAGTTAAACTTGTCAATATTAGATGGAAGATGTATGGCGACACATCTGTTCAGCACCTCCTCGGCAGCCTCCATCTTTGTTTTTGACTTAGTCATGATCATTAGTTTCGATCCAATATAGTCCATGCATTCTGTCCTTGAAAAAACATTGTACTCTGCAAAGCATTTGATTAACTGCATTGCCCGTTGGCATCCGCCAAGCACATCAAATATCTCCTCATCGCTGGTGTTAACAAGTGCTTTCAGAATCAGAACAACTGGAATCAAATAGCACCTCTTCATGTAGAAAATCTTCATTATTACATTTCCGTTTGTGCAGTAATGCAGCATGTTCATCTGCCCAATCTCATCGCTTCCTACACATCTTATTGATATCATGTACTTTGTCATAAAACTCTCCTTTTGCGTCCTTACATATGCAAATGCATAGTTCCTCTTCTGTAGTGTGTTGAACCTCACAAGTCTATCTACTCCATTCACAATAAAGTATCCGCCTATCTCATCCCTGTCCTCTCCAACACTGCTCTTGTCATCAATGCTGTCTAGATGGCACAGCTGCGACCTCACCATAATTGGAATGTAGCCGGCAGCTTTGTTTTCGGTCACAACATGCCTGTTGTCGTAGTACAGAGACATCCTCACTGTCAGCCGCCCGTTGTAAGTCAAGCTCCTTTCTCGGCACTCTCTGGGAAGCAGGCGCCTGTCAATCGAGATGTGCTCCTTGTCGCTCCGCAACGGCTTCTGCATCTGTATCTCGTCAACTATTATCTTTGCTCGGCCTATAACTATCGGCGGCATGTTTGCAACAACGCTCTCCAGAACGTGATCCTCAAACATTGCATTGTAGGCATCTATGTGTGCCTTTGCAACATCCTTCAGCTCCATCGGTGGGATAAAAAAACATAACCGTAATACGCTTTCAGCATATGCACTGCAGCCTTGGAGCCCACTGCATCCTCCATGCATCGTACAATACAGAAATCATTCTGCTGCAAAACACATTATTTGGCACAGCATTGTTGCCCTGATGCCAGATGCTGTTCTCGTTGAGTTCGAGGATGAAGAAGGAAGGCCTGTTTCCAACAGGCTGCATGTGCCGGTCAGTATCCTTAAAACACAGCTGCAGGCTCTTGCCAGCACGCAGCTTTCGCTGTATGTGAATGGCCAGCCATTGTTGGAGTCTCTTGATGAAACACTGAAGGCAGTTGGCATTTCGTCGGCAGAGGATGTTGTGAAGATCAGGATGTGCGAGGATGAGCCTGCTGCACAGGCTGCGTTCCACTGCTCTTCCTCATTCAGTGGGCATGAGGGGCCTGTTCTATGCGTAAGGTATGCAGAAGTGATTGTCACTGGGGGTGGAGACTCGACCGTTCGGTTCTGGGATCCACAGACAAAGACACAGAGCAAGATTGTCAAGCAGCACGATCACTGGGTCCAATGTCTTGAGGTATCTCCAGACGGACAGTATGTTGCAAGTGGTGCATTGGACGGAGGAATCTGCCTGTACACTGCCGATGGAGAGCATGTAAGAAGCTTTCCTAAGCATAAGAAGGGAGTGGTGGTGGTGAAGTTCCACAATGGAAATCTTGTTACTGGATCCAGAGACAACTCTGTTGTTGTATGGGACCTGAGCGGAAAGGTGCTTATCTCGTATGCACATTCAATGGCAGTCACATGCATATGCACTGGAGAAGACTACATGGTGTCAGGAAGTAAGGATGCAAGAATCAAGGTTTACAAGAACATGAAGTTTTTTGATGAGCTAAGGGGGCATGCGCATGGCATAAATGCAATTGACTGCAATGGAATATACATGGTTTCTGGATGCGATGGAGGAGAAGTGATTGTGTGGAAGGAGTTTGTGCTTTGTAGACGAATGAAGCACAGGGCAGAGGTGATTTCTGTGTCTATATCGTCAAACAGGCTGTACATAGCCTCTGGATCGTTTGATAACACGGTAAAGATATGGAGTGTGGACACTGGACAAATGATGCACAGCTATAGCCATGTAGACTTTGTGTACAAGGTCAAGATGATGAATGACCTGGTTGTATCTTGCTCCAAGGACAAGATGATCAAGATGTTCCGGCTCAGCAAAAAGAAGGTTGTGAGTGAGTTTGTCTGTGACTCTGAGGTGTATTGCTTTGACATTAACGATGGAGAGCTTGTTTGTGGAACGAAGAGCAATAGAGTATACTTCTTCAGGTAAGGCGATGGTGAATAAACTTTGATGATTATGAACGAGTTTTATGGATGTTAATGGTAATAAAAAAAAAGCGAGGTGGGGATGAGATGATAAGTCTGAATGCGATGAGATTTGAAAGGAATGCGAATGAGATACGAAAGCGGATGGACAGGCCGCTGGTTGTCATGCTTGGGAAGGGACAGGATGTGGTAGAGTTCCGGATCAACTCTGCGGTGTTTGTGTATTTGCTTGGGTATGAGTTTCCTGAGACTGTCCTGGTGATTGGGGAAAGATGTGTGGCGGTTACAAGCCAGAAGAGGGTGGAGATTCTCAGGCAGGTTGGCGGCCTGGAAGTGATTGTGCGTAGCAAGGAGAGCTCTGGAATAGAGGAGATACGAAGAGTGGTTAGGGGGCATTGCTATGTTGTAGGAGCCGATGGGATTGAGGGAGAGTTCTGCAGAGGGATTCTTGATAGTTTAGAGTGGGAGGATGCAGGAAGGAGGCTTGAGGATGTTTTTATCACAAAAGATGAGATTGAGGTTGAGAAGTGTAAGGCAGCAGGACAAGCTGTGTCTGTGCTGTTGAAAAGAGGGGTGGAGATGCTATGGGACGGAAGGTTTTACATGAAGAAGCTGGAAGAAGCAATGGCTGGAGAGGAGGATGGAATTGACATGAGTAAAGCAGAGTTTTCGTTTCCAGTGGAGTATGATAGGGGAAGTGTTAGGATTGGTGTGAGGCTGGATGGATATTGCAGTGAGGCGAGTAGAACGATAGTGGTGAATATGGACGAGATGTATGAGGCGCAGGAATTTATTCTTAATATGATAAGGCCTGGCGTTAGCTCTGCAGATGTGTATTGTGAGGCGCAGAAGTACTTTGCGTCGAACGGCGTATGCTTTGGAAGTAGGTTTGTGTATACGATTGGGTTGCTAAGCAATGAAAGAGGATTTGACGAAGGGTTTATGCTGAGCAGAGGATGTGTATTTGTTGTGAGCCTGAGGAGCGAAGGAAAGATTCTGTCGAATACGTTTGTATTGAGGGATGTGCCTGAGTATTTGACATCGAAAGACACAGCATTTGAGTTTGTGAAGAAACGGTCGAGGTTCAGAAATAAGACGAAGGAGTATGAGCTTGGCATGAGAAGGCGGGAGCACCAGAAAGAGCTGATTGATGAGCTGATTGAGGAACGTCTTCAGTATTACAGAGGGCTTGAGGGAGAGGAGGGTGCTGAGGATGATGCATGCAGTAGAGAGGTGTGCTATACCAAGGAAGGCCAGGTTCCGAGGCATGGACGACTAGTGGTTGACTACTTGAGAGAGGCTGTTGTTATTCCGATTGGAAGTTATGCGGTTCCCTTCCATGTGTCTGATATTAAGAGTGTGGCTGTGACTGACTCAAAGGGTTTGCGAATCAACTTCAAAACAGAGCCAAGAGCCAGCGACGGCTCTATCTGCGAAGAAGAGAGTGTAAAGGGTGTTCTGAGTCTGATAAAGTCGATAAACATCAGTGGAGGAGACTCTAAGGAGTATGCAGATGAGATAAACGGCCTTAGAAAGGCGTATCTTGCAAAAGGAAGCGATATAAAGAAAGAAGCGCCATGCGGATTAGTTATTTCACAGAAACCATTTGTGCTGAACGATTTGCATATGAGAACGGATGCTAAGTCTGGGAGTAGGAAGAAACAGACTGGAGATCTTGAGGTCCATGCAAATGGATTCAGATATGGAGAAGTAGTGATTTTGTTTGCAAATGTCAGGCATGTGTTTTTCAGTGAAGGGGAGATTGAGAACAGCACGATTCTTCATCTCCATCTGAATGCATCGCTTACAGCAGGAGAAAGGATATTTAATGTGCAGTTCTATCAAGATGCGAGCAGCAACCTTGTGCATGACACTATGAAGAGGGGAGACGAGCATATGGAATACATAATTGAAAAGGAGGAGCAGCAGAGGCAAGAGGTGCTGAATGCAAGATTTATGGAGTTTGTAAGGAGGATAGAGGCGGAGACGCCGATGAAGGTGCAGATACCACACGATGGGTTCTACGGGGTGCCGTTCAAGGAGAATGTGATGATTAAGCAAACACACGAGTGCCTTGTGAGTGTTGAGGAGGCGCCGTATTTTGTTCTGAGTCTTGAGGACATTGAGGTGGTGAACTTTGAAAGAGTGGTCTCTACGGTAAAGACTGTTGATGTGCTTTTTATTCTGAAGAATAAGCATCCGGTGCATGTGGTGATGAAGAACAAGTCGCGGCTGCTTGTGAGTATACAGAGTGTGGATGTACAGAGTGTGGATAAGCTCAAGGATTATCTTGACCTGAACAATGTTCTGTTTATGGAGACGTCTGTAAGCATTCGATGGACAAATGTGATTGCAAGCATTATGAAGGACCCGATTTCGTTTTATGAGGACGGAGCATGGTCTGGATTGATGGTTGGGGACAATGATGAGCCTGAGGAAGAAAGCGAAGTGTCGGAAGAGTCGAGTGTTTCCGAATCCGAAAGCATTGATACAGATGATGATGTGTCGAGCGAGGAGCCTGATGAGAGTGAGGACTACGAAAGCGAAGATAGTGAAGAAGATGATGATGAGAGCGATGACGAAAGCTATGAAAGCGAGAAGCCTAAAAAGAAGCGGCGTAATTAAATCGGTTTACTTATTGCTGTCCGTGTCTTTGTCTCTTTACAAAGTTCTGAATCATGCAGTTGTCTATTTTTCTGGTGAGCTGCACTTCCTTGAATGTCTGCAGATCAAACTTTTTGGCATCAAGCATGCTATATCTGCTCAGGATGTCATCTACTACTTTAGACATTCCAACGCATGACTCAACAATTACTGTCATCAGTTCCCAAAGGTTCATTCCGTTTACTTCACGCGATTGAAGCAGTGTGTTGAGGATGATAAAGCATTTCTGAGCAAACCCAGATGGAAACCCACTCGTCTGTAAAAACTCAATCATGCATGAATACACATCATCAAACAGCGCATCAAATCCCAGTCGCCTGAGCATCTCTGTCTCTGCGAATATGCATCCCTCCTTGAGCCTGATTGACAGTCGGCTTGTCAATGGCACTGGCCTCGACTCATACTGTGTGTACAGATAGTTGAATACATACACAATCCTTTTTATTGTGCACATTTCCTCCTCCAGCTTTGATGCTAGAAGAACCGAGGCCATGCATACACCACTGAATTCCAGCTCGTCACTGAATGTATGGAAGAGCACCAATGCCTTGTACCTAACTCGGTAAGAAAGATTCAGTAGCATGCATGAATCTACAACGAATCTTGCACCTATGAATCCTTTTACTTCCTCCTTCGATATACAACTTCCATTGTTATTCATTTCTTCTAAGGATTCCAAATGAAAAGCATTTGATATGTACGTACTACCCAGTGGTAGCATCGCATGGACTGTGGCATGCAATTGAATACATGACGGCACTTACTATTGATGGCCCAGTGCAACACTCAAATGAGCCCCAAATGGCTTATCTATTCGCTTGCCATAAAATATGTTGGAAGAATTCTTCTTACATACACGACTGCATCACTTCCATACTTATTCACCATACTTTCCAAAAACTGCTTTGTAAGTGTTTGTGCTTCAGCAAGAAACTCATTGTCGCCTTCTTTCGCTGCCTTGTATGTAAATCTCGACAGGTCTCGTATCCAGACCAGGTCTTTTTTATCAAAATTAATCTTTTCAACCATGGGCATGACTTCAAGCTGGATGTCACATCTTAGAGGAGCCACCTTGAATTCAAAATGCCTTCTCGGCCTCTTCTCCTTTGCCTCCTCGAACGGATACACAGGCAAAAACTCCACTTTCTTTCCCTCCTTTGTACTCGGAGAGATGTCTGTGCACTCGGCAGGTCTTAGTGCAAGAACAGAGTGGCTGTTCATTCTTGATGCAAAGTCCTGCTTTGTTTCGTACTCTCGGATGGATGAGCTAATCAACCGATCAAGACTGTTGCTCTGGTTCTTGATGCTGAAGAAGTATGACTGCCTTAGAAGATTCTGGAACTGGTTCATTGAGCAGTTCATCAGCCCGAATATTTTTAGTAATACCGGGCATGTTATTTGCTGTATGCCGTCCTGCACAAAATCCATTTCCACTGATGGCTGCTGCCTGGCTATCCCTACGACCCGTTTCATTCGGTCCTTATTGATTGCCCAGAACTTCGACAGAGAAACATGCTGCTTAAGATTTCCAAACACTGCTTTCGCATCCACATCCGAATCAAGTGCCTTTTTTATGATCTCCTGCTCTGTCTTCATGAATGACAATATAATTGATTTTGCCATGTCCCTGAGATGGTGTGTATCAAACCCAATCACAACTGCATCGTCACTCAGATTGAGCCTTAAGAAAACCCCATCTGAGTTTATCACATGCAGCGAGCGGATTTCTGTTAGCAGTATGTCCTTGTAGGCAATCTCTTTGGCTGCGCAGCACTTGCTTGCTTGGTCCATGGCTGCTTCATCACCTCTTGCACCGTCTGAACCTTCATTATCATGCCTACAGTCACTGTGCTTGCACTCAACAAGCCTCTTGATTCTGATCTTCACGCCATCTATCTCCAAAAACACGTCCTGGCCATTTACAAGAGCCTTTATTCCGTCAAGCATCAAGCAGGATATTGATCGAACACAAATTTTTGTTTGTTGGAGCACCCATGGAGATATCTCAATCTCAAGCACATAGTGATGCATCAGATATATCAAGCGACATGTCCCATTCATTGAAGAAGTTGGGATCGAAAGGCTCGGAGCTTGTGTGGAAGGGGTTGAGCCTGAGTGTCAACGGGGCAGATGGATCAAAGAAGATGCTTCTTAACAAGATATCTGGCTCTGTGGAGCCACAGTCGATGACTGGACTGATGGGGCCGAGCGGAGCAGGGAAGACCACGCTTATGAACTCGCTGGCAGGAAGGTTTCTGCCAAACATGCACCTGAGCGGAACGATTCTTCTGAATTCGCATCTAAGATCTGAGGAGACATGGCCAAGGATCATTGGATATGTTGAGCAGGACTTCTATGCATATCAGCATCAGACTGTGTTTGAGACGCTTCTTTTTGCATCGAAGATAAAGATGGGGGTCAAGGAGGTTGATAAGAAAGTGATTGACAGGATAGACGAAGTGCTGGCGTTGCTGGGGCTCAAGAATTCAAGGAATACATACATCCGGAGTCTATCTGGCGGAGAGAAGAAGAGGGTGTCGATTGGCGTTGAGCTTCTTGGAGACCCGTCGATAATATTCTGTGACGAGCCAACTAGCGGGCTAGATTCGTTCAATGCAGTGAATATTCTGAGCTTGCTGAAGGATTTGGCAAGGATGGGCAAGACTATTCTTGTGACCATCCATCAGCCTTCGTATGAGATGATAGAGTTTTTTGACAAGATGATTCTGATGTCGATGGGCAATCTTGTGTATGATGGAAACGTGAAGGGATGTGTTGACTTTTTCAGTGCGTGTGGATATGATCTGCCGAGTCAAACGAATCCAGTGGACTTTTTTCTGAACACAGTGAGCTTTGACTCGAGGAGTACGGCAGGCGAAGAGAGAAGCCTGCGAACGATCACTCACATAAGCCAGGAGTGGAGAAAAGCCAAGAAGGAGCCTGTTCCGAAGTACCATGGAAAGGTTGGCTCTGGATATGTTCCGATCGACACGTCGCAGAGTTTTTTCCTGTTGATGAGCAGGAACCTGATTGACTACACTCGGAATGTGGACTATTTGAAGATCAAGGTGTTTCAGAAGGTTTTTTTCATTGTTGTTTTTGGGCTGGCGTATCTACAGATAGGCTACTCTGTTGAAAGCATATACACGAGGCTGGGAGGGATTACATTTATGCTTACAAACGCATTGTTTGGAGTGTGTGGGCCGATATTCAATGTTTTTTCGATGGAGAAGCGGGTGATATCGAGAGAGAGGAAGTCCGGGATGTACTCTGGGATAGTTGCGTTCCTGGCGAAGTACATTTCTGAGATAATACTGAACTTTATGTTTGAGATTCCGTACATAACAGCGGTGTATTGGATGATTGGGCTGAATGAAAATGCAGGACGATTTTTTATGTTTTTGGTGATTGTCCTTTCGCTAACGCTGTTTTCGATATCGTATGGATTGGCCATCAGCGCAATGGCATCTTCGCAGAATGTTGCGCAGGTGCTTGGATCGCTTGGGCTGCTTGTGTTCCTGATATACAGCGGTTCGTTCAATAATCCGAATACAATACCTGGATGGCTGAGGTGGATGGTGTGGCTGTCACCGATGTACTATGCAACGAAGGCGTCATTCCAGAACCAGCTGAATGGAGTTGTGTTTACAGGCCCGGGCGGTATCAAGCTGAGCGGAGAAAGCCAGGTTGATCTTCGTGGGCTTGGCGGCACGGGTATATGGACATGCATATTTGCTCTATGGGGGATTTCGTTATTCTGGACGATTGTGGGATCGGTTGCATTGCACTATAGCACAAGAAACAACATGAAGGTGAAGATTAGTGATGAAAATAGCAATGAGGTATAATACAAATCGAGCCAATGAGAGATATATATGTAGGGCATGGCGCGATATGACTATGGCTGCTGATGCTGATAGTACGGGCTTGTCATGATTATAACGGCTTCTTCTGAGGCCCCGGTATAAATGATGGTGGGAGATTGTATTGGACCAGAGGAGGACTTTGAGGAGATGCCGGCAATAAAGAGGATCCCATTGACTATTTGCCTGTGGATGGATAGATGTGTGGAAATGATGCCGGAAATTGTCAGGAAAGCAGCATGCAGTGGATACAGCTTGCTTTCGATGGGGCATTGCCTATTCTGTGCATCTGTTCCTTTTGTGTATGTTTATCAGAGAGAGATGGCAAGTGCAGGGCATTCGATGCTTAGTGCAATTGAATGAGAGAAATTGAAAAATGGAAGCCCTGAATGATCAAGTCTTTGCTTCATAAGATGAATCAGCCAATTGACCATGTGGGGCAGGAGATGGCGTCGAAGCTGATGTACTTTATATTTGCTGCTGGGTATGCACTGGCGCTTGTGGTAGGGATATTTCTGAATGACCTGAAGTACACGATATTGATTGGGGTGTTGACTGTTGTTGCTGCTATTGGGGTTGTTGTGCCTCCATGGAGGATCTACCGCAAGAATCCGCTGAAGTTTGGCCCGCCTAGCAAAGCGAAAGCAGAATGATGAGAGATTGAATTAAATATCAGTTTTGCTGAATTTGTTTGTATTTGGTAAGTGTGCTTGAAACACCTTGGTTTAAATGTAAGAGATGCAAATAAAGGAATGCGGGTATTGCTTGTGTCTCTACTTGCAAAAAGCGTAGGATGCTACTTTGTGATTGAGTTTATTGATGAGGTTTTGAGACACTACAAGAATATGCATTTTCCAAGCACGATTGGGATGTGGATAACAACAGTCTGTTCGTTTCTGATCACATTCTACAGTATGAATTTTCCAAGGGTTTTCCTGACACTCTACATAACTGGAATGATCAGCTATGGCTCCATTGATCTAATCTATATGGACTTGAACCTTCCAAAAGCAATCCAGAATTCTGAAATGGCTATGAACATAAAAAGACTACTTAAGGATGGCATAGAGGATCCGTTTGTCCTTATTTTGTTTTCGTTTTTACTTGCCTTGATACTTGTGTGGATTCTCAACATGCTTCAGAGCGTGCTTATTGTTGTTGGGTTCTATGTTATTTACAGCATGCTTTTTCCGATGTGCCTTGGCGAGTACAGGAAAGATGCTCCGGTGATATTCTATACACTTTTGATTGGGTCTGCGATGACACTGTATTATTATTTAGCACGGAATGCATCGAAGTATGTTCTGATGTTGATGTTCTGCTCAACAGGATCTTTCTTGCTTCTTTCGTCTCTTGAGATGGTCTGTGGAGCAGGCGAAAGGTTCTACGACATTGTCTATGATTTAAACAACATGTACACATTTGAGCTGAGCTCAATAACGTTTCCGATGGCAGTATGGATTGGATTAACAATATTTGCAATGGCATGGCAGACAAGATATATATAAAGCAGCGGATAGTTATTTTGTTTACTATAACAGTTTGCTTTGGCAAGCAAGTGCTAATCGTCCCTTTGCTGTAGCAAGATCCTTGACTCCAGCTTGACGAGCTTGATCGATGATCCCTTTAGATAGCATTCGTTGATGAACACGGAGCTTCCGTCTGCTTTCTCGACTGTGACGCTTCTGAGGTGTAGGTTCATCGACATGTCGCATTTGTCGAGCAGGCCTCGTAGGTTGTCGTCATTCTTTAGTTCCAGCTCTATGATTTTGTTTCTTGATATCCGTAAGAGAGTCAAAGGATACATATGTAGGGATTGGAAGAGGAGGTTTTGACAGCGCCAGGCAGCAGAAGGATGATGGGGGGAATGCTATAAAATGTTTGTGAATAGTGTACTGTGGAATGTGTGGATTGAGACAGTACTGTGATTGAATAACATCTTCCATGGTGCAGTGGTAGCATGCTCGCCTGTCACGCGGGTGGCCCGGGTTCGAGTCCCGGTGGGAGAGTTTTTTGCTTATATCTAGCATCAATGATATACGCCATGTGCCACGAGATAATACACATGGCATTATGCTGTGTAGCAGTGCAATCCTTCTCACTCAACTACAGTACTGCTGTGGCTGTGCATAGCTGTTCATTTACAATGGCATGCATATCATTCATACCGTGTATATACTTTGCCGATCCTTGTACGCGTAGGTGAACTCTAATCTAAAGACATGCATTTATACTAAAGCATGCATGAAGCACAGATGGGAGTAGGTAGCAATGCATTTTATCTGGACGACTTCCTCATGCTCGATTCTGCTGTATTAGATGCCTCTCTGGATTTCCACGATGCATTTGAGCTCGGAAACATTTATGAGATCGAGAGATTCTTTACTGAACAGCACAAAGATACTAGAAGCAGCCAGCAGCTGCATCCATTGCATAATGATTTGTACCACGATCCACCTATTCACAGCGATTTAATGGTGGATGATCTGCCAGACTCCACAGACATTTACAAGCCTGTAAGGATCCGCGGCATTGGAATGCTGAGAGAAGGATACTGCGAAATATGCAAGACATGGCTTAGGCTCAAGACAAGCAGCTACTGGTATCATATGAACTACAAGCATGGGATTAATTCAAGAGGAGTGAAATATCCAGAACCACAGATCAGATCTGTTGGATGCCGTACAGAAAGCTTTTGCACAGTATGTGATAAGTGGATTGCACTGGGAAGCAGTAAGCACGGCAAGTCTGCAAAGTTTGGTTGGTTCAAACACTGTCAGAAAGTCCATAAATAAATCAATTCAATACATTGTAAGCAGACATATGTTTATTGGCATACGACCTACACACCATTCATCATGAGTTCTGTGGTAGACTATTTCTATTGCTATTGCTATTCTATTATTTTCTTATTATATTATCTCCTCATTCTCTTCATGTTCAGTGTGAGCGTTGCAATGCCGGATAGGATTGGGTCATGATTGTGGATTATAGTGAACAGCTGCAATCACCATAAAAAGTCAGACTCAACCATTGCAAGAAATCTAATCATGTATGCATCTGGATCAATGCAGGAACTCGAAGAATTGCAACACAGCACATTCAGTAATCTTTCTGTTCTTTTTCTCAGATTCCATTGTGTAAGAATGTCAATTATTCCAAAATGCACATCACTTGCATGCTGCGTCTGATTCTCTGCATTTTGTAAGCAAGGCCCTCCATACTCTGTAGTAGTTGGCACTGGCTTGAAACACACAAGAAGACTGTAATCCATAACATTATGCTTGTTCAAAAACAACAGGTCGTTTTTCATCTGCGATACAAGCACTGCCCTGCTCCCGTATATATCGATCCTTTTGTTGTTTTTGATCCAGTTTGCTTCCTTAAGATTCTGAATTGATTGTCCTTCCCTGCATACATTGACGCCCTTGAGATCATACACCTCACCAGCATGCTTCACATCTGACGTAAGGCATCCCTCAACTATGTTCTTCATTATGATCAAGTATTCTGTAGACGTGCGGGTTTTGAGGCTGTAGCATCCAAGTATCCTACACAGCAACGAGTTTGGATTTTGCTGAATATATTTGCTGTAGTCAGGAGCCATCTGGCGAATGCAGGAAAACTCAGACTTCCTGATTGCCTTTATGGCGTATTTGGAATCCTCAGTAAAGAACACAAGCGAGCCACTTCTACCTTGTATCTGTGTGTTTATAATGCATTGGCTGCCAAGGCATCCTAGTGAAGCGATCCCACTGGCCTTGCGCACTGCAATGAAGTCCTGAATGTTGTATGCCTCAACAACATCTGCGCCAATACGAAGAAGATGGCGATCAGGTAGCATTGGCATATTTTCCATAGCATTTTCGATTGTGTACAATGCATGCAGTAGCGTTTCAGCATTGCTCAGATGCATTTCCATACCAAAAGCTGGATGCGGACACAAACAATGTTTATAGATTGGATTTGATTACGCAATAAATGATGTAGACGCATATAATGGATTGCTCTGCAAAGAAGGACTTGCCATGTGCTTTCACGCGTTGGCAAAACGATGCCGACTGGATTCGAACCAGCGAGAGGAACCCCAACGGATTTCAAATCCGTCGCCTTAGACCGCTCGGCCACAGCACCCCGCGCACCAGATTGCATATTATTATTCATTCGACAACACACACGTTCAGCTCCACCATCGACACACACACTTCACACACTACACTTCCTTAAAATCATAAATAAACCCAAATTTATTCATATGACGCAATCTCTTCTTTCGAAATGCTATGGACAACCAAATCAGGCTTCACATACGGCATAACCACATCTGTAAACAGCTTTGCACCCTTCTCCCTTGCTTCTCTCACACTCTCGTGTATCGTAATCTTGCTCATGTACTCCTTAATTCGCTCGACATTCTTGCACATTGCCTCCTTGTTTTCATCTCGCCTCCTCAAATCAACCGATATCCCAAGCCTCCTGGCGTATCTATAGTCGATCCCTGCTCCTTCACACTCTGCTGCCGTAAAGCCCCTTCCCAGCCTTTCCTTCCTGTTGTGGCACACCGTAGGACACCTCACTATCGGCCTCAGCTTCTCCAGCGGCATCGGATACATCATCTTTGCCTTTTGGAGGCGCTTCTGCTTCATCAGCTTCTGCTTCGTCTCCGGGTCATGATGCACCTTTATCTTCAATGACGTCTTCCTGAAGTGGTTGTTTGGCAGTGCATGATTACCTTTCATTGGGGTTAAAATTTTGCAAACACTTTAGCCCTGTAGCAATGAGTAGACTAGTAAAGACAATTACTACTCAAGGTATGAAGAAAAAGGCCGTTGCCACTTGTGTGTGCACACAGACCGGAGAGTTCTCAATAAAGGTCAACATGGTGCCATTTGCAATTCTCCCAAACTCCCTGATGTCTGCAAAGCTCAAGGAAATCATCTGCATTGTTGAGCAAGCAAACATTAGGGACTTGTCGTTCGACATAACATGCAAGGAGGGCGGAAGTGTCTCTCGCGTATATGCAGTCAGGATGGCATTTGCAAAGGCTGTGCTTGCGTTCTACGGAACGTACTTCGAGGAGTGGAAGAGGCAGGAGATCCAGAAGAGGCTGATGGAGTTTGACAGGTTCAGCCTTGTCTGTGACTCAAGGAAGAGGGAGCCAAAGAAGTTTGGAGGGCCTGGCGCTCGTGCAAGATATCAGAAGTCATATCGTTGAAATAAATCGTCTTCTTCTAAGCTATGAACAAACAGAACAGTGGCAAAGCAGAATGATGCATGTGCTGTCTACGAATATTCAAGGTATGTTTGAAAACTCTACATCAGTTGTTTATTGCAATGCTGTTTGATACTTGCACACTATGTGCGCTTACACTTTGAAGGAATAATAAGTATTGCAGGGATTGTCTCTTTGTATTTGCTTACATCATCCTCTATTCTCTCGGCTACAAAATCACATATCAGTATCATTGCAAGGTCATCCCTGCTTGTAAGCGCACGGAAGCTCTTCCTCAGGTCTTCTTCAGGTGTATCGTATGTGACATACACAAGATTCGGGTTTTCGTTTGTGTTTTCTATCCCTGCGATCAGGAATCCAAACAGAGTTTCTTCGTCGCCAACCATTCCTATCCTTGTTCTTCTATCCATATGCCCTAATGCACAATTGAATTTAAGCACATCATGCCATGCAATGCTATGGAGCCAACACATGTGATATCTCCAGCCATCATGAACTCCCCGCTCACATGCAAACAGCAATAGTCAAGATAAAAACACGGGATGGCGATGTATTTGACATAGAATGCAAGTATGCATACAAAAGCACGCTCATAAAGAACGTATGCACATCAACTGCATGCAGCTATCCAATATGCATACAGCTTTCCTCGCAGGTATTCAAAACAATCCACGGATATATGCAACTCGACACCTCACACCTATCTGAGAAGTACAGCCCGCTCGAAATCAGATTCAAACAGCATGATCTTGACTTCTTTAAGAATTACGACGACGAGCATTTGCTAGGCATATGCAATGGAGCAAACTACCTCGACTATCCATATCTTCTGGAGCTTTGCTGTAAGCTTATTGCCGAAAGAATAAAGCACAAAACAACAGAGGAGCTCAGGAGGTTTGTTGGCATGGGCCATGGCATGTCACCTGAGGAAGCTTGCGAGATAGAAAAGGAGTTTGGATGGATGTCGTCTGAGGAATAAATGCTTGCTGAGAGCAACTAGAATAAACTGAGCAATTTATTGGATATCTCACGTATACAGCAATTACTTTATGATGATGCTTAAGGATTCGCACACTACCGAATATGTTTGATGCTGCATCGACATACTTAGGGTATGTGTAGTTGAATGCATTGTGTTATTGCACATCGATTCGAGCACAAGCCATTGCAAAAAAATATGTGTTAAAGGCATTTATAAGCACAGACCCATATAATGTTCGAGGAGAGGGCGAAGAAGCAGATCAAGTCAATACAGTTCGGATTATTTTCGCCGGAGGAGATAAGAAACGGAAGTGTTGTGTTGGTGACGCATCCAGAGGTCATGGAGAATGGAGTGCCCAAGGCAGGGGGGCTGATCGACCTGAGAATGGGAACTACCGACAGGATGTATCTGTGCCAGAGTTGTGGAGGAGACAGTTTTTCATGCCCAGGGCATTTTGGGCACATTGAGTTGACAAAGCCGATGTTTCATGTTGGGTATGTATCGAAGATCAAGAAGGTTCTGGAGTGTGTTTGTTTTTATTGCTCGAAAATCAAGATTGCAAAGACAGGAGGCAAGGCCATGCTGAATGGGGTGTGGAATGCTTGCAAGACAAAAGGCATGTGCGAGGGAGACATGGTGGATGGGGGAAGAACGGGGTGTGGAAACAAGCAGCCGGTGATAAAGAAGGAAGGGCTAAGTCTTGTGGCGTTCATGAAAGGAGAAGAAAGCGGAGAAGGGAAGGTGATGCTGAATGGAGAGCGTGTATACAGCATATTCAAGAAAATAAGCGATGCAGACAGCGAATATATGGGATTTGATTTGAAGTATAGTAGGCCTGAGTGGATGATTCTTACGGTGCTGCTTGTTCCACCACCAACAGTAAGGCCATCTATTGTGATGGAAGGGTCGTTGCGAGGAGAAGATGACCTAACGCACAAGCTTGCAGACATAATCAAGTCGAATGGGTATCTGAAGAAGTATGAGCAGGAGGGAGCGCCTGGGCACATAGTGCGCGACTATGAGCAGCTGCTGCAGTTCCATGTTGCAACATTGATCGACAACGACATTGGGGGGCAACCACAGGCACTGCAAAAAAGTGGGAGACCGTTGAAGTCGATATCTGCAAGGCTGAAGGGGAAGGAAGGGCGGATACGAGGAAATCTGATGGGGAAAAGAGTTGATTTCAGTGCAAGGACGGTGATAACGCCCGATCCAAACATTAGGCTCGAGGAAGTCGGTGTTCCAGTTGAGGTGGCGAAGATACATACATTTCCTGAGAAGGTGACGTCGTTCAACATTGACAAGCTGAACAAGCTTGTGAAGATGGGGCCGAACGAGCATCCTGGGGCGAATTACGTGATACGATCAGATGGGCAGAAGATCGACCTCAGCTTCAACAGAAGCGATATACGGCTTGAGGAGGGATATATTGTTGAGAGACACATGCAGTCTGGAGATGTGGTTCTGTTCAATCGGCAGCCGTCGCTACACAAGATGTCTATGATGGCACATTATGTAAGGGTTATGGAGAACAAGACGTTCAGGCTGAACCTGAGTGTTACGTCGCCGTATAATGCAGACTTTGATGGAGACGAGATGAATCTTCACATGCCGCAGAGCTATACGTCGAAGTCTGAGCTCGAGGAGCTGGTTCTTGTGCCGAACCAGATTATATCGCCACAATCGAACAAGCCTGTTATGGGAATAGTTCAGGACACCCTTACGGGGTTGAGGCTGCTTACACTTAGAAACACGTTTTTAGATGAGCGAGAGACGATGTCGCTGCTGTATGCCGTGGACTCTCAGTTTGATGACATGCCGGTTGGGGAGAGTGCAAGAGCAGAGTTCAAGAGGACGAAGGAGTATGACATTATGAAGGTTATGGCAAGGCCGAGCATAGCCAAGCCAAAGAGGCTGTGGACGGGGAAACAAGTACTGAGCTTTATTTTACCGAGTATGAACTATTCTGGATTATCATCTGAGCACAATGAAGAGGACAAAGAAAATGCAAATGACACGATTGTGCGGATCCAGGATGGGATTATCCATTCTGGAATTGTTGACAAGAAGGCAGCAGGAGCAGTGCAGGGAGGGCTAATTCACATTATTTTCAATGATTTTGGGCCTAGAAGGGCAGCGCAGTTTTTCAACGGTGTTCAGAAGATGGTGAATGCATTTGTGACGGGGATCCACTGTTTTTCGATTGGGATAGGAGATACGATTGCGGATGCAAACACGGTGAAGATGGTGAAGGAGGCGATTGCCAAGGCAAAGGACGATGTCGCTGTGATCATAAGAAATGCACAGCAGAACATGCTTGAAAGGATGCCTGGGATGACGATGAAGGAAAGCTTTGAGAGCCAGTTGAATCTTGTGCTTAATAAGGCAAGAGACGTGAGCGGATCAAGTGCACAGCGAAGCCTTAGTGGGAATAACAACATGAAGACGATGGTTCTTGCAGGGTCTAAGGGGTCTTTTATCAATATTTCACAGGTCAGTGCATGTGTAGGGCAGCAGAATGTGGAAGGAAAGCGGATTCCGTTTGGCTTTTTGCACAGGACTCTTCCGCACTTTGTGAAGGACGACTACACAGGGAGGAGCAGAGGGTTTGTCGAGAACAGCTACTTGAGCGGGCTGGGGCCTGAGGAGTTTTTTTTCCATGCAATGGGAGGGCGAGAAGGGCTGATTGACACGGCGATTAAGACGGCAGAGACAGGATACATACAAAGGAGGCTGATAAAGGCACTCGAGGATGCAATAGTGAGGCAAGACGAGAGTGTAAGGAGTGGAAGTGGGTTTGTGTATCAGCTGAAGTATGGGGAGGATGGGTTTGATGCAACGTTTCTTGAGGCGCAAAAGGTTGAGATGCGCAACTTTAGGCGAAGATACTATATTGACATGTTTGGGAAAGAGGAGCTTAGGGTGAATGAATCTGAGGTTTCGAGTGAGGTGTACAAGATGCTTTGCTCTGATGTTGATCTTCAGAAGCAGCTGGATGAGGAGTATGAATGGCTCGTTCAGGAGGTGTTTGAAGGGCCTGCTATTAAGGATATAGGAGATGTGGATATTGAGAGCGACTATAGAGTAAAGCGGATGTATAATGAGTCAGTGATGAGTCCATGCAACTTTGGACGACTTATATGCACAGCAAAAAGGATATTTGAGATGAATGCCGGGGATGTGTCGCCATATTATATACTTAGTGCGCAAAGGGAGTTGATGACGTCAAACAAGATTCTGAATGTGTTGATCAGAAGCAATCTGAATGTAAAGAGGATTCTGGTTGAGCACAGGCTTGATACAGAGGCATTTAGCTGGGTAGTTGGGGAAATAAAGTCTAAGATTATGAAGGCGAAGATAACGCCGAATGAAATGGTGGGGACGTTGGCAGCACAATCTGTAGGAGAGCCGGCTACGCAGATGACGTTGAACACGTTTCACCTTGCAGGGGTTGCATCTACCGTTACTATGGGGGTGCCGAGGCTGAAGGAGATATTCAATGTAACGAAGAATCTGAGGACGCCGTCTATGAGGATATATCTTGAAGGAGGGTATTGCAAGAGTGTTGAGAGTGCAAAGGCAATACAGAATGAGATTGAATGTGTGAGCATCAAAGATCTATGCATGTGCTCTGAGATTTACTATGATCCAGAGGTGACAAGCACGGACATTGCCGAAGACAGAGACTTTGTAGAGGCATACTTTGAGTTTCCTGACGAAGAGATAGACTTTCTAGGGCTGTCACCGTACCTGATCAGGCTTGTGATTGATAGGTCCAAGGTTGTTGGCAGGAGAATCAGCCTTGAGGAAGTTGCAGGAGCAGTGCGAAGGAACATAAAGAGCGATGCACATGTGATCTGCAGTGATGAGAATGCGGTGGATATGGTGGTGAGGATAAGAATGATGAAGAGTTCTGAAGAGTGCTTGAGCTTCTACATGAACTGTCTTGAATCACTACTAAAGCAGCAATTCGGAGGGTACAAGAATGTTAAGAAAGTGTACATAACAGAAGACAAGGAGAGGAAGGAGTGGTATCTGCAGACTGATGGGGTGTGTCTATCGAAGATACTAGGGCATCCTGCAATAAACAGCAAACATACTGTATCTAACGATATGCTTGAGATTGCAGAAACGCTTGGGATTGAAGCAGCACGAGAGTCTATTTTGAATGAGCTAGCGCTTGTTATAGATGGGAATGGATCGTATGTTAACTACAGGCATATGAGCCTACTTGCTGATGTCATGACTATGAGAGGATATCTATGTGGAGTTACGAGGCATGGAGTGAACAAGACGGGATCGGGAGCATTAAAGAGAAGCTCGTTTGAAGAGACGGTGGAGATTCTGCTCGATGCAGCATTAGTATCTGAAAGGAACTTTTGCAAAGGAATAACAGAAAACATAATGATGGGGCAGTTAGCGCCCATGGGGACGGGAAACGTGGAGATTATGCTTGATATGAACAAGCTAGACAAGGCGATTCCACTTGCAAATCCCGTGTTTAAGGCGAATGATCCTGCCACACCGGTGATAAACACTCCGATGTCAGACTCATTTTCGATCAGTAGCGGTGCTTGGAGCCCAATGCATATTGATATGGGCTATAATAGAGACATGGCGGGGAGAATGTCACTTACCAGTCCTGCTTATTCACCAACCAGTCCGGCATACTCACCAACCAGTCCTGCTTATTCACCAACCAGTCCTGCTTATTCACCAACCAGTCCTGCTTATTCACCTACCAGTCCTGCTTATTCACCAACCAGTCCTGCTTATTCACCAACCAGTCCTGCTTATTCACCTACCAGTCCGGCATACTCACCTACCAGTCCGGCATACTCACCAACCAGTCCTGCTTATTCAGTAACGGCACCAAGTTTTGCAAGTAAAAATAAAAGTAAGGACCAAGACGGAGATAGAAAGAGGAAGAACAGCCATCCTTTTTGAAATGCAATAATAAAATGCATGATGTTGTTTATATATCTTACTACAACATCTCGATCTCGATGTAAATGTAAATTATTGGTGGCCTTCACCATCTTATTGAATATATGAATTCTACGGTTGGTGGATGCAAATGCGATTACTGTATACGATTGAATAGATATTAGCTGCGAATTGATTCAAAAGAGCAAAGATATACCAATGGGATGAGTTCAAGCTGATATATAATCCACGATGCGGACAGAAGTATGCAGGAGAGCTTAAAAAAAGAGAATATTGTTTCAATGGCATCTACAGAAGATGATGGCGAAGGGCAAGAGTTTGTTGGGGGAGAAATAGATGAGAAGTGCATATGCAAGCTTCTGAAGGAGATGAAGGAAACACTGGAAGTGCAGAAGAAAACACACGAAGCGCCCGAAGATCTGGATGAGTTCTACAGGCTGTTTGAGAGGTATCTTGAGACGAAGAACGAAAAGATTGTGTGGGAGAACGTTAGGTCGCCAAACGACAGAATCATCAGATATGAATCTTTATCTGAGCCAACCAACAGGTCGCGAGAGCTGCTAAAAAAGCTTGCAGTGCTCAAGCTGAATGGAGGGCTTGGAACTACAATGGGATGTGTAGGGCCAAAAAGTGCAATAACAGTGAAGGATGGGAAGAACTTTATTGATCTTGTTGTGAAGCAGATAAAGTATCTGAACTCCAAATACAAGACAGATGTTCCATTGATTCTGATGAATTCGTTTAACACAAAGAAAATGACCGAGAAGATCATATTCAGGTACGATGGCATCAAAACATTTTCTCAGAGCATGTTCCCAAGGATACTATCAGAAACACTTCTTCCTGTGCCTCCTGAGTACGGCGACAAAGGGATGTATCCTCCAGGCCATGGTGATTTGTTTTACTCATTGAGTAAGAGCGGGATGCTTGAGGAATTGCTTGCCGAGGGATACGAGTATCTGTTTGTATCAAACATCGACAACCTGGCCTCCACTGTTGATCTGAAGCTGCTGGAGTACTTTGCCAGCAATAACCTTGGGCTCCTCATGGAGGTGACAGACAAGACACGTGCAGATGTGAAGGGCGGGACGCTGATAGAGTACAATGGGGCTCTCAGACTACTCGAGATTGCACAGGTTCCATCCAGTAAGAAGTCAGAGTTCACTAGTGTCCGCAAATTCAAGATTTTCAACACAAACTCTGTCTGGATCAACCTGAAGGACGTGAAGAAGCGATTGGAAGAGGGCTTGCTTGATCTTGACATCATTGAAAACAAGAAGAGCATGAATGACGAGACGGTTATCCAACTTGAGACTGCAATTGGATCTGCAATCAAGTACTTTCCAAACTCGTGTGGTGTGGTTGTTCCTCGTTCAAGGTTTTTGCCTGTCAAGACATGCTCAGATCTATTCCTTGTAGAAAGCAATCTATTTATCGAAAACAACGGATCGATCAAGCTGAATCCATCCCGCACACAGAATCAGAATGCCTTCCCAACAGTAAAGCTGCTTGGAAAGAATTTCTCAAAAATTGAGGATTATGAAAAATGCTTCAAGGGAATACCGGATATTCTTGAGCTCGATGCCTTAACTGTCAGTGGAGATGTTATTTTTGGAAAGAATGTTGTTCTCAAAGGAACCGTCATAATCCTGGCTGACGATAAAAGCAAAATATGTATCCCCGATGGATCTGTCCTGGATGACAGCATTGTATATGGAAACCTTCCAATCATCGATCATTAAAAACATCATACAGATCAACTCTATCTCCACTAACATCATTCAGATAAAGAAAAGAGCTTGGAGCTTATGCTGAATTGTTTAATCAAACAGTTTAGTGATCTTTGATGCCACCTCTTCGTCGTTACAATAGATATCAACTATGCATTTGCAGGCAACTCCACTGTATGTAATGCTTGTACGAATTTCAATAGGTATTTCGTAATACTGCCCGGTAAGCTGCATCTCCATGGTGTTGTTTGACACGTCCTGCCCAATCATCTTCATGTTCAGCAGATCAAGTATCTTCTTTCCTGCAGCATATACATCTCCCTGCAAGCCAAACACTGCTTTTTTGCATACTTCAGAAGCATTCTTAACCACCACTGGCCTTACAAAGTCCAAAATCGTCACCTGGAATGGCTTCAGCGTTACGGAATCTGTTTCCGTCTCAGATATGTCCTTCTCTGCACACATCGTGTACTCAAGCACTCCGTTGATTACGCATCCCTCCTCGACACTGCATTCGGTCTCAAATGTCCTAACTTCTCCAAATACTATCTGATTAATATTTATACACCCTTCACTCCTGCCATTCGCTCCTGTTGTGGCAAAACTTAGAATCCCATTGCATATCTGGATCTCCTCCACCATATTTTCAATACTAAATGCAAGCACTATCTTGCTCTCATACATCCTTTTGGCAACTCCCACTCTAACATCAGAAGCATCTTCAGTAAGGGCCACTTCTCTGCATTCCTTAATGAAAAGCTTATCCTTGCATTCTTCGGGATCTTCTTTTTGCCCAAGCTGCTCAAGAACTGCTTCCTTCAAGCCCCCAAGCTCATCAAGCAGAAATGGCTGGCACGACTTCGCAAGCTTCAAGTTCCGCAGCAAAAACAACGAAATACCCCTCACCATCTCATCTTGATCTTCAAGGCTCTTCTTCAAGGTACCCTCGACCGTCTCAATCGATACCACGTGCGATATGTCGTACAGACACTGCAACGCAGCTGCTCTCACGTGGTTATTCTCCAAAATCAGCCTGTTCAAAACATGCACAACATACTTTCCAGGCATCTTCGACTTCGGGATTTCTCGGCCAAATATCCCAAGAATGTCCAGTGTTATCTGATAGTATTGCGAATCCTCAGCATACGTGCACAGAAACTCCAGCACCTTCTCCCTTACATCATCACTGCACACTACTCTGCTAATAACTCCGACTATATACTTCTTGAATTCAAGCCCGCTCTTTTGCGAAAGCGCACTGGACAAAAAGTCAATAAACACTGGCTTCTTCGACTCAAATGTGTTGCTGAGTGCTTCTAGTGTCTCAATTGCAATTTTCTTAAGCCCATCGCTCATGTCCACAACCATTCCTGGAATCAGCTTCACAAGCCTATCTATGGTTTCTTCTGTTCCTGTCTTTAGCAAAGATGTAATTGCAAACATCGAGATCGTCTTGTTTTCAACCATCACCAGATCCTCAACCTCTTTGTTGGCAATTGCTGCCTTATGTGGATACCTTAGCGCAAGACTTGAAATGATCCTCATTGCGCTGAATTGAAGCGCAATGTTTGTTGATTTCAGAAATATCCTCAACGACTGAACTGTTTGCTGAACAAGCTGAGATGCATACTCCTCTCCAATAATGCAGACACCCTTCGCTGCTTCAATAAACACCATCTCGTCGCCGTACTTTGACCCCAGCAGCTTCCTCAGCATCCCCAGTGCCTCTGGATTCCCACTCTTCGATTGCTCCACTACCATTCGCGCACCAATAATACCCGATGGCCCTCGCAGGCTTTCAACACTGCCAAAACGAAGCTTTCTTGTTTGCATTAAAAATCTCGCTGCGTGATAGCTCGTCATTGAATCATCGCTCGAGTCTACATCGTCAATCCATTCCTTCACTTCACAAAACCCGTCGCGCAGAAGCTTGCACGATACAAGCACTGCCATATCTCGCCTTACCACACTCGGTGACACAAATGCTTGGCTTACATACTTTCCAAAGTCATATATCATGTCTGCAGGTAAAATACAAAACAGCGTCCTTAACGCCATTGCCTTCATGTCATCGGGAATCTTGCCGTTTAGATCGTTCATCAATATATTCGCCGCAACCAGTCCTTCGTCAAAATGCCTCGATAGCTCTTCAATAGCAGAATACATCCCTGCCTTCAGGTATATGTCCTTTGACTGGAATCCCTTCAGCAATGTTATGTATGCCTCCTTGATTGATGCCTCACTCATACTCGCCACGCTCAGCATATACACAAGGCTGTTGATTGCCTTCATTGCACTTCTTGTGACAATTGGCGACTTGTCAAATGAATCCCTCATCTCCTCAAGAAGCTGCCGTTCACTGAGTGGAGCAAACACTTTTGTTTTTGCTCTCATATGGGCATGTTTTTAATGCTATGTATAAACATTGGCAATTGCACAGGCAATCTACACGCCGGCTAAGCATGCAGAGAATGCATGTGCGGATATACGTGCAATTTTAATGCATCCCATTGATTTGCTCATGGGCACCAGAAAGATGAACAACACAGAGAATGAGCAAATGATTGTAAAGCCGGATCCATTGAGGGTAGTGTGTAAGCGAGCATCAAGGCTAAAGGATGAGGCCGCAGAAGGCAAGCGCGCGTGTATAAGGAGCAAGTCAAAAGTAAAACTGTTCAGATGCATGTCGATGTGGAAAAATCCAACAAGTCAGATAGTTCCGTTACAAGCCAGGGTTGTACACGATAGATTCAAGACTGTACGCCAGGAGGTCAATGTAGAGATGTTTATGAATCTCAAGCATTCTCTGGATCAAGCTGAAGCGCAGTATGCAAGCAATTGGGATGCTCAGGAAGACATCAACAATATAAAATAAACCTTCGTGCTAAACAGTGATTTGGCAATAATACATTGCAATAAGCACTACGCAATACTGCAAGCCAAACAATAGCTTTGGAGATTCCGTGCTATACTCAATGTATGCAGCATCGCACATGCACATACTGCCGGATAAATATTGAAGACATTAAATGCTATGATAGACTCATCGGGTTTTTAATAGTTCTGTATAAGTAAAGTATAACGGCACCTGCATGATCTATCATGCAACCATGTCCGAAGACTGCATATTCTTAATATTTTCGTCCATTTCCTTGACTTTCTTTTGCAGATTCTGAAGCTTTCCTCGGATGCCCTCAATCTTTCTGTTAAGCTCATCAAATAGCTCATCTGTGCTGTCCATCTGTGCTTGAACATCCTGCCTTGTAGAAGTTGTCATTCGATGGGGTTGGTTTATGCTCAATAAACGCTTGCACACATAAATTCGCTTTGTTTACAGCAGAATGCATGTGGTTGACAGGGTATGTAGCGAAATCAGCATGCCTAGCTGTAGATACATAAGTGAGGAGGTTTGCAAAAACAGCAGCAGAAACTACAAGATCGCCAGCCTCACCATCATGTCACCAACAACATTGACTATTTTGATAATAGCCATGGCATCCACAAGAAGAATGATGGGGCATGTAAAAGCACTATGCTCTTCAATAGGTCGCAAAGAAATGCTTACATTTTTCTATCTTTACTTCGGCGCAACCGCAATAGAAGCGTTCCTTGTGGGATTTGGATATTCGGCTTCTGAACAAGCACATCTATTTCTGACCACCTTGCAAGTGTCACTGTATACATCTGCATTCTTTGTGTTGTTCTTAGGATGCATCACGATTGACATGTTCATGGGTGTTTTTGGAATACGAGTCGCCACGCTGCTGAGAGGCACAACTGCAATATACTCAGTAGGCATGGGCACTGTGGTATTTGTCAGCTTGAGTGCTTCAAACAAGCAGCTTGCATCAATTCCCTTGATTGTTCTGAATATGCTGTTTTTCTCGTTGTATATACTTCTTCAGCTGAAGAAGCTCAAGAAAAGAAACGGAGAGGTCTGGGCATTTGGAACGCTTTTCATTTCACTATTATGCTTCACAATTGCAAATGTCTTTCTGTTTGTTGGATCTGCAATAATAGGCATCGCAACAAACAGATACTTCGACAACCTGTTTTTCTATCACTTCTTCATCCTCTGTACATTTATCATGGCACACAAATACTGGCTGTCTGTATACGACTACGAGGTCGAATCTTTGCGCCTAGAAGCATAGAAAACACATGCATACTAAACACCGTTGTTATCAAAGTCTTTATTGTCAAATTCTATCAACACCCTTCCTGTGGTTGGATCCCAGTATCAGAGAGATCATCTTCTCCGAGATAAAACTCAACAAACTTGTCAGACGTCTTGAGCAGCTCGTTGATACTGCCGCATCCCTTCATTGTCCCTCCACTTAGAAACAGCACCTTATCGAACTTCTTCAAAAGCTCATGGTTGTGCACAATCATGATTATTGTCCTGTCAGATAAAACAGACATTATATAATCAATCAACTCTGCCTCTGTCTTCTGATCAACGTCAGAGGTTGCCTCGTCCAGGATAAATATCGGCGAGTCTTTGATTATTGCCCTCATCAGGCTCATGTATTGCTTCTGCCCGACACTCAGCTCACACCCTTGCTGTCCACTCTGCTTGAAGTATCCTCCCTCAAGACTACTGAACACCTCGTGTGTTCCATACTTCATGCATATTTCCTTAACCTTCTCCAAAGACACACTCCAATCGCCATATCTCAGGTTTCTAAGCACAGTGCCATCAATCACACAATTGTCCTGCGGCACATATGCTATCAGCTTTCTGATCGACTTTCTCTTATACTCGTTCATCTCAACACCATCAATCAGTATTTTTCCAGAATACTCCAAAAACCTCAGAAGAGCGTTGATAAGCGTAGACTTACCTGCTCCGTTTGGGCCAGCAATCGCAAGCTTTTCTCCTTTCTTCAGCTCAAAGCTTACCTTTTCCAGTATGGTCTTCTCTCCTCTATTAACTCCGACGCCGTCGAAAACTATTCTATCGCCAAACCCTTCGATGTCAACCTGCTCAGGCATGTCCTCCTCCTTCTCATACGTAGAGCTCGAATAGTCATAGTAGTTCTCATAAAGCTCCACAAACTCTCGAGCAAACTCGGTCATTCTTTCCTTAAGAATCGCATGGAGGCCATTCAATGTTATTGCGTCCATAAAAGTCATATTGTTCAGGCTGAGATATAAAATCATAGCATGCGGAGCTAATGAGCAGAGCTTCTGAATAAACGTAATGATGTTTTCAGAACAACTGTATCGTGTCCCCTGCACTACCCTATCATTCAGCGTTGAGTGGAACACACTCGACTCCCTTTCTTCGAGCCCAAAAGACTTAACCACCTCGTAGTTGTTCAAAATGTCGCTCAGCTTCTTCACAGACTTGTTCTTTGCAACATTGTATTTTCCACGGATAATATTCCGCTTCGATGTCAGAAAGACCGTTGTCGAGATGTACAGCAGAGGAATCGTAAGAAACAGCAGTGCATTCTCAGACCCAAAGGACACAATCTTCACCATTGCTATCACAATAAATATCGTCGAGCTCATCAGTGTTGGAATCACCACATCAATAGCGTCTCCAATTGCCTTGCATTTTCTGTTTATTCGGCCCTCAAGATCCCCAGGTGACACCTCGTGGAATACATTGTAGTCCAGCGATATGTACTCAAAAAAAACATCGCGGTAGCAATCGGTGTATATGTCCTGTACAATGTATGCCGCCAAAAATATCGGGAAATATTCAAACAGGGCTGCGAATATCCCATAAATCAGCAGCTTGTATACAATGTGCGTGTTCTCGCCCAGATCTCTCATTTCAATGTGATCTGCAATCTCAGAAAGAACACTCGAGGCAACCTTCGCATACAAAACATTTGCCATAACGGCCATTCCAAAGATCGGAAACAGCATCAAAAGTAGATACGTCCTGTTGAAAACATACTTCATAAAAATCTCTCCCACACCATAAACCAGATTATTACGAGGCTTCGATCTTATCATTGCACTTCCTTAAAGGGGTTCCTCAATAATTTTTTCATACAACAACACAAATCCTATTGATCCGTCTTCTTTTCATTCATACAGCATAAACACCGTCGTATTAATTCACTGCTCCAAAGCACAGTCACCGGCTTCAGAGCCACAGCTCAACCAACATAGCAACACTACCAATTTATTAATCGATAATAATCTCCTTCAAGCCCTTGAACGATCCGACGATCACCAGATCTGTGTGCAGTATCTGCTTCTCTGCATCCTTTTCGCATGTCTTCTTGGTGACTCGCACACGGATCTTCGGAGGAATGTTCCTTTTTCCGTTCGAAAACACAAAGTTATTGAGCTCCTTAGTAACAACCACCCCGATCTTCTCTCCAAAGTACTTCTGGATTTCCTTCTTCAGTCTTCTTATTGCACCAGGCGCCTTCCTTGTTGACGGGACAGAAAATGCTATTCTTCTCAAGTTCAAAGTGATCTCCACCGTTTGGCCTTCTACTATCTTGGATGGCATTCGGGGTAAATTTTTTCGTGATCAAATACCTGTGGATGTCTTGCATGCTCTGCATCAATGCACTGTTTATGATACTGCAACGCCAAAGTATTTATGCATACATCAAATAGTATGGATTGAGCAGGCCAGTAGGCACTCTCTGCATTTCAAGCAATTGCATGCAGAGAAAGACTGCTGCATCTTCATGCGCAATAATCACATGGATTTTTGACCCTGAATGGCCAAGGAGATTTCTACAGCAGACATCTTCTCCGGTGGCGAAAGCTACACTGGAGTTCAGGCCGTTGAGAGAAACTCAAAGGCGATGGCAAGGATATACGATGCAATAAAAACAAGTTTTGGGCCATTGGGGCTTGATAAGATGTGTGTCAACTCTGCAGGAGAGGTCAGCATCACGAACGATGGCGCAACGATTCTTCAGAGCATGCTGGTGGACGATCCTGCAGCAAAGATCCTTGTTGACCTTGCAACACAGCAAGACAACGAGGTTGGGGACGGGACAACGTCTGTTGTTCTGATGGCAGCAAGCCTTATTGAGAAGGGCGCCAGGCTGATTTCATCAGGTGTGCATCCGTCTGTTGTTGTATCTGGGTATAAGATGGCATTTAACGAGTGCATTCAGTTTATCAAGAAAAGCATAGTGAGGGACATTTCTACACTAGGTGCAAAGGCTTTGAGCAACATTGTCAGCACAAGTATATCGAGTAAGGTGATCGGATCGGAATCTACGCTGTTTTGCGAGATTGTTGTGGATGCATTGAGATGTATTGAGCCATCGGAAGGAGGCAAAAAGATTGTATATCCTATTGAGGATATCAACATCCTTAAGCATCCCGGAGGAGCAATGGGCGAGTCGTTTTTAGTGCAGGGGTATGCCATGAATTGCGCATTGGCATCTGGGTTCATGAAGAAGGTTGTCAAGAAGCCAAGGATTCTATGCATTGACTTTGGGTTGCAGAAATACAAAAGCCCACTCACTGTGAATATTGTTGTTGATGATCCGTCGAAGCTGGAGGATATCAGGAAGAAGGAGCTTGAAATTACTACGAACCAAATCAAGTGTATTGCGGCATCGGGAGCAACAGTGGTGCTAACAACAAGAGGAATGGATGACTTTTGCACAAAGCTTCTGCTGGAAGCAGGTATAGTTGGGATCCGAAGATGCAAAAAAGAAGACCTGGATGTAATTGCCAGGGCATGCGAGACATCGGTTCTAAGCTCGATGTCTGATCTGAGTGGTGCTGAAAATGTGCCTACATTAGGAAGCGCAAACAAGTTTGAGGTTGTATCGATTGGAGAGGAGGAGTGTGTGTTTATTGAAGGGCTTAAGAAGAAGATGGCATCGATAATCCTGAGAGGAGCGAATTACCAGCTGCTTGATGAGATGCAAAGGGCTGTTCACGATGCCATATGCGCATTGAAGAGAACATTGGAGTCGAAATCTGTTGTTCCTGGAGGAGGTGCAGTCGAATGTGCATTGTCTTTGATGCTGGAGAAGTTTTCGTTTACTGTGAATTCCAAAGAGCATGTTGCAATACACCGATATGCAGAGTCGTTGCTTTCGATCCCAAGGATACTTGCAGCAAATGCAGGCCTGGATCCAAACGAGATTGTGGCTAAGCTTCTAGCGATGCAAGGCACAGAAACCAGCGATAAGTCTGGCAATAGCATGTTTGGCGTTGATGCAGTAACTGGAGAAGTCCAGAACAACGTGGAAGCTGGGATCATTGAGCCAAGCATGATTAAAATGAAGTCGCTCAGAGCAGCAACAGAGGCATCTATCAGCATTCTACGAATCAACGAGGTAATAATGCTGCCTCCCGAAGAATCCAGAAATTAAACCTTGAATTAGTCAATGTGTTTCTGCATTTGCATCTTCTAATGCTTCATTGCTCATCAAGTAATTGCTCTATCATATATTGCTCTTGAATCGAGTCTGGCATGAATATAATAAGTTCTACTACACAAATAGTTTATGGTTTTAATTACAATCAGAACGCATGCGACTCTATAAGCTCGTTCAGATGCCTGTTTTTGGACTTTTCTATAGCACACATCCATATCCTGGTTTTGTACACCCTATACAGTTCCTTGACAAGGTCCCTGAAGTCCACCCTCTCATCGCTTGCAAAATAAAACGTTATCTTGTTCAAGTCCCACTGATACTCACATCCAACTACTTCCATGTCCAGCCCACTCATCAATGCCCTTTCTCTGCAGAACTCCAGCGCTCTGGTTTGCATACTTCTCTTCCTTTCCAATACCTCAAGATCAAGCAGTGTTGCTAGCCTGTATATCCTCTTTGGCTGCACCTCATTAGAAATGTCCTCGTACTTCTTGAACAGCCTTTCAAGTTTCTCCTTCGTAGTTACTCCACCTATCATTCCACAATCCTCTCCTCTATCCGCTTCCAGTATCACATACGAGTTCTTTCTGATCCCAAGATTCACATCAACAAACGCAACATCAAGGCGTTTGCTCTCAAACTGTATGATGTAATAATGGCTCTCTGCTGCTATCGACATAAACTTAAATGACGTCTCTATGCTATCAAAAATTGGCTTCATCGGAAAGTCAACCAGCTTCCGCTCTATCTTGCATGCATTCTCAGACCTGCGCTTGAACGGATTCGTCCCCACTATCCTCCAATCCTCCTGGTTCTCCTGCCAAGTCTCTGTACTTTCAGACCACAAACTGTTCAAAAATGGCGAGGCCCAGTTCTCACAGAAGGACATTCTTCAGAGGGTAACCAAAAATCAAAAATATACCATGCATCAAAATTCACACTTCTCCCATGATTCAGCAATGCGCTGCACTCTGTCTCCATAAAGACTGACTGTGTTATTCATTAATGCACCCACCACCACATCATATTCCACACCCTTGACTTTGCTTATTATCTCCGCCACTTGTACTACACAGGATGGTTCATTTCTCCTCCTCAATGCCTTTTGGCCATCAAAGCAGCCTGTAACATACTTTGATCCTGCATAGCTTTTCCTGATTTTACAGTATGGCGAGTCTGTCTCCACGAGGATCGACTCCATCGGCAACCCTTTCAACACCTCAATCCCCTCATCAGTCTTTACAGAGCATCCATTAATTCCTATGTACAATCCTTTGCTTATTAACTCTTCGGCCTCCTGATGCGTTCCCGTAAAGCTATGGACAACGCCCCGAGGCGAATAATCACCAATCATCTCCATGAAGTCTCTGTGGCTTGATCTCGAGTGAAAAAAGTAACAGTCACCATTCAGATCAAGCTGCGAGCGGAACACTCGCTTCTGCGAAGCAACATCTGCGAATTCAAGGCGATCATAATCTAAGCCACACTCTCCCACTGCAACAACCATATCCTCGTTCATCAGGTGCTCTATTCCAGACACATCAAAGCATCCTTGAGATGATGTAGGATGTATGCCAACAGTCGCCACTGTTCTGTATCTGGAGGCAAGCTCGACACACTTTCTGCTTGTTTCATAATCCAGACCTATAAATATAGGCATTACATTGCTTTTCATTGCCCTTTCGATCACTTGGTCAAGCATTTCTTGGTTTCTTGACAGCTGGCTGTCCGTGATATTAACTGCTATGTCTATCAGCATCGGGGTGACCTTGGAGACACATATAAATGTGTGCATCAGGCACAAGTGCCTTGGCCACAGGTACAGCCCCAAACGGCCAAATGTTACCCCTTGCGGAATGAGGAGGACATACAAGCCACCAAGTAGAAGAAGCAAGATCTATAGAAGAAAAACACTGGATCCCAAGTCACGGCTGGACATCAGAAGGGATGAAGATGACCTTGAAAATATTGATGATTACTGGAAAACAGCAGAATCAGTGCTTAGAGATGACAGTGTTGCAGAGATCGAGGAAACAGCCGTATACAGGAGCGAGGACGAATGCAAACATAGCGATACGCTTTTTGACATTAAGGGCATTCGCGAAAGACTTTCCATAAAACAGTCGTGCGCTGACTTGTCTACTGTCGATGCAGACACATTCGAATTGAGTAGCATTGCAACAAACAGTGTTCTTGAGAAGATGGATCCGTCTGTTTTATTTGAAAACATAACAGCAGATCACAATGTCATTGCAGATGATGGATTTGAAAGCTTGTGCACCATCAAGGCTGAGAATAGCAAGTATTTACATGGAGGATCTATCTGCAAGCATTCTATAAGTGATGAGGATGATTCTGCAATAGATGCACGCATTAAGGCAAGAGCAGGCCCTGGAATGAACTTGATAGATGCCAAGGTGGAAGAAATTGCGGGGGATATGCAGAATAAAAATGCGATGGAATCACAACGATGTAAAGTGGCCAGATCAATTATTAGTCCTGAAGCAATACGTGAATGCACAGAAAATATAGAATTTGCATCGGAATATCCAGACTATGCAATCGCAAATGCTCTTGGGATTTACCAGGGAAAGAGCTCGTTTGAGCCGTTGATCACATCGTTGAGCATAACAACAGGCATTCTGTTTCTCAAAAGCCTTGCATCGGTCAATCCTGAGCATGCAGCTTGTGGATTTTCAATGTTTGTCATAAAAGGTGCAGTACAGGTTTGCGTTGACAACCAGAAACTTGTTTTGAAGAAAGGAGGAGTGTGCGTGATTGAGAAAGACACAAGATACTGTATAAGCAATCCATTTGCAACACGGTGCACCATTCTATTAACACATGCCTCATCCTCGTGTAAGGATGCACCCGAGTAACATAAATTATTAGAGAATGTTCTATATCACTATTTAATGTTTTAGTGGCCTGAAGCCAACCAGAAAGAAATCACAATCACAATCACATAGATTTTGAGTTAATTGCTAGCATCTGCTCCATCTTCACAGAACACAAGATTGCTTTCGTAGTATTCAAGAAGAGGAATAGGATATCTTTTGTGGACAACTTCGGCTGGAAATCTACCATTCTCCCCGTTCTTGAACAACAAGTAAACAGTCAAGCCATTCTTTGAATCGCTTCTCTCGACAGAAATGACTTTCTCCACAGCCGAGTTCTGGCTGTTACTTATCACTTGTGCATCAGGTGTGCCTTGAAATTTAGCACGAGGTTTTCTTTTGCTTTCTTCCTGAGTCTTTTCGCTGCTGTTCTGTGAACCATTCTTACCTTTTTGAGGTTTGCTTCTTTTACTCGTCTTACAAGATACTTGCTCAGTTGCACGCTTTTGGGCCTTTTGTGTAGTGCTCGCTTCTGATGAATGCACATTGCCCTTCTTGCTTTGCTTTGCATTTGCATTTGCTGTAGCTTTCTTGCTTTCATACTCTTGTATCATATCCTTGCAGAAGATGTTCTCTTCGTCTTCCCATGTATTGTCCGCATCAGGATATCCCATCCACTTCAACAGATATTGCTTCACTCCCTTTACTTTTCTACTCGCAACAACTTTCTCAACTACGTAGACATCATCGCCGCTCATTATGTGTAAGCTAATGTTTATAAGCGATTGATAAATTGTGGCAATGAAACACAAATAAACACACCATCAAGCATCATTGGGTCTTTGAAATCTGCTCATACTCCAAAGCGGCCTTCTTCGTTCTTATTCTTGTCTTGTTTGTTATCCTGCTGCCCAAGAACAATGATCCAACAAAAATAACCCCCACTCCGCAGGCAAAGATCTTCAGCTGGCTAGCGGTATACTGCTCAAACTCCCTGAAGTATATCCCCGCGGTTATTATGCTCAAGAGTGTCCAGGTCACGTGGAACATTGGAATAGCAAGCAGAGCATCGTAATGCCTCAATGCTCTGTTGAGCCAGTATATCTGGAAAAAGGTGCATACACCAAGCACCAGTATAAAAAAATATGTCGTAAAAAACACAAACTGGTTATCTCCAGAAATCGTTTTGTCAATCATCTCTCCCAAGCTCTTGATAGACAGCGTCGTGAAGGATGCTATGAAAGAAGACAGACACACATATGCTAGTGCCATCACATACTTCATCACAAATCCATCCTCTTCAAACCAAACCGAGCCACTCTTCAGAAACATCATTCTTTCTCCAGGCAGCTCCCAGTTGCTGTTTATCTCCACATACTTGATGAATGCAAACAGGTAAACGATCATAATCAGAATAAATCCAAACCAAACCAGTGTTTCCGTCCGCTTGTACATCTTCATCAGCTCGCATAGGCTGTACATCTTATGTGTTATCGTCGTGTTCATAACAACAAGCGTCGTGCCCGCAAACACAAACAATATTGCGCAGAAGTCCCTCCATGTAAACAGCTCGTCATTGATCATCGGCGCAAAGATGCTATTTGACACAAGCCCCGTAGCACCCAACACCGCAATAAAGGACTGATTTCCAAACACATATGAGCAGTATCCAAAGATTTTGCCTAACACATACATGATGCATCCAACATAGAATGTTTGGAACCTTGTTCTGAGAATTTCGATGTATGCGTGTCTATACGATCTCTTCTGCAGATTCACACCGACATTGATCCCAATGTTTCCACTTATTGACAGAAACACACTAAACATCCACGAACTCGATTTGTCTGGAACACACTCATATGTACCTTTAGAGCCTAGCATACACGAGTGATGGGTGTCACACCCACTAAGCGCTCTTGGCCGATGCACATTGCACGACTTTCCCAATGGGATGTTTCTGCAGCAATACATGGACCCAAGTGTTTTTGGATCATCATACTCGCATTCGCCTTCCACCTTACACTTCTCTGTGCAGGCAAGCGGCCCAAAGAACGAATAAGACGAGCAGTCAGCTGGCTTCAGGCAATGCATACCCGGCGAAAGGATCTTTTGGCAGGCATGGTTAACGCAATACAGCGAATGAATGTCCGGTCTGGACCTATTGAGGCAATCACTGTCTTTAACACATGTACGAAGCGCCACTGCAAATTCAAGCATACATAAAAACATCATTATTTGTTTACTCAAAAAGGTTTATATTCTCTCCTTCCGTCACACATCCTCAACTGCATTACCGCGTCCCTGTCCATTGTATATACCGTATGCTAGCATAAAAAGCATCCTTGGCTCATTTATAAGCACTGCAACCTTACTTATACTCTTAAACATATTCTCAAGAATCTCGTTATTCGCATTGTAAAGTTTGCAATCCACTACTGCACCGTCCTTTACAAATATTCCAACATCGCTTGCCAATGCTTTAAACCTCATATACATTTCGTTGTTTTCTTGCTCAACCGTCACTATTTGTATTCCAAACATGTTTTTAACAAATTCAACCGCTCGGCTATACCAAGCATACGATTCTTCCATGTAATTCTCCATGGCTATCAACGACAGTCGCCTTTGCCGTGCAGAAAGATTTTCCTTCTTTGCACGCATGCCTCGTAGATCTTCTTCTGCATCAGTCGTCTCCAGCAATGCCAGCTTTTTCTTTAGCAAATCAATTTTATCAACATGCTGTTGAATATCCTGGCATTTCTTATCAAATTGAATCACAAGCTCATCATACGACTTCAAATTCTCATCAAGCGCCTCTATTCGTGAATACTCCTCTGCAAGATCCATTTCCCTCTGCTGCTCTTCGTGCAGCGCCTTTTCACACTCCCTCAGCCGCAGCTCCATTTCATGTGTTGCTTCCGATAGTTCTGCAATCAGCTTAGATGCATCACTACCAACAGACTTCACACTCTTCAGCTGTGCCTTGCTGCTGCTTAGTATTGTCAGCAGATCCTGTGCTTCTCTATCCTCCACTTTCAAGCTCTGCAGTAAAAGCATCTTTGTTGTTCTTTCAATATAGCCAAACTTGTAGTTGTTGAAGTAGTCCTTGGCATGCATATAGTCGTGGTCTGCTGTCTCGTACCTGTCCATTCAGGGAGCAGTAAATCATGTGTTTAACAATCGCATGCATTTGCATTTGTACATATACCATCGGCTTCATTGTGTATCACTCAGCCATACTAATTCTCCCATAAATACTCCTTTACGGCTTTGCATCGCATTGCATCATTTAATAAGCAAAGCTTGCACTACTTGTGCCCAAACGAAAGTCCATACGAATACATTGCCACAGAAACCGATCCCAGCATCAAGGAAAACACCTTCCACGTATTTATGCTTTCATTCAGCACAATGATGCCAAGAAATGACCCAATGCTTTTGTTCAGTGCTCCAAGCATCCCAAGAGTCGTTGATGAAAGAACATTCAATGTCCATGCAGTACTGAATGATGTGAAAAACGCACAAACAGATGATACAAACACCCATGCTAGCACTCCTATGGAAATCCCTTTGCTGCTTTTGCCATCAAACACAAATGATAAGGGCGCAAGAATCGGCAAAGACACAAGGCTCGAGTAGTACACAGACTCTGTCTTTGCTTTACTGTCTGTATCAATGGCTACTTTCAGCGAAAGCACATAGGCTGTGGTCGACAGAATATTTATCAGCATCCAGGCATATCCAGTGGCAAGAATCGCCTCTGAATAATCGCCTATATACGAGCTTCCAATCATTAGCATGAACGATGCATATGCCAATGAAGATATCCTTCTGTTGAAGAGTCTTTTTTCCAGCAGTGCAGTAATCACAATACTGCTGTTCTTAAACAACGTGTATATTGAGATCGGCAGGTAATACAGTGACTTCGATCCAGAAAATATCATCACGGTCAGCAATAAAGATGGAAGCAGCCACTTTCTGAATCTTGTGAGCTCGAAGTCCACGGCACCGATTCTTCTCAGAAACAGCAATGAGCAAACAATCGCGAGCGATTGGAGCATCACAAGTAGATATTGCATTTCAAATTGCAAATCAGACAGAATGTACTTGTTTATAATCGTTGTTGCCATTGAGCTAAGCAAGTACACAGAACTTGATGTGAACTGTTCAAATGCTTTCATGTTGACTCAGTTTTATTGCATTTCAAAAGCAAACTTGAAACATTGCATCAAAAGATCTTTAATCTTTACATACTGTGGCTATAAGTATCTTAATGTGACCAGCAAGCATAGTGGATTCACAAACCCTGAGCTGATAAGCTTCATAAATAATTCAGCATAAACCATAGCCATAACTCATTTTTGGAAGTGCCAAGACTTCTATTATTATTCAGCATGCTAAATGAAGGAGCAGCCAAAATGAAATATGCCCACCCAAGATATTGTATGCTCTCCTTATTTACATTATATATTTCCACAAGCTAGCTCTGATATGAAGGGCATTGTCGCAAAGATACTAATGTTTGTATGGCCTTTGATAATCATTTCGTTCCTGGCCACTCCAGTGGCTAAAATTACTAAAATTACTGGCGAAAATCCAAAAGAAAATCCTATAACGGTATGGATCATTGTTGCCATCTTGTGCATTCCATCAGCACTGGCCATTCTTAGTTGTATTCAAAACAACAAATCTGCAGGTAAAGACAAGGATAAAGCAGCTAACAACCATTATAAATGCCTGGGCCTCATTTCAATACAACTCGTTGGAATTGCCTGTTATATATTTACTACATACAGGTGCCTATACTCTGAACTTAAGATTTCGAATGAAGAATTTGTAAGAATAATTAAGTATATAGCCATATTAAGTGGCCTGAAATACCTAATGTTTTTGAGCATGCATAATCGGTATGCATTTGTAAATCTATTGCGTGTATTGATTACAGTAATTTACCTGGTACTTTCAATGATCGTTTTTGGAATGGTTGATGACGACTACCCTGGAAAAAACATTGATACAGCAATAAATTCCATCCAATCAACTCAGCTAACTGCTAAGAATATTGGAGAATTTCTCGGAGATATTGACAAATTCCAGAAAAAACAAGAGCAAATCTTGCAAAACATAGATACTAGCAGAGACATCACGCCTTCGGCTACATAGACATGCTTAAATAAATAATACACATCGAAATTTATACACATTCCCAATAATTTGCCTAAAACACAACAAATCGCATACACTAGCACAAGATAGTCTATGCACCAATCTCCTTGAATTTATCCAGCATCTTCAAGATTGCATCTTCAATCTTCTTGTATTCTGCTTCTTCATCTTCCTCAACAAATATCGCATTGGGCTCGCCTCGATACACAATTTCGTCAACTCGTTCATTCACAATCACATCGGCACTTCCATGCAGCTGTAGAAAATGGCTACAGTGTATCTTTTCTCCGTTCCACAGCACAATTTTTATTTGGATGCTGAACTCTCCCCATCCCCTCTCTACAGCCTCAAAAGGGTACTCCACACTCACCAACCGGTTGCTAAACGACTCGTGCAATCTGAACTCAACTCGCTTAACAACATCTACTGGTGCACGTACATAGACCTTCCATTCGTGTGTAAGCTCAGAAACAGGCCTTTCGCTTTCAGGAATAACTCTTGCCTCGTTTCCGATTGTAACCTTACAGCTTCTAAACCCATCCATCAAGGGCAATCATTTCCAATATCCTCTAGTTGCATCCGAATAATCATCGTCTTGCACTTGCAGCACCCACATAAACACTCATAGCAATCAGCTTATCAATTCTGTACATACTCCATGAACAACTGAAGTGTCTTGGATGGTGAGTGTGCTTCAACATCAATCTGCTTGACTTGGCTTATTTTGTGAATCATTGCTTCGGTGTAGTCAATCTTGTGTGGAAGATTCAAAAGAGACGTTATTGTGAATCTATTCTTCTTGACAATTGTATGACTGCGGTTGTATCGTATCCTTCTAACAATCGATAAATAATGCCATAGGTTTTCAGAGTGCTCCAGTAGTTGGAATATTGCTTCCGGCAGTTCAACATCCACGTCCTTGATGTCGAGTGTCATGTTCTTTGCAGCCAGTATATCATCCGTGCTTATTCCATCTCTGTTAACCATCGATCTGTTTCCTCCAAGCCTGATAAGAATTTCTAAACAATCAAAATGTTCATGGGATGCGCTGTAATGCATTGCTGTGTTTCCAAGACAATCTGTTGCATTCACATTGCATCCCAGCGCCAGAAAAGCAATCAGCTGCTCAATGTCGCCATCAGCAGACTTTGCATGCAATGCAGACATCCCATTGATCTCTTGGCAGATTGATGTTTGGTATTTGCTGAGAAGAAAAACAAATTCCATGTTGGCCTGCACAAGATAGCACAGTCTACTCGCTTTTGCAAGTTCTGGATTCCTGTCGAGGATCTTTTTTGCTGCGGCAATGTCGTCGCTCATGCACAAAAAGTCAACTAGAAACAAAGGCTTGTCTGCGGTTTTAACCGTTTCGATTCCTCGGTATGCATTTAGCAAGCCATATTGCCTCATCGTTACAAAATTGAATGTCTGCTTTGCATCCAAGGTTTTCCCTCCAAACGACGCAATCATCTGTGGCGTAAGTCCATTCCAGCATAGCTCATAGTTCGGTGAGAAACTCATGAAAACAGACAAAATCTCGCTGCTCATTGCACATGCAAGATGGAAATATGTTGGAAAAAGGGCACTTCCAAATATTGATGCATTGATGCTGCTTGGAAATCCTCCACTGAGCATTGAGTAAACCAGCTCTGGCTTGTTTTTTATCATTGCTAGAAGCAGCACAATGCTGGCTTGGTTGTAGTAGTGACGCTTTACCTCAATACTCGGCTTGAAAGGACGCCCATCAATCAATGCAAGCCTAATGAGGTGTAATTTATATCCAAGCACAGTATTTCCTCTCGATAGCTTGGAAATAACTTTAGTGGAAGGATCCGGCATCTCGTTAGATGACAGTCCTGCTTGCCTATAGCTCTGGTTTAGCACACGGAGGCTCATTAAGCACGATCTCTGCTCTGTGTACTTTGTGTCCGAAAGAATGAATTCATGGAACTCCTTCCGCCTTCTGTTCATGCTGTGCAATTGCTCAGCCTTCATGCAGCACATATACAAAATGATTTTTTAGTCAGGCAGCAAGGCAGTGCACAAATGTTATTGCTGTATCAAGCCCATGGAGTACAAGATACAGAAGGACCAGGAGTTGCTGGCAATAATCGACAATATTGAGAAGAGTTACGATCCGAGCTCGCCAGCATATAAGTTCAAGTATGTGTTCTACAACAAGGTGGATCAGCCATTCAGCCGTCCATTCGACTTTCCGGAAGCCCTTTGGAGCATTTCATTGAGTGAGGATCCAACAATGATGCCTGTTCTTTTGAAAGGCGAGGACATTGAGCACAGGAAGGCGCTTCAAACAGATCTCTGCAAAAAAATCAACGACTCGTACGACTTCGTTCGTAAGAAGATCAATGGGCTGAGGATGAGGTCGGAGCGGCTAAAATCAAGAATAGAAGGATGTGCACAGATGTACAGAAGGATTTTTGGAGGAGTTTATAACAAACTGAAGAAGGAGGAAGGAAAATGCACCTTGATCGATCAGATATACCGCGCAAATCTGTCGATTGACAAGAAAGAGAAGCTGTATGTTGTAGAGAAAAAAAGTGATGTAGTCGACTTTTTGCTTGACATGAAATCAATGGGCGAGAAGATTTTGAAAAGTGCAGATGATGCATTGCAAGAGCGTCAAAAGCAAGCAGTAATATTAAACGAACTGGATAGAATCTGATGATCAGCAACAGCTTTCTGATCACTCGCTAGGAGACTCACATGTAAAAGCAGTGTTTTAATTGGCATTGTTTATAGAACATGCTTTGCTATTATGCACATAAAAGAATATAGCTGCTAACAGGATATGTGTTTGCTATTCAGTAATGATTTCACCATATTTCATTTTGGTTGCAAGGCTTCTGCAGTCGATCCGCCCATTTTCAACACATCCTTTAAGAAGTAAATTAACATCATCGTTTGACATGCAGCTTCCTTTCTCAGTCAGCCAATGCCTAAGCATATTTTCATCTATCTTTCCATCACCAACATCATCAAATTCTTTCAATGCGTTGAAGATGTTTTTTTCAGAGTCTGTGCAGCTGAGCATTTCGCCTATCATAGTAAGGAAAAGCATGTATGTCATGTTGTCTCCGCTCTCATGCATCATCTGATCTACTTCCTTGCAAGAGAAAGGAGATCCTATTGATGCAAGAAAGTTCTCCAGGTCTGACCGATCAACAAATGTGTCGCTGTTTACATCCAGGAAGTTGAATGCTTCTCGGAGTTCAACTATCTGGTTCTTAGTGAGCATATGGAAGATGTTAGAATTCTGCCGTCCATGCCGTCTTCTCATTGGAGGGAGTCGTGTGTTGCCGAAAGAACTGCATTGGCCTTGACATATTGCAAACAAACAGATGGCATATAAATATTTATTACATCCTTTCAGATACACTTGCAGCAGCACATCCACATCCAGGCAGGCTCTGCCCTAGAGCGCCTTGCTTTCAAGACTGCATCCAGTGCCACACAAAACACCTTGTTTACGTTTACAAGCTCCAGCGATGAGCATTCTATTGATTCATAGAGGCCATACTCGCTTTTCAACGCCTCGGGAAGTGCCCTGTCAATCAAATCACCATCAATCACATCGCATTTTGTGCCACAAAGAATCATCGGGACATTGTATTTAGAGAGCTCTTCAATCCATGCCCGTGTGCTTTTAAACGAGGCAGCGTTGTCGATTGCATAGCATATCAAAAACACATCGGCTTCCTGGAAAAACTGTCCGCGCAGCTTTTTGTACTCGTCGCTTCCTGCGGTATCCCACAGTGTTATGCTGTATTTCTGGCCTTCTCGGGAAACCTCCTTACTTGACTTGTCAAAAAGGGTGGGGATGTATCCCTCGGGGTTCTTGCCTGTTATGTATGTTGTTATGAGCCAGCTCTTGCCCACTGATGGATCTCCTACAAGGACACATTTGACGGTTTCCATCGCAAAGCTTGTTGAGAACTGTGATTTTTGTTTTAAATGGATGGTTTTGACGTGATTCAATCACAAACTGAAGACTGAGAAACAGATTGGATGCCTGTGCTCTTCTGTGCTGGTTGAGTTCATCGTGTGTCATGTCATCAGTTTTCATTTGGAATGGGCTAGGCCATACATCGCTGATTAGAGCATACTTCGAGGCTTTCCAGACTGATGGGATAGCTTTGCTATTCTGGATGTGTTTGTTGGTGCAAGGCTGGCCATGAAATGCACTATAGCTATTTAAGCATGGCTTGCTGATTAAAGTGATCAATAAACTTACGCAACTAGGTGATATTATTGGTGAAGCAACGCCGCTCGTGTGTTGTATATCATGCAAGATTTGTCTTATCTCCTTATTACCTAGGTATGAATATGATAGCGTGATTACATGTACACCCTTCGATGAGCCAAGAGAAGATTGGAGATGTTGATGAAATAGACCAGATGATGGCTAACAAGGCAAAAGAGATCGAATTCTTCGCAGAGAGATCCGAGTTCGATGACGAAAGCGATAAATTGTATATGGCAAATGGGAAGAATGCGCTTGATCAGAGAAGAGTTTACAGAAAGGTCATAATCATCGAAAGATCGCAGCCTGTTGGAGAAATAATGATCCGATGGCTTGTGTCTGTAGCAATGTATGCATTTATAATACAAACGATATTTACGGTGTGGAAGAAGGTGAGCAGTAGGACACATGACATCTGTGTGTTTTTGATTCTTATGTTCTTTCCGCCTGCATTTTTTGTGTATGCACGATCGTATTTTCTTCCTGGGATATGGGCAGGATTTATGGGGTTTATTCTAATTAGTTGCTTCAAGATGCTGAAGTCACAGCACGATAAGGAAGCGATGAGGCGTACATATGCAATATTCAAAAGATTGTTTATTATTTCGAACTCAGGGATTTTTGTTGGGCAGGCGCTTACGTTTATTACCTTTTATGTGGGCACTAAGTACCTGATGCATTCACTGTCTGTTCTGCTGTTTTTTGTGTACTTTGGGCTATTGAGCAGAGAAACAATATTTTTTTTGAGCGAGATGATGGCGGTGTCCACTGGCTTCTACAGCAAAGAGGGCGTGCCCGGAAAGGGCAACAACAACTCGTTGTGCATGATATGCACCAAGAGGTTTGACGGCGTTGAGAAGATACACACACTAGGATGTGGGCATTCATTCCATGAGGACTGTATCAAGGGATGGTGCCTTCTAGGGAAGAAGCTTTTCTGCCCATACTGTAAGAGCAGGGTGGTGGGCTCGACACTGCCGCCAGAGCTTTGGCACAAGGCAGAGGTTTGGTTTTATCCACTGATAAATACGATGAGGAGCTTCATTATTATAACGCTTATGCTGACAGGGATAGTCTTGTACAAGATTAGGTACCAGAATGGTCAGTGAAGGGTTTTTATTTGGCTATTTGAGAATGATTTTCCCAGTTACTTTGGCGGTGTTTCCTTCGAATACCAGTTTGAGATCCTGGACGCCATGAGCGAATGTGTGAGAGGCAGCCATGAACTCCGAGCTTTTCATTTTGTATCCGTTTTTGTCTGATTCCGAGTCTTTTGTGTATTCGATGGAGAAGCCGTTTGGCAGCGTTTTGAATTTGATATCTTTGTGGTCGATGTTTTTTGGCAGTTAGAAGGTCTCAACGATTTCTTGTGTTTTTGCAAGGCTATCGGCGCACATTGTATGCGAGGAAGAGAGTCAATATATAATTTGTGCTACCAATTGCATATGGAGCTGACTAATCACGTGCAGCACGAATGCTGGTAGGTTTGGATTGAGTGAATGATGGCTTGAGAAGTTGATGGGCGTGAATCATAATGCATGAGTGATACATCGATAAATAAATGCATGAAAGTGAGGAGAAATGGAGGCAGAGTATATAATTAATGGAAAGCAGTACCCCATAGAATATGAATAGGCTGGAGAAGTTCTTTACGACTCTGTATACAGCGCAGTCGAAGGTTCTGAAGAGGTACACAACTGATGAGCTGGTTTCTCAAATAAAAGAATATGTTGACTTTACGCCTTACATTCTCAGGCAAACATACAAGCTTTTGTGTGGGCAGGAAGGAGAGGACAGGAAGAACGGGGCGAAGATACTTGGTTCGCTGATGTTCCAGTTTAAGCTTGTGACAGAGTTCAAGATTGAGTATATGGAGGGGAAGGACATATATCTGAGCTGTACAGGAGAGCAGTTCAACGTACAGGCGCCATCCATACAGGAGCAGAAGAGGATGGTGAAGAAGCTTGCGGACATGGAGCATGTGGAGTCGAACTTCCTGAGCGATATTGATTTTAGGGCAAGTGCAGGAGAGGCAATCAAAAGGCATAAGGTTGAAGAGAAGGTGATTGAGAATCCGTTTGATTTTTTTGAGCAGGTAAGCGAGAACCTGCTGAGTTACGAATGGCACAAGCGGCATGGGGCGTTTCTTGCATTTGAAGCAATGTTTTCTGAGATGGGAGAAGGGGAGATGCAGGTTAAGATTGATCCTAAGCTGTTTTCGAAGATCTACGAAATTCTTGTTACGGACAAGTTCAATGACTTTGTGGATGACAGGACGGTTGCGCCTGTGAGGGATGCTGCAGCACGTCTTTTAGCATGTATCTACCCATTGATTGGGGCGAATGATATTATTGAGCAGCTGATTGGATTTCTGGACAACGACGACTGGCAGGTGCAGTTTTCAGGGCTGATAGCACTTGGATATCTGAAGGAATATGTGCCTGACAAGGAGATGCTTTATAAGAAGCTTGTGTCGCTTTTGTGCAGTGTGGATGAGGACATAAAGCTGCTTAGTGCGGAGCTTTTGTGTGAGTTTCCGATTTGCTCTGATGCGGAGGTGATTCTTGACAGATGCTGGAACAATATCGAAGCGGAGGAGGTTATTTCTGTGTCAAAGACGTCCAACCTGTCGCTGCTTGCAAAGATATATAGAGAGAATCCTGGGATAGAGGTGCCGTCTGATAAGCTAAAGGAGATTTTCCCATGCTTCACATCGCCTGTTCCTGATGTGCGTATCAGCATTGTGAAGATGGTTGAGAACTTCAGTGACGAGTCGATTGATTTTCTTATTGCAGAGATGATTTTGATTGAGGAGAAAGAGGAGATAAGGGAGCTTGCTATGAGTGTTTTGAAGAAGAAGAGTGCGATGCCAAGCAACCTAGTGGTCCATTTTATGAATGTTCTTGGAGGAAGTTTGTATGAGCCGTATCGTGAGGATGACTTTGTCTCATACGATGACTTGTATTTTACAAAGAGCGGAATAAATGTGATAGGGAAGGACGAGATACTGAAGAACAGGTGTTGTTTGTTTGAATGCCTGATTGGAGGGGAGATTGCAGACTTGAAATGCAAGGAAACAATGATTGGCAACACTTTTCTATTTCTTAGCAGATTTGCTCATGGGTATAGCAAGAATAACGAAGGATTTGAGTGTGAAAATGCTGAAGAGGAGGAGAGTACCGATGAAGAGATGCTGGTAAAAGGCCTTGAAGAGTATTTTTTGAAGTGCAGAGATCTAAAGATGGCGCCGATGAAGGAGTTCAAGAAGAAGATGGGGGATCCTAGTATTGTATCGATTCATCCGATGGTTGAGGCATTGTATGTTGACTATATCAGGATGCAAGCAGCAGTGAATCTTCCTGAGCTAAAGTTTGCAGTGAAGATGTACAAAGTAGAGACATGCAGGCAGTTTCTGAGTTTGTTCTCGAGGATAGTGACTGATGCATATGATGAGGGAAAGGTCTGTGTAAATAAGTTTTTGATGAATGCATATGAAGGGCTAGTGCAAGGCAGTGAAGGATTTCTTGTTTTTTTCAAAGTTTTTGGAGCAAGGTTTCTTCAGCATGTGTTTTTCAGCCGGGTGATAGGCTTTGATAGCAGACTTGACTTTTTTGCAAGGACAATTGAAATATATGCATGTGACGAAGGAATAAGAAGATTGGAGAGTGTTTTTGAGGATGCACTGCAGAAGAGGAATGTAGCAGTGGTACGTGGGTTTATGAAATCTCTTGAGTTTAATGAAAGGTTTGTAAGGAGCATGCTATATAATCTGGATGTTGAGCTTCTTGGTATGCTGATCGATGCAGGCGATCATTCGTTCAACCCACTGTTTGTGAAGCCTCTTTTAAATAACATTTCTAGTGGTAAGGATAGGAATGTGTCTTGCAAGGTGTTTTCGAAGATTATTCCTACGCTTGGATTCCGAACGAATGAGAAGATAGCCGAGGATCTCCTTGTGCAAATTGATACAGAGAACAAGGCGCTTGAGTCTTTACTTGATTCGAAGAAGATTCCTGAATACAAGATAAAGTGTCCTATGGAGACGAAGCTGAGGGATTATCAGGCGGAAGGAGTAAGATGGTTGAGCTTTTTGTACAGCTTTAATCTGAATGGGATTCTTGCGGACGACATGGGGCTTGGAAAAACGCTGCAGGTGCTGACTTTTCTTTGTTCTGAGATGTATGAGACGGACAGGAGAGTGCTGGTTGTCTGCCCGTCGAGCTTAACTGGACATTGGAAGTCTGAGGTAAGGAAGTTTTTTCCTTTTATGTCGTGTGAAGTGTATAGGAAGGAAATGAAGAGTGATTATGCGATTATAGTAAGTTCTTATGAAGCGTTTAGAAATGACTATCTGAGCTTTATTGAGAAGGATTGGTTTTATGTAGTTGTTGATGAAGGACATGTGCTGCGTAACAAGCAAACGATGCTGTATGCGAGGATGAACATGATAAAGTGTGCAAGAAAGATAATACTGACAGGAACGCCGGTGCACAACAGCGTTGAGGATCTTGTCTCGCTGTTCAACTTTCTGATGCCAGGCTACATTGGGCCTGAGAAGGACTATGGGACGTTGAGCGTCAAGATGTCTGACTCTGAGATTGAAAAAGCGCATGCCAAGCTTGAGTATCTGCACAAGAAGGTTCTTCCGTTTGTTTTGAGGAGGCTGAAAATAGATGTGCTGAAGGATCTGCCGCCGAAGATAATTAGAGACATTATTATTGAGTTTGGGCCTGCACAGGAGAGTCTGTATAGAGAGATCGATGAGAACGGAGGAAGAGAGGAAGCAGGAAGAGCAAATGAGTTGGAGTATGGAAAGATTGACCAGAAGAACGCTGGATTTAAACGAACAAGGGACTTGTTCCTTGCGATATCACATATAGGGCACTTTAGAGACTCGGAAGAGGTTTCATGTAAAGTGAGGGCTCTCGATGACATTATTTCGCTCTGTGGAGGAGAAGAGCTGAGGAGCAAGATTCTTGTGTTTTTCCAGTTTAAGTCGAGCATAGATCTTGTTGTGAATGATATTATGAAGAGATACAAGTTCAAGCACTCGAGGATTGACGGATCTGTTGTGAGCTCAGCCAGGACAAAGATTATTGAGGAGTTTAATAATGGAACCACACAAGTTTTATTTCTAACTACGCAGGTGGGGGGTCTTGGGCTCAACTTGACTGCAGCGGATACAGTAGTGATGTATGAGCACGACTGGAATCCGTTCAATGATTTGCAGGCAATGGACCGAGCACACAGGATAGGGCAGAAAAGAACGGTCAATGTGTTTAGGCTCATAGTGAAGAACACGCTAGAGGAGAAGGTTATGAATTTGCAATCGTTCAAGATGTTTATTGCAAACAGTCTTATATCTCAACAGAATGCAGACATAGAAACAATGGAAACCAAGGATCTTCTTGAGAAGTTCCGGGGATAGATGATGCCTGTGAATAGTATTTACAGGAAGTAAAGATGATGGAGTGCTCGATTTATTGATGAGATTAAGCGATTATTGATTAGAAATGCACACGTGCTGGATTAAATGTGGTACGATGTTTTTGTTTTATCAGCACAATTCATCAAAAGATTATCATCAATCTTGTTATAAACAAACATATATGGACAGGTTTCTGAAGGGGAATAAATTAGATGTTTCTAGTTATCTGGCGAATAGCATGTATACCAGCTTGTCTTGCGAAAATGTGTGTGGAATGGGTATGACCGATCCTGCTTTTGATTCGAACATCTATTTAATGGCAGGTACTAAGAAGCCTGATGCAAAGCTGGTGGTGCAGCCTTATAGACAGGTGAGGATTGGTAGTCTTCCTGATGATTTCTACAGTAGCCTAATTGATTGGTCTGGAGATAATGTGTTTTTCATGGCCGACGGAAACCTGCTTGTTCACAACTTTTGTTCGTCAAGAACATTACAGATGTGCAGTCTCGGCAGTTTTGGAGTAACCTCGATAAAGCACAATTCATCAACGAACAGTGTGGTGCTTGGGACATCGATTGGGGTTGTTCTGGGCATCGATATGGTGTCTTTGAAAATATCAAAATATCCATTCCATAAGTCCAGGGTGGGCGTGATAGAGATGGATGGCACAAACATCATAACGGGGAGTAGGGACAGGAAGATAAAAATAACAGACCTGCGCTCTGAAAAAGCCGTGGCAACCATTTTGCAGCATCGTCAGGAAGTATGCGGCCTTGGGCTGAGCATAGACATAAAGTTTTTGGCATCAGGTGGAAACGACAATAGACTTTATATTTATGACTACCGAAATTTGTCGCATCCAATCAAGCAGTGTTCAAACCACAAGGCAGCAGTCAAGGCGATAAGTTGGTCGCCGAACTTTCCAAATCTTTTTGTCTCTGGCGGGGGCACTGCTGACAAGACCATCAAGCTTTGGGACATGAACCTGGTCAACTCCAGTAAGTCAAGCACATGCCTTATTAAGTCGATGGATTATGGATCACAGATCTGCAACATCAGATGGCTGAAGTCAAACAAGATCCTGAGCACGCATGGATACTCAAGAAACGACATACGCCTTTCTCAAATTCCCTCATTCAAGATTGAGAAGTATTTTGTTGGGCATAAAAACAGAGTGATTCACTTTTCATGCTCAAGCAATGAGAAGTATTTTGCTTCTGGATCATGCGATTCAAACATAAACTTCTGGGAGTTAGGCAATGAGAAGGATGATGAAATAAAGATTAGATAGACATGCTCTATGCTGTATGAGCAAATTTGCGAAGCGTGATGTTCGGGATACGAAGTTCTTACAGGCTGTGCTGTACAAACCAATCATGCATGCAACATAGAATCATCAATGATACATCCTGATGCAACTCGAAACAGAGCAGCACTGAAACACAAATATAAGCAGATGAGTGTGGCAGCGCAAGCTGGTATGAAGCATAATGAACTGATTGAGCAAGGAATTGGTAGGCATCGGCATAATCCGATGGCATTTGAAGGGCAGCCGCTGCAGAGCATGAGGTATCCCGAAAAAAACGTGTATGGAGTCTATGATTATCACTTTCCATACACAGACCGGTCGTTCCAGCCAATGTACATCAATCCAAAACAGCTCAACTGGATAATGAAAAGAAAAGCAAGGCGAGATGTGCTTGATTCGCTCATGGTGGCGAATAGGAGAAATTATTTGCATGAGAGCAGGCACATACATGCAATGAAGAGGCTGAGGGCGCCATCAGGTAGATTTCTGACCAAGAAAGAAACAGAAGAATTCATCAAGAAAAACAGCGTTTAACTCCTAGCCATCGTGTGTCCTTCTTTATAATAAAATACATGCTAATAAATAAAATGTTTTGTTTATTGATTTGCTCCTGCATATTATTATATTATTGCAAGTTGCCACTACTGATCACTGATCACTCACTAGTTAGAGCTCTTTGTTGGCAATCGCACATATGTTCCTCCCTCGTTGTACTTTCTTGTTTGGTAACCGATCGAAAAGATCAGCACCGCCGCAACAATATAGAAGAATATCTTGCATATTGTGCTTGCCATCAGCATGTCCTTGATGCTGTTGTGCTTAATGCTGCCTTTTGCTTCTTTATCGTTATTTATGCTTTCACCTTCACTATTGATTTTCGCAATCGCATCAAATGGTCTCTGTAGCTCGAGTTGTTTGGTTACGGGCTTTGCAAACAGTACTGGGCTCATCGACATTCCATAAGGGCCTTTCTGCTCAAACGGGAATGAGTCTAAGCGATACGGTGCTATTGTTCTTGTAGTTATGATCAGTGAGTGTCTTGATGGCTGCATGTAGTATGCACCAACTCCCAGAATCATCGACAGAATCAGCATGTTGATGCTTTTTGCATCTTCTTTTAAAAATCTTCCAAAACCAAGTTTCATGTATGGCCCAATCCGCCTTCTCTATGAAACTGATTTACGTTTCACATCTATACTGCAACAGGTGTGCCTTTGTATGGAAACACGGTGAGTGCCTCTTACAGACACATTATTCTCGGCATTTCTATCCCTCTGATGTCGATATTCAAACTCTTGGGCCTCAAAAAGAATGCCACAGAGAAAGACGTCAGGATCCATTACATAAGGAGATTGATCCAAGTGCATCCAGATAGATCATCAGGATCAACAGACGAATATCTCAAACTAAACAACGCATATGAAGCATATACTAGGAACAAAGGATTTCAGGAAACGCCATATGCTGTTTGTAGACGTGCAGACATACACTCAATAACATGCAGATGCGGAGAAAAATATAAATTATGCCACGAAGTAGAAAGCAGAGTAGATTGTGAGTGCTGCTCATGCTTCATAGAAATTGAAGACAACATCCTCGAGATAGGTGTAACTCATTGAAAAGCATACCGTTGCACATCTCTTTGTATTTACACTGCTAATGAATCGTTCTGGCTTCAATGAATGGATCATCAAAAGTTATACATCCACATCTAATAAAGTATTAATACGAAGAAGCTCAAATTCACTTTATTCGCTTTGGCCGACTTTCTGATTCTTAGGCTTCCTTCCCTTCATCATGATACGCTTTTCACGATTGTGACACCTGAGATTGCCTCGTGGATATGTCTTCGATCCACGCTCTCCAGGTGCAGGCCCCCAGAACTTCGCCGACTTTCTCGAAAACTTGTTTGTTGACACCAAACACACATCATCCATGTCTGAACACACCTTAAATAACTCATCAAGTGTATGTATGCTTCCTCCATACTTCTCAATCTTTTCCTTCACTTCCTTGGACCATTGCAACGCAACAATCTTCATCGCTGGCAATATCATTACCTTGTCATCATCAAGTACCTTTGCAACTATCACTGCTACTTTATCCTGTTTTCCTTCGAGCTCACTCATGATCTTCGATATTTTCACCGGTTGCCTGTCACTTTTCGACATCATCAGTCGCTTAGATATCTTCTTCAGGCATAGATAAGAAGTGTTCTTTGCAATCTTGCTGTAAAACTGAGAAAGCGCCTGTAGATACACATTCGCAGAATTCGGGCACTTCTTTGTTGCTACTGTAGACGGTGGCAGTCTCTCAAATTTCTTAATAGACGTGCTGTACATTGCTACTTTCAGGGTAAAATTTTTCTTTCTTCATAACCATTCCATTCAATCGACTTTACTCGCAATATTCAAGCAAACGCTTTGAATGCTCAGCAACTCTTACACATGCATAATCACATAAACAAATACTACAAAAGACTCATCATACTAAAGCATAATGCAAAGACAACATGCTTCAAGTATTCACGCCTCCTTTTTATTCGTTCGACATCAGTTTTTCTTCTTTTTATTGTCTAAAAACCCAAGTCCTTTTGTTACAAGATTTAGTCCCCTCTCAAAATCAGATTGCTTGCATTTGCCAACTGCATTCCAATAAAATACTTGTCCACAAATATCTACACCGTTCAAATGCAAGCGAGTGTTGTTTTTCTTCTGCTTCCTGACACAATCGATTCCTCTGATAGTAATCTCCTCTTTGCTCATGTCACAATAGTCTACCATCTTTACATCGGCTTCTTCAGGAACAAAAGCAGGAATAATATGGCATTCGTCATGCATTTTACTCGCCAGGGCCGCTCGCTCCATGTTAAAATTTGACTACACAGTACAGCTATATACAAGTTCGTTTGCTATTCATACATTATTCAAAATGCCTTATACTGCTGGAAGTCCTGCATTTTAAGCACTTGCCTTATCCAATTTCTATGCGCTATTCATTACATTCTGTTCATAGCTCCTTTGATTTATATAGCATATTAAAAACAACATGGCATGCATAAGCCTCGAAACCAAACACCCATTCCATCCCTGCATGCTTCTTTACTTCCACTTTTTCATTAAACTCAACCACACTAAACATCTTATTGGGCCCTTTCTCTTGGATATAGCACCTGGCTGATTGCCCAAAACACCTCTCCACTTCCTCAACAGCAAGCATCTCACTAGAAACTATGCACAAACAGCACGTACTTCCTTCTGGTGCAATTATTGCATACTCAGCATCCTCAAGGTGTAATTTCACAAATTCAACGTTCAAATCATCAAGAATGCATTGTCCATTAAGCAGCTCTGCTGCATACACATCACTCAGCAAACTGTAAAAATAAATCTGTTCGTTTACAGATTCACATACCTCTTTGAAAATCGGAGACCTAAATGTAAATATCTTACGGAGGTCATGCCTACTTACCATCCTATTTATTCCACTCACCCTAATATACATTAGCAATCAACCGAAGGGTTCAAATATATTAGCACACTAATGCCTATCTAATCTGCACAACCAACCAGCAGATACACCACAGCATCACAATGCGTGGGAAAGACACAACCAAAGCCCTACACACACTACACAGATGCTGGCAGATACACAAACAAACGAGAAACATTTAATCACAGATAGATCTTATGTGCCTGCTTCGTAGCTTCAGAACAAGGTTAATATCCTTCGGGAACACAGTAACCCGTTTTGCATGTTGTGCACAACTCTGTGCATCCTCAAACAATCCTACAAGATAGAGCTCAAGTGCCTCCTGAATAGAAGCAAGAGCCGGGCCCTGGAATCGCACATCTGCCGCATTACTATTCTCCCTCACTACTGACCTGCATGCTCTCTGGAAAGGAAGCCTTCGTATAAGAAACTCAGTACTCTTCTGATACCTTCTGATCTCCTTCAATGCAACAGATCCTGGTCTATATCTGGACTTCTTAGCGCTCCCACTCGGAGTGGATGTTGTTGCCTTGCGTGCAGACTTTGCAGACAATTGCTTGCGTGGCGCCTTTCCTCCTGTTGTTTTCCTAGCAGATTGTTTAGTTCTAGCCATTGTGGGGTAATTTTTTAGGTCTTTTATAACCAAGTTGGAGGGAAGTTTGTTGTTTCGAATTTGATTGATAAGGTTCTGATTGACAAATAAAATGCTAGGCATCTCTGAGGGCATGCACGGATATAACAGTTGTGGTTACCTAGATATGGCTTAATTGTTTAATTTATTTTCGTCTTGCATCTCTCTATACTAAGATGCATAGCATTTTGTTGCCTTATACTCGTTCCTGTGATTTTTGCTGCAACCTCTGAAACAAATCATAGGCGCATGCTTATCGATGCCACTTCCTTGCATTAAAATAAAATCAGTCTCAATACTTCATCATATGGCATCTGTTTCCATGCTAGTAGTTTGCTTCGATAATTCTTGCTTATAATCTTGATCCACACTGCTTGCTGATTCCAATCCTGAACTCTTTCTTGCAAAGCATCCATCAATCGTGCAAATTCTTTTATTATACGCATTAATTTCTATTTAGCATGTGCAGCGTTGTTAATTAATGCCGCTATCACATTTCATATCTATCAGCTGCATTCTCCATGCAATTCTCCTTTTTGTGTTGATAAAACCGTGTGATGCCCCTAGCAAACGATGAAAGGAATAGAATATCTTGGAGAAGCATTATCACTAATAAATGCTATGCAGGTTTACCTCGCAGCAAAGTTTCTGATAACAGACTTCATTGCAATATTCTTCATAGAGAGCTTTGTATCTTCATTGATAATCTTTTTACTGTCTGCTCCATTTGTCGTAAAGAAAACAACCTTCAAGGAGGTCTCCAATAATCAACTGGAGTACTTCTTCTCAGGGCTTATTACATTTTTGACATGTCATGTATGGTACAAATGTGCAGGGATGATATCTATCAGTTTTGGATTGGCTGCAAAGGGGCTGTGCTATCCATTATCTGTGATGCTGATGTTTGCCATATCATCTTCGATCACTGGTAGCATGATGAGGAATCTTAGCATGGTGGTTGTCATCTTTATCAACATCTTGCACTCTGTGGACACGAGCCTGGATGGATTTTTTGATATATACTCGGGTATTTTTTACCTGGTGCTATATGTGATATTTGCTGTTTCATCTGACTTCATAGCGAGATGCATGATTAACAGAAACGGAATAACAAAGTTTCTGGTTGCAAACTCGTTCTATATCATATTGTATTCTTCCTTGCTTCTTCTCGATCCAGATATAGACAATAGCTCGGGAGTGCAAATCTTTATGAAGAAGAATCCATACACATGCATTGCACTTACCGCAATGTCCACCATTTCGAAGATCTTGGGCCCATACTACATATTCAAGCAGGGGACTGTTGCATACAGCAACACAAGAGTATCTACATATGCATATTTCAATATTATAAAGTGCTTGGCTGATGTATGTGGATTCTGGAGGCTTGGTGAGGCAATTTTCCATTTGATGATTTACCTGATGGTGATGTTTGTTGAATGAGAAGGCATGAATTGTACTATTGGTTTGCCGGCTATGATTTATGTAAATGAAGACAAAATGTAATGCAAGTGTGCTTTTCAAAAAGGAGAGTGTGAACAATTGGATTTGAGATGGCATTTAAGGATTTGTTTATGCTCCCTTGAATGAGCATTGACTTAGAGGCAAGGCTCACTGAAACCGAAAGGGTGATTTTCGAGCTGATAAGAAGCCATGCCAGAAGGCTTGGCAATGTTGTTCCAAGGGTTGCTGGAGGATGGGTAAGAGATAAGCTGATGGGAAACTCATGCTTTGATATGGACATTGCATTGTCAAACATCAGTGGATATGGGTTTGCATCAGGGCTAAGTGAATCCGCAACAGGTCACAGGGTGACTACAGTGCATGTAATCAAGAACAATCATGAGAAGTCAAAGCATCTGGAGACGGCTGTTGTGAGAATAAATGATATATGTGTGGATTTTGTTGGCCTGAGGAGTGAGACGTATTCTGACGCAAGGGTTCCTTGTGTAGTGCCTGCAACGCCGGAAGAAGATTCGTTTAGAAGGGACCTAACAATCAACTCGCTGTTCTACAATTTATTTACGAATACAATTGAAGATCACACAGGACGAGGGATAGAGGATATACGCAACAAGGTGTTGGTTACACCATTAGATCCAAAAATCACGTTGTTTGATGATCCGCTGAGGATAGTTAGGATCCTCCGATTCCACTCAAAACTCAAGTTTGATATTGATGAGAGCATATATAATGCAATGGAGGATGAAGAGATCCGTAAGGCACTGGCAAGAAAGGTTTCGAATGAGCGAATTTACATTGAGATATCGAAGATGATCCACTATCCTATGGGGCAATATGGACTGCTGGAAATAATCAAGAGAGGATATGTAGGGCCGATATTCAAGCCTCCTGTTTGGAAAGAGCAGTCTTATGAGCAGGGAGTTAGGTTTATAGAAGCAGTTGAGGAAATCACCAATCTATGTGCTAGGCCATACAGGCGAGAGATCCTTTGCCTTTATACTATTTTGTGTTTTTTCAGTAGGCAAACGGTTGCGGGGTACAAGAAGAGTGCATACTGCAATACGTATATAATGAAGAATTCTCTTCCGTCATCAAAGGCCTTTGTTAAGACAATAGACAGTATTGAAAAGAGCCTTGCCTTTCTGGACACACAGGATCTGGAGAATCTTGGGATTGAAGGCCTCATAAGAGTGGTAAGATGTATGGGAGAAATGTGGTATGAGTCTCTTATCATTTACTGTGGAATAGAGCACATGCAAAGTGCAAAGGGGAAGTTCAAGAATGGGCTAGGCATAATATGCAGGATAATACAGGAGTCTATTGAAGAGTACTATAAGGCCACGTCAATAGTAGATGCAAGCAGCCTGATAAGAGAGCTTGGGATTGTAGAATGCGAAATGCGATTCTATATTGAGGAAGGAATTGTGTACCAGCTTGTAAGCCAGACTGATGATCCTAGAAAGGTTGTCGAGCATTTGAAACGAATCAAGGGCTTGCGATGAGTTTGTGATTTAGTATGGCAACACAGTCACAGATATAAGCCGAATGGCAGAGCTTACAAAGAATTGGCAATTACATGGTTGGCAGTGGATCAATCCGCAGGATAGAATACAAATATATATGAAACAAGCCAATCTCTTTGTTTAATTGATTAAATCACATGCAGCAAGTATTCTTTGGTTCACCCACAGTAAACTTTGAGGAGCCTTTGGCGGTAGTAAATCCAATTTTCTTGTACTTTTCAACGAGCTTTCTTGTCAGGAAATCGAAGCTGTCATTCACACAGATGTTGTCTTTTGCACTTGTCATATAGAATGCATTTTTATCGATTCCGTGAGTTTTCAAAAACTCATCGACTTCGTCTTCGGTAACAACAATTCTTTCCTTGTCATCAACCTTGTTTCCTAGAACAACTATTTCAACATTTTCATTTGTGTTTTTCTTGACTTCACGGATCCAGTCTCCAAGATTTTCAAATGACTCCTTGCTTCCCATGTCAAACACTATGATTATTCCGTTTGCCCCCCTGTAGTAGTTCGATATGATTGCCCGGAATCTCTCTTGCCCCGCAGTGTCCCATATCTGCAGCTTTACCTTCTCATGGTCAATCACCACTGTCTTTACCTTGAAATCGACACCGATCGTGCTTGATTGTGTAAAACTGTATGTCTCATCGGCGTATCTTTTCATTAGGCATGTCTTGCCCACCCCGCTGTTTCCGATCAGGATGATTTTGAAGAGATACTTGCATTCAAAGTCTTCTTCCATTCCCCCCTTTGTTGTCTGTAATTTTATCCGAAAAATGATCCAGAATTTGATTTAATAGACGCTGCGATGCTTGAGCGATATTTCAAAGCTTCAGAATTTGGAGAACGGTGCTTGGTTATGAAACAGAGTGTGTCAATTGCCGAATAAAACATAAAACACGGGCGATATTGCACTGATAAATGCAGTTGGCGTCGAATATAAGGCTTTACATTCTTGGAGAACCTCTGTTGAAGCCTTCTCAACACTCACCACAGGATCTTTTCGTTCTTGAGTTTCCATCGAATGCTACGTTTGATGCATACCTTGCAACGGTTGTCATACTGATGTGCATAGGAATATGGCTGGTAGTGTTCAAAAGGCCACGAGAAGACGGCACATCGCTTCTGTATGTGATTGGCTTTATGCTGATATTCTGCTCTTATTGCCTCCAAAAAGCCATAGAGCTGAATAAGCTTATTAATAAGGCTACGATTGATGCAGAAGTGCCTGAGCAGGAATGGTTTTGGAGAAAGTGGATATATCCGAGAAGTCAAAATCATGCGGTGATTGCCGATCGGAATGCACATGCTGAATCAGGTATACTTGAACACAACACGGGCGGAATATCCTCATACCTTACACTGATATTTAACAGCAAAGATACAAAGGCAAATAGAAGGAACACGGTAAGTGTAAATGCTCAACGGAAACACAATGATCAAGGAAAAGCTGAAAGTATGCATTCCGTTCAAAGATCGATTGTTGGCACAGATGTGATTGGATGCGCAGGCAAAAAATCCTCGCTAGAATGCACTAAAGAAACAGATAGCATTGGGGTGGAAAATCCATCGTTACATCAATACGCAACAGACATGATGCTGAGCACATCTAGTATGCACACTGATCCAAAACATTCAGGCAGTGGCAGTCGCTTAGTAACATCGTTGTATGACGAAAAGCTTGCATTTGCAAATAGCTTTGAGACTATGAGTGGAGCGGAAAGCAAGGTAGAAAAAAGAGAAGTGACTCTTAGAAACCTCATGAGGATTTTTGAATACAAATATAAAATAGATGAGGATCTCAAAAAGCACACATCGATCATTAGAAAGGCAGAGGCACAGACAAACAAAATACTCGAAGAATTTTCAGTCACATTTCAAGCATTTATGAAGGAAGCTGAAAAAATAGAAATGGAGATGATTGGGTTTAATGCATCAACAAGGTATTTGAGGATATCATTCAATGAGTTGAAGGCTGAGATCAAGAAATATTTCTATGGCGTTCCCGATGTAGTAGCATTGAATGGTGTTCTTCAATATCTATCGAGGCTGGAAGAGAATTACCATAAGGAATCTGAAGGAAAAGGCGATGTGGGCGCTGCCGTGGAGTATGAAGGATACTTCCTACTTTATATTGCTATACAAACTGGTTGCTGCTTGCTGTTCTTTATGGCTGTGCTGCTTAAGATTAGATCAGGTATAACAGTATTAAGGCCTGTAGTTTCAATTTTCTTGATATTAGGAATGCTAATAAGTATTTTATTTCTTCTTAGTGCACAGATGCTTGATAGAGATTGCAAGTCTGGGTCTGTCAATGGATGCAATTTCACACATACGTTTGTGAGGGAAGTCGAAGGAGTTGAGGCATCAAAGAAGGGAGAATTGAAAGAGCAGCTAGATGTGATGGCGATCAACAGTCGAATGCTGTCGAACGAACTACAAGCATATGTATTGAGAATAGCAGATGCAAATTTCAGTTCTAAAATGGCGGTTTTTTCGAATCTATTTAACAAGATCATGTTTGTGTATGATGATTTTGAGCACCTGACTGCGAAGAAAGTCAAGAAAGATGAGTTCTATGGGTATGTGAAAATGATGAATAGGCAGCTTGAGGTGATTGGAAAGTACCTGGATGTGTCTGTACAGAAAGATATGATCGGCATATATGCTGAGGAGAATGCATTTTCGTTCTGGCTGGATACGGATAAGGATTCCGTGGTTGAGCTGGTGCGGACGATTACTGGGTTGGATGCTGAGGACAGCGAAGGAATGCCATCAAGATGGTGTGTGGATGCATTGCAAGCGATATGTGATGCAAAGGATGTATTTGACAGTTTGTTTATGCTGATGCTTGCTGCAGGGCCTGCATTCTTGGCTCTTCTGTATACTTAAGAGTGTGCTTGGCTAAGAAAGCGTGAATATAAACATGGATATATAAACAGAGGAATAGATCCCCGAACGATGCGTTATGTAGTGAACAAGATCAGAGTTGAAGAGGCAGAGAAGGGACGTGTGAACAAGATATATGTGCCATTTGGGGCGGGGCTTGATGAAGAAGAGCTTGTGCTGGTGGACAACAAGTATGCGTTCAGGTTTGAGTTTACGTCGGGATCGAATGTTCTCTTGAGCAAGATTCAAAGGGAGTTTCTAAACAAAAATATTGGAAAAGACGAGGTGGACATTAAGAGCCTGAATGTTGTTGAGTGTGACCAGGTTTCGCTGTTGAAGCTTGATGTTGAAATAATAAATCTTGAGAAGATAGAGATTGATGCAAAGGAACTTATTGAGAAATTCAAGGATGCACATGCTATGTATCCATTCAACGCGGATCAGAAGTTTTATTTCTATGTTGGAGAGATTGGGCTGAAGATGACTGTGCGGGAGATTTTCACTGTGATGGACAGTAAGTATGGAATTCTGCTGCGGAACACAGAGGTGTTCCTGAGTTCTGTGTCTGAGAGGCTTGTGATTTCAAACAACTCGCGAGAGAACATGCTGCTTGATCCGAACTTCAATTTTGAGTCGCTTGGGATAGGAGGCTTGAAGCAGGAGTTTGGCAAAATGTTCCGAAGGGCCTTTGTGCAGAGGGCATTTGATTCGGAGGTGATCAAGAACTTTGGGATTCCGCATGTGAAGGGAATAATTTTGTACGGGCCTCCAGGAACGGGAAAGACATTGATAGCCAGGAAGCTTGGGTCGTTGCTGAATGCACGGCCACCAAAGATAGTGAATGGGCCTGAGATTTTGAACAAGTATGTTGGGCAAAGCGAAGAGAACATCCGGAATCTGTTCAAGGATGCAGAGGATGAATGGAGGGCAAAGAAGGAGGATAGCAATTTGCATATGATAATATTTGATGAGATTGATGCAATATGCAGAAGGAGGGGGAATAGTGGAAACACTGGAGTTGGAGATCAGGTAGTGAACCAGCTGTTGAGCAAGATGGATGGCGTAGAGGCGATAGAGAATATATTGGTGATTGGAATGACGAATCGGCTTGACTTGATTGATGAGGCGCTTTTGCGGCCGGGCAGGTTTGAGATACATTTGGAAATATCGCTTCCGGACGAGGAGTCACGAGCAGAGATATTCAGGATACACACGAAGACGATGGAAAGCCACAAGTACCTTGATGAAAGCATTGATATTGCGAAGATTGCAAAGCTTTCGAAGAACTACACGGGTGCGGAGATAACTGCAGTTGTGAAAAGTGCAGTTTCGTTTGCTCTTGAAAGAAAGGTGCATGGGGAGAAAGAAGAAGGAGGAGAGATGAATGTAATAGCAGACAAGAACATCAAGGTGTTTATGAATGACTTTATCCAAGCACTTGATGAGGTGAAGCCGGCATTTGGAATTAACGAGTCGAACTTCCAGAGGTATGAGAAGATGTTCTATGAGACGCCTATGTTTACGAAAGGGATAGAGTATGGAAGAGGGCTGCTGCAGAAGCTAAGCAAAACCAATTTGTACAACACGTCGTCGCTGTTGTTTCATGGTGGAGCAGGAGTTGGAAAGACCACACTGGCGGTGAAGGTATCGAGACTCTCGATGTATCCGTTTATCAAGATTATTTCGCCAAGGGATATAATTGGGCTGAGCGAGCATGAGAAGGTGAACTATGTGAAGGACAGGTTTATGGATGCATACAAGTCTGAGGAAGCGATAGTGATACTTGATGATATTGAGAGCCTGATTGATTTTGTGAATATAGGGCCAAGGTTCAGTAATGCGGTTTTGCAAGCATTGAAGATATTTATCAAGGAGGAGAGCAAGAAGAAGGTTTTTGTGATTGGGACGACAGGCTCTGTTGAGGTGATGAAGGAGTGTGGGATATATGAGTGTTTCCAGACATCGTATGAGGTTGAAAGGATAGGGCTTGCGGATTACGAGATTCTGTGCCAGCAGAACCCGAGTTTTGCAGAGATTTGCTATGATGAGATGGGGCACGAGGGTGCGTTGTCCATTAAGCAGCTACTTTTGCTACTTAATGAGCCCGATATATCGCCGGAATGATTTTATTGAATGAAGATTTGCGTAGAATGCGGTGTTTGATTTATTTATGTGATGGTTTATGTTGAATGCTCAATGATGGATGCTGGTGTATTTAATGTTAATGTGCCTGCATGTGAGTTAGGGTTTTGAGTTGAATATCCCTTGATGGACATATTGAAGGAGTTTATTGAACTGAATGTATGCACCACTGGTGATTTTAAAGGAGCAGCTGATGGAGTGAAGAAAGCAATAGCTGGCATGGATTTGCTGGTAAAAGTGGAAGTGGCTGGCGAAGTAGAGGCGAGCTATTTGAAGTATGTGCAAAATTTGTGTGTTACGAATCCGGTCGTGTTTGATGTTTCACCCGAACTAAACGGACTAGAAAGAGCATGCATGATGATATCATTTGACGATTACGAGCATATTGACCTTTCGATGTATTGCTTGAGGCATGAGATTGTTGGATGTGTACCAAGCAACAATGGAGTTGGTGATGATGATCCGGTTTTGATCGTTAGATGCAAAGGGAGTTTGCGAGAAAAGATGCATGTGTATTGTGCACGCGAGTATGTGTTTTATAACGAGATGGCGGAGTCTTTGAGTGTTAAGGAGCAATGCGTTCTTCTTGTAGAGATGATAAGGATTGCGAATTTGGAGAAATGCGAGGATCTTAGAAGATTGAAAGTGCAAGCATACATTGATAGAATTATGTTTCCAGCGAATGAAAATAGTGCTATGATCAATAGAATAGTTGATTATTACAGAATTAAGATAATGGGAGAGGTTCTAGAGCCTGAGTTTGCAATGAATGGCTTGGAAGCTGATCTTGAGCATGTGTTTGAGTTTCCACATGTGTTTCGGTGTGATGTTGAACTGCAGATGGGAGAGATGTACTTCAACGACCTTTCATATGCAAAGGCTCTTGGGTATTTTGAAAAGTACCATGACATTATAAAGACGATTAAATGTCTGGCTGCCTTGAATAGAAATGAAGAGGCAATTGGCAAAGCCAGGATGGAGTTGAGGAATTTAAAAGGCAATGCATATAGTAATAGGATCAAGGCATGCAATTTAATGATTATTCTTGGAGAAATGACAGGAAATGAGAACTACTTTGACGAGGCATTTGAAGTGTATCGTTCATATGAACCATTGAAAGCCAAAGGGATGTTTTTTTTCCGCAGCAAGCAGTTTGAAAAGGCAATATGTGCGTTTGAGCAGACGCTTAAGTTGGTTCCGCACAATGTAGAAGTGCAGTTTGTGTATGCATGCAGTTTGACCTCTGCTCTGCGATTTGAGGAAGCAACGGATGTCTATGAGAAGCTGGTTGCTGATGATCAGAAGAATGTAATGTTTTTAAGGAACTTAGCGATGTGCAGAATACAGCTTGATGATATGAACAAGGGGCTTAGTGCACTAAAAGAAGCAGCTAGATATGATGGAGGGATGATGCAAGCGTATTTGCTGATGTGCATCAAGTACAAGATTGAAGCAGAGATAAGATATTCGTTAGAGAGGGTGAGCTGGTTTGATGAGCTGGAGGCTGGCTTGATGTATGTTGTGCAGGAGAAGATACTGAGTATAGACGAAGTGTTATTTGCGTTAAAGCGGAATGCAAGGATCAGAGAAGAGGCAGACGAATTGATCAAGAAAGTCGAGTTGATGAGTGCAGGCTAGGATGTGTTTATAAGATATTGTGTGGCTATGTGCATTAGCAGATCAGTAATTGGATATGATTCCAGAATGATATTGTGAATATAGTATGTATGGAGTAGGCAACGAGTACTTGAGTATGGAAGGTAGTATTTACGATTGAATTTGCTAGATTTATTTGATTGACGGATTGATTATCTCCTAAGATAAAGATCATTTGATGTAGGATGTATTGATATTGGCAGAGGAGTAGCAAGATCCACTGTATGGAAAGCAAGACATGGAGCGGCTTTCAGATCGTCTTTCTGCTTTGCACGCCTGTTTTGGAACCAATTTCGAACTTTTTGTTCTGATATCATTGATTTGTCGGCAATTAATGCTCTCTGCTGAGCATTTGGATTTGGATTGATGTCGAACTGATTGTTGAGAAAGATCCTCTGTGCTCGTGACAGTTTGATCTTTGTGTATGTCTTTAGCTTGGCATTGAAAGAGATATGCATATAAAACGGTTGATGCGGAGAGGATTTATTCTTAATCAATGCAAGCATCTATGTCAAATATATCGATATCTACAGATTATTTCAATTTTATTGATAGCGATACAATAAGATATAGATTAATTAACGAAATAGCAGATATGGGCTGATATAAAGTTTATTCAAAAAAAAATATTGTAGAGGGAAGTTTTTAGCCATGCTTAATGTTTAATGCTAAATGCTTAAATGTCGAGTGGATTGGGTGGATTGGATGAATGGAGACCGAACTGCAATATGAATGTGTCCTTCAGTGCATCTATGATGTTTCTTGTAATGACAGTCTTCCAATGCTTCTGGTATGCAATATGTGCAGCCTTGCGAACAAGTGTGCATCCAAGATAAATCGACGCCATTGCATCTATGTGGCTGATTGGAGATGAGCATTTGGATATTAATGATGCTATAACGCCTGCGAGTATGTCTCCTTGCCCTCCTATTCGCTTTGGCGAGCCTTTTTCGTTAATTTCTATCTGGACATCATTCCATTTGATAAGGTCTGTTGAGCCCTTCATGACATAGAATGTGTCATTGTCAGATATGCGAATATGGCGTTGCTCGGAAGCGTTTGGAGTGAATATTTTTGTTGTAAGTGCTTGTATGCCAAGAGATGCGCTGAGAAATATGGCATCTGCATCAACTACAATGGGAACATTTCGTTTGTCAAGATACGCAAGTATTTTTGCTATCTCACTGCACACATGCGATTCTGGCCGGCCCAAGCCTGATCCCACCACGCATGCAGTGATTCTGTTTAGGATCCACTCATGGCATTTTATCCGGCATACTATTGCTTCAGGAAGCAGAGTCTTCAAGGATGTGATTGCGCCAGGCATGGTGAATATGTATACTAATTCCGAGCCTGTTAGCAATGCACTCATGGCAACAAAGTACGGAGCACCAGTGTAATAGTCGCATCCTCCAATGACAAGAATACATCCTGAACAGCCCTTGTATGTGCTTTTGAAAAGCGAGATCCTCGACCTCAAGGTGATTATGGCGTGTTGTAATCGAGTGTCCATTGTTATGATGGTGATTTGTTATTTGGTATAAGCAGATTTTCTTGTGGCATGCGGATGAAAGGGGAATGCTGAAACACATCGCCTGTTTAGTAACACCCTGGAATGAAAGTTCAGAGAAGCAAAATAGATCCCAAGAATAACTCAGGAAGTATGGAAATTGTTGCAGAGCATCAGGATGATATTTATGTCCTTGGAATGGTTATAAGCATGGGAGACATGGTAACATCAAGCACTACGCGGAAAATACAGATTGATGCAAAAACACAGCAGAGAATATCGCTTACATTGAAGATCAAGATAGAGACGGTTAGTGTTGATCTTGGCAGCTCTACAATATATTTGAAAGGGAAAACAGTCATAATGCATGAGCACGTGAAGTTAGGATCGTACCATACGCTAGACATAACGCCTGGCCATGCTTTTGAATTGGAGAAGCAAGAATGGCCGTGCCAGTCAATCAAGCTGCTTAAAGAGGCAACTAAGCCACAGCCGGAAATGATTTTTATAATATTCTATGAGAAGGAGTGTGTTGTGTCTGTTGTCTCAAGAACTAGAATCAGTATTTTGATGAAGCAAGAAATAAAAAACAAGAAGTTCTGCAATATTATCAAGACACTAGAGAAGCATGCAGGCGTGATAGATCTTTTTGTGGTTGCAAGTGCATTTGAGGTGCGAAATGAGTTCTACAAGGCAGTTTCATGTTCAAAGGAGCTTTCGAAAGCACTAAAAAGCTTTTGCGTAGTGAAAGTACCAGCAGAATGCAAAGGATGTTCGAATTCGAAGATCATTAACACGATTCTTACAAACAAGGAGCTTTCGAAAATGTTCCAGGGAATCCAGTATGTGGAGGATTTGAAGCAAGCAGAGAATTTCTTTGTTGCATTTGCAAAAGGCTCTGAGCTGGTTTGCATTGGGATGGACGACATCCGAGAGGCGATGGACTATGGCGCACTGGAAAGGGTGGTGATAATTGATGAGAAGGTTAAGCCGAACAATGTTGAAGAGAGAATGAAGGCAGAGATATTCTGTAGGGAGTTGGGAGCAATTAACTGTAAAATATCGATTATTCCAGCAGCACACTTTTGCGGAGAGAAGCTGAAAGAGATGGGAGGAGTGTGTGGAATGCTGAAGTTTAGTTATAAATGATTTTTTAAAGTTGATCTGCTGGTTTGTTGTTGCCTTGAAGAAGATAAGCATTCTTCATATTGAAATAATTTTAGCCCTGAATGAGTAACAAAAGGGCGGTGTATTTTTACGATCCTGAGATAGGGAATTTCAACTATGCGATGGGGCATCCGATGAAGCCTCTGCGTGTGAAGATGACCCACTCGCTGCTTGTTGGATATGAACTGTATAAGCACATGGATATTTTGAGGCCTTTCCATGCGTCATATGAAAACCTGACGAGCTTCCATTCGATAGATTACATAAATTTCCTTTCGAGTGTTTCTGGGGAGAACATGGGAGAGATGCTGAAGGACCTACATAAGTTTAACATACGGGACGACTGCCCTGTGTTTCCAGGGCTATACGACTATTGTAAGCTGACTGCAGGGGGAAGTATATATGCTGCCCAGAAGATCAATTCAGGAAGATATGACATTGCAATAAACTGGGCAGGTGGACTACATCATGCAAAAAGAAGCGAGGCATCTGGGTTTTGCTATGTAAATGACATAGTGCTTGCGATTCTTGAACTTTTGAAGTACAACAAAAGGATATTGTACATAGACATAGACATTCACCATGGAGACGGCGTTGAGGAGGCGTTCTATACGACGGACAGGGTGATGACTGTTTCGTTTCACAAGTATGGAGATTATTTTCCTGGAACAGGCATGGTATCGGATGTTGGGATAGCAAGGGGAAGGGGATATTCTGTGAACGTGCCGTTAAAGGATGGGATTGATGACGAAACGTATTTTAGTGTTTTCAAGCCAGTCATCAGCAAAGTGATTGAGGTATACCAACCAAATGCAATTGTGCTGCAATCAGGAGCAGATTCATTGTCAGGAGATAAGCTTGGCTGCTTTAATTTATCGCACATTGGGCACTCAAGATGTATAAAGTTTGTACAGAGCTTCAACATTCCGCTTATCCTGCTTGGAGGAGGGGGATACACTATTGGAAATGTTTCGAAGGCATGGGCATATGATACAAGCATGCTGTTGGATGTTGAGATCCCGCAAGAGATTCCATACAACGAGTACTTCTATTACTATGCACCCACATATAAAATTGATGTTCCTACCTCGAACATGGTGAATCAAAACACAAGAGAGGGCCTGGAAAGTATTGTGAAAAAGGTATATGAAAGCCTTAGAAGTATTAATCATGCGCCTTCTGTGCAAATGGCAAGTATTCCACCAGAGTTTATTAGTGATGCAGCTGATGAGGATGCGCTCAACAAAAACAGTTATGAAAATGATACGCTGGATTACACTAATTTTTCTAGTGTAAGAAATGATGATACGGATTGATTAGGTTATTCAAATAAATTGTTCATTTATTTTTTATTTTATGTATGGCACGGTAGATGCGATGAATGCATCACATACTCATGCACATTATTAGCAAGAGGCATGGCTGATATACACTTTACCAACTACAGATGAATTCTGGTATTTCTCAATTGTTGTTTTATTCAATATTTGCTTCAAGAGACATTCTTGCCATTTTGACGGCATTTTCAAGCGTTTGATTGATTCCCAAGAACCCAGATACATGAACAAACACTGAGCCTTCTATCCCAGAAACCTCTACCAGCTCTTCATCCTTAAGTCCACGCCACTCCTTCTTCAACGGATTCTTAGTCTCAAACGTTCCTTTGAACTTTGGAATGGCAATTATCTTGTAAACATCAGCAGAAGGAAAAATAATAAGCTTGATGTCCTTATTGTATTTCTTCTCAACTTCAAGAATCAAATCTGGATTGCAATACTTGTCCAGAACCAGAAGCTCATCGTTGGCTTCTGAAATCATCTTCTCCGCATATACATAATTGTTTGCCCACCTGCTGACTCTATCCATGTAGTTGTCCAGATCCCTTCCAACTATTTTAAGTACTTCCTTGAAGCGTATTTTTTCCATATCACCTGAGCTTTCATCCGCATTAAACGAAACCACAAAGTCAGCCATGCTTCTAATGCTTATGTCTCCGCTTATGTCGCATCCATTGTCAATCGCATCTGCATACAAGAAAAACTCAGAATACACCTTGTCTACAATAGTCTGGTATATCTTGATATCTGGCTTTATTCCATAAAGCGACAAAAAGTCCTTATGCATGTACTTAAATACGAGCCCGCAGCTGCTTAACTTAATGCTGTATTTTTCAGAAAATGTTTCTGTAAAGCTTGGCTGGTGGTGGTCAAATCGTTTTCGTTCAGGATCAAAAATCCCTCCAACGTCATAAACAATGTCTCCTTGCTCAAACACAGCCTTGTCTCGTGTTCTTTCAACTTCTGCGTTCGGATACATCCTCAATAGCATCGCTGTTGACAAAACTTCATCATAATGAAATCGTCCGTTGTGAGTCACCAACTTCATCGTGGAGGATAACAAATACACATTATTTAATCATACTTCAGAAAACCCACTCGTTTTCAAGCTCGCTGTCATACAACAGCAACATCAGCTTCACACTCAAACTCTATCTGCTCATCATCAGTATGTACTGTTACTCCCATGTCATCGGCATTGTATCTTCCTCTTCTTAAAAGCATACACCTGATCTCAAAAAACGAAAACGACATTTCTCCCACACAATGAGACCGATCTTCGTTGCATACAATTACATGCTTCGGTAATATACTTACCATCAGTTTGGAGTTTTGGTAGTAATTGCTCACACATAAATATATTATAGCAGGTTCATTCAGTCCTATCGGTGCTGAATGGGTTATGTAAACAAATGGAGCCTGTGCATTTCCTAAGCACGTGTTTCGTATGTCCAAAGCACCAAGTGCCAACTCTGTAAGCACACATCCAGGTACAAATACACACCTTCTTTCCGATGAAACACTTATTTCTATCTTTATTGGCAATTCATATGGAGTTATGCTATCCAGAGAAATGGATGGATGCTCTCCAATGTACTTAGAAACCATCATAAATCTTGCGTTCCTTACCAAGACTCTATCAATCTGCAATGAACCACACATTTGACTATTTTCTTGAGCTTCTTCATTCAAATTCAAAATGCTTCCATTCATGCTATTGCACTGTTTAACAAAAGCAAATATTGAGTTTGTTTTTGCATCCAGAGAAATCTCTTCACTGGCTGCAGACACCATATCTTGAAAAAACAGATCAGAAATAACAGGTGGAGACTTGCTCATAGATCCAAGTATATCTTGCACACTTCCACTAGGTTTTGTGCTAATGCTCTTGAGCTCATTGGCCTCGGTATAATTGCCATTAACTCCTAAAATATTTTTCTTGAAATACTTGATTGCTTCTTCTCTTGAAAAGCTTAATGTGCCTACACTCATTCCAAACACCTCAAAACGGTTGTTCATGCTGGACACCTTAGCCAACCTTGCATCCTCTCGTGTGTGATTCAAAACACGAATAAACAACAATGGAAAACAGTATTTGTAGTGCAGAAAACTGATAGAAAATGACGGAATAACGTTAAATCTGATGCTACGCCATGCTCTGATGCCATCAGACTCAATAGCAACCTCTTCGTCAAAATACCCAACACAAGGAAACATCATATCAAAGATAAACTCATTCGAGCTTGTTATAAACTCCATGCCACAGAAACTAATCACAATCTCCGAATCATAGTTCCTGATGACTCTACACGTAACCTGGCGGACCTCTCCACAATACATCTCATATATACTTTCCATGCATACATGCATAAATTTCACTTCTTCATCAACATCAATCAATTCCTCTATTTGGACTATTCTATCAACTCCATTCGTTTTTAAAATCATATCCTTAATAATATATTTTCCTAACTTTCCTAATGCTATCTCCCCATTTCCTTCGCATATGCTTTCAACACCATTGCCATTCAAGATTCTAGCTATGCATCTAATCTTGCTCTCTATAAGCAAAGACTCTTTTGTATTCAGTTTTCCTTCGAATTTGCTTATGGATCCTTCATATGCCCTGAAAAGCTTCACTACATTTCTAATCCTATTGATAGATGTCTTGTATAAATAATCTCGAGAATTTGTATATTGCAAGTATTCATCCAAAGCACCTTTATGCAAAAGTGCTTTGCTTTTTATTCCTGCAATACTTCGAATGTACGATTGAGCAAAAACAAGTATGTCTTTGGTGATGGCTCCACAATCCTCTTTGCAAAGCATCATATCTGTCATTCCAAGAAAAACACTTGCACATGAAATAGCCCTTTCTGCTAAGCCTGCTTTAAGAAACAGCACTGCGCAATCATATGCTATAGCAGCTCTTTTCCTGGCATATCCATTACCATCCAAAACCTTATTAAGACATTCCTGTGCAAACGCCTTAAATAGCGACCCACAGGTAAGACTCGGCACAATCCTGATTGCCAATCTCCCACTCTGAACATCAATCACAGCACACACCAACCTTATCAAATACACATCCAGTTTCTCACCAGCACAATGAAATCGCTCAAGTATCTCCTTTGGTACAGGCTTATTCGACAATACCAAACAGTAGATAGACATTTGTGTACAATAATACCCAAACTCTCCTTTTCCGTACCTGGAATAAACTTTATATGCTTCTTTATATCTCTGTGCTAAAAAAAGCCCATCTCCAACTCGTTTATCCCTAGCAGGATCGTTCCTAAAGATGTTAGAAAACGTACCAAGACTCCATCCCTTTTCACTTACATCAAGTCTTTTTTCAATTTCAAATTCAATTACTCTCTGAAATACAATTTCCAGATCATCTGCACTTGATATCTCATTTATGCATATACAATATCTATTCTTTACAGCACTGGTAGGCATTTTATCACATACCATCACGTTCACACTCTCCATAAACTCAATCTCTTGATCAAACAGGCATTTTCCAATCCAATACCTCAAATCACACATGGAAAATGATACGTCTTTTAGTGCTTCAAAAATCAAGCTGTCCATGCTTACATCCCGTTGCTTCACTCTAAAGAATGTCCTCTTCTCAATCAAATCAATCACATTTGATTGTACGTCTTCCCCAATGCATCCATCAAACACAATCTCTAATGGAATCCCCAAAACTTTCATTACATCTATTCTATTCATCTCAGGGTCTAAACTATACATCGCGTAAAACAACCATTATCAACATTAACACAAGAATCGCCATCCTTTCATACAAACAATCAAATTAACAAAGACTCATGAAACTTAACATTGTAGATTTATTAACTCAGTTGTATGTAAGATACCTTGGCGTCGATGAAAACTTCGCATACCCCTTAACAACCTTATCAACAGCCTTCAAAAAATCGTCCTCCGTTGCAATCTTTCGTCGCTCTCGTATTGCAAACATTCCTGCTTCTGTGCATACACTTCTTAGCTCGGCACCTGTTGCATTGCTACATAGTCTTGCAATCAAATCAAACCGAATGCTTTTATCTACACTCATTGTCTTTGCATGTATTCTCAAGATCGATGTCCTTCCGTCAAGATCAGGCAATCCAAACTCAACTTTCCTATCAAGTCTTCCTGGACGAAGAAGTGCGGGATCAAGAGTGTCTGGCCTATTGGTAGCCATCAGAACCTTTATATTACCTCGCGGATCAAATCCGTCCAGCTGATTTATTAGCTCCAACATTGTCCTCTGCACCTCGTTGTCATCGTCATCATCAAACCTGGTTCCTCCAAATGCATCAACCTCGTCAAAAAAAATTATACATGCTTTCTTCCCCTTCGCCATACTAAAAATTTCTCTAACCATCCTAGCTCCCTCCCCTACATACTTCTGCACAAGCTCTGACCCAATTACCCGGATAAAGCATGCATTTGTCCTGTTAGCAACTGCTCTTGCCAGCAATGTCTTTCCTGTTCCTGGAGGGCCATAGAGCAGAACGCCCTTTGGAGGATCAATTCCTAACGCAACAAACTTCTCCGGATTCAGCAGAGGCGCTTCAACAACTTCCCTTATCTTCTCTATTTCTTCAATGCATCCTCCTATATCGTTATACGTCACATCTGGTCTTTCCTCAACCTGCATCAATGTTACAGATGCATCTATTTTTCTTGGAAGCGGCAATACAATCTGGTACTTGTTTCTGTCCACTCCAACCCTCATTCCTTCTTGTATTAGGCTTGCATCAAGTCTCTTTGACTTTCCTACAATAAATTTTGCTATCATCTTAATTCCTATCATATACCTTGCTTCATGATATCCGTCAAGAATCTTGCAAACTCGCGCAACCTGTAGATTAGGCTCACTTTGAATCCTATTTCTATCGCCAAGAAGATCCCAGCACATTGGAGGTGCTAGTCCAGTCTCCACTTCCTTTGTTCCAAGCTTCAAGCCTATCTGCTCGAAAAGTCTTTTTATCTCCTCTTCTTTCTCAATTATTCCATCTGTATAGTAGTTTCTCCCGTAGCTGAGAATAAATCCTACATCCTTCTCATCAATTATGTTCTCTTGCTTCTGATTACTCATCAAAGGGTTTACCTAACAAACAATTTGAGCCAAATATCAAATATGCAATAGACTACAGCAACAACAAACATTTCAAGCACAGCCATACACTGTGCCATAAAATCACCGGCTTCAGTGCAGTCACACCATGATGTATGTGCGCAAGCAGCAAAACAGATACCCCCACTCGGGATCGAACCAAGGACCTCGTCCTAGTAAGGGACGCGTGATAACCACTACACTACAGGGGCCTCATCATAACTCTCATCCCAAATGCACACCATTACAATCACATACCCACACACCCATAAAAACTCTTACAATCATAACAGCTCTTTCATACTCAACCCAATTTATTCATATCTCAAATGTTTCATTCGATGTAATAGACAACCTTATTCCCAAGAATCTTATACTTCGCTTTCACATACTCTCTTTCCCTATCAAAAACAACTATTCTTCCATCTATTTCTGTTGAAATCCCACTACTTAATGGCTCAACTCTCACAATAATATCATACTTGTACCAGTCGTTCATTTTGCATGTATTCGACCTGTACACGTCAATCCATCCACTTGCATCGCATCCATGTACATTCAATGCACACCAAACATCATCTAAAATACCAGAATTCACATAGCTACACTCATATACAGACTTCACTTCCACCTCCCATCCATGCCGCAGTGCAATCTTTTTGTAATGATCAGAGCTTTCGTTAAATGCAAATATACATGCCTTCAAAGCATCAGACATCTCAACAACAAGAAAATCTACATTCTGAGGTAAAACCTCATCAATGCATATCTTTCTATTATCAAACAACTTCATATCCAATACTTCACTCAAAGGTCGTCCTATCATTCTAGCTAGCCCTAGTAAGCAAATCTTTTATTCAAATACAATATCCTCTTAAAAACTCATGCTTGTTCTAATCGTTCTTATTCATTTGATTCTTAAGATCTGTGATTCCTCCGTAAATCGAATATGCCTCAACACCTTCGTCTCTCAGAATCTTAGCCCCTTTCTTAGATGTAATTCCCCTCTTGCAGACCACACACACCTTCTTTCCAATACTAGGCCCTAATGCCCGTATCATCTCGATCTTGCTTTTCAACTCATCCAGTGGAACATTTACAGACCCTTTGGCTCTTAGCATTCGATATTGGATTACAGGCCTTACATCTAATACAAGCCATGAATCAAGATCGCTTATTATCTCATGCCAGCTCTTGCAGGAAAGCTCCTCTCCAGCATCATCGCATCGTTGTGTATGCAAATCCTTGCATAGATTATTTCCATTTACATCTTCTTTTGTGCACATATTACAGATACTCTTGGATTTTCTGAGTTTGGCTGCTATAGTCTCAAAAGTCATTCCATTAAACGCAATCATTCTAGATTCATCATCTCCTAGTATCAGCTTAATAACCTCTAATGCTTGCATAGATCCAACTATTCCACACAATGGGCCAACCACCCCTGCATTCTCACAGGTCAACACTTCTGCTTTCATGCTAGGAAACAAGCATCGATAGCAAGGCCCACTCGGCATGAGCTTGTATATCTGTCCCTCCCATTGCAAAACAGATCCGCAGACAAGCCCTTTCTTCAGCATCCTACAGAAGTCATTCAGTAAATACCTGGTTTCTATCCTGTCTGTACAATCGACAACCACGTCGTACTCATTAATAATCCGCTCTGCATTTGTCACATCTAGAACCTCATTGTATACAGAAGCACTTATCGACGAATTAGATCGCCTCAAAAACTCAGAAGCCACCATCACCTTGTATTCAGATACATCGTCCTCTGTGTAAAGCACTTGCCTTGGTAAATTATGAATCTCTATCTTGTCAAAATCAACAAGTCCAATCCTCCTCAGCCCACATGAAGACAGATACATAATCACTGGGATGCCCAGCCCTCCACATCCAACCACCAGCACACTGGAGTCGCCAAGCCTACGCTGTCCTTCTATACCGACTCCTTCCACAATTGCCTGCCGAGAATATCGTTCAGCATCACTCATAGACAGATCAGACTCCAAAAACATCAAAGGGGAGCCCAAATACTTGCAAAATACATCACAAGAATCCCTTGATGAGTAATAAGCATCTGCAAAGTAAATTCGAACCAGCCACAAATGCAGACGGCAAACACAAAAGATACAAGAAGAAAAATCAAGACATATTGTGTATAAACCGACCAGATGATATTGACGGTTCTCTTCTTGATAAGTTCAAGAACAGGCAAGTAATAAGCGAAATGCAATGCCATATACGAAATGCAATCTTCCGAAACGAATTGTTTAGCCTTCATGAAAGACAGGACTTTGAAAATGGAAGTTTGATCGTGAATAACATCAAGATGTGCATAACAACCTCGTCATTTCCATCAAGAGACAGCGAGTATATCTTCGTGGGAGTTAAAGAAGGGTTTGATGGGCAATCGTCATTTGCCTTTGCATCTGGAGAGTCTGAAATCTATGTCTTTGATAGGAAAATGTGCTTGAAGCATGTGCTAAGGTTTTCATATGGGTATTGCAGAAAGATAAAAGCCATACTGGTGGATAAAAGTATAAGCTGTGTTGCATTGTTCAGTGATGGCATCATTAGAAGATTTGAATTTAATGGCGAAGTCATAAACATGCGCGAGGCAAATGCAAAGGAAATAGTGGATATTGAAGTTAGTAAAAATCAAAGCATCATATTTGCAACAGATGGTAGCAGTGTAATTTGGATATCTGGAGTGTCTGTTGTGTCTAGATTCAGCATAGTAAAGGGATTGATCACATCGATTGCAATCAAAGAACTTGAAAATGAAAATGGAAGTGCACCTGAGCACAAGAGAGGCATAAACGGAAACAATGTAAATGAAGGACTATTTGAGTTCTATGCATTGTCGTTGTGTGGAAAGGTTGTTGCGTTTGACTTTAGTTTTCAGGAAATAAAAAGCGCTTCATTTCCTTCTGGATACACGCTTATCAAGTCTTTGGAGTTGAGCAGCAACTTGCTTATTGTGGACACTCTTAACAGCTCAACAAAGACGATATGTCCCAATAGCGACATGCACAAGACAAGTGCAATGTTCAACTATTCGATCTCATGCCTGGACAGTTATGGAAAAAGCACAATAACCGGTGGGTTTGATGGTGTAGTACGATGTGCAAAGCTTAATAAGAGGAATGCAAATGCAAAGCCTATCTTCCAGCTTGTACGACGGAGCAGTGATGTTTTACTGGGGCATCTGCATAAAGAATTTAAGGTATTTGATCCACAAGGCAGGCTTCGTAATGACTTTTGGGAAAAGGTTGTTGGAGTTCATGTTGGAAAGGATTTTTTGTATGTTCTGTATAGTTGTGGGATTATTATTAGTATGAGGCTATTATGAAGCATGAGCAATGCAAGATTATGATATAAGATGTAATAATATGCGTAGAACAGAAGGGCCAAGGCGCACATAAATGGCAGTGTGATTAAGAGCCCCCAAATGTACAAGATTGCAGTTGATGGCCCTGCAGCAAGCGGAAAAAGCAGCACATCTAGTGTGGTTGCAAGCAAGCTTGGATTTTCCCATCTCATATCTGGGAACCTCTACAGAGCAATTACGCATGGCCTTTTGAAGACATTTGGATGTATTTGTCTTGAAGATAACAAACAGAGGGACTATATTCAGAATGTAAGCATTGAGATCAAAAACAAGAGAGTGCTTTTGAACCAAGAGGATGTTTCTGACAGGCTTAGGGAAGAGCAAATTGACACAAATGTGAATACGGTTGCAAAAGAGGAGTGTGTTAGAAATAAGGTCATTGTGATTCAGCGATCAATCATAGATGCCGAGAAGGACGGAATAGTGATTGATGGACGAGACACCGCCAGCAAGATTATGCCGGATGCAGACCTGAAGGTGTATCTTACTGCTAGTCTAGAAACGAGGGCAACGAGAAGACTTAGGGAATCATCTGGAGAGTCATACGAAGAACTACTGGAAGCATTAAAAAAAAGAGATCATGAGGACAAAACTAGGAAGCATAGCCCGCTCATAATAGTAAAAGACTCTGTAGTAATAGAAAACGACAACATGACATTAGAAGAGACGGCAGATGAGATAATAAGGCATTTTAGAAAAGCCAGATCATTTAATTAAACACCCCTTTTGCCTTCAAACATCTTAAGCATTCTCTTGTGCAGGAAGAGCAGTACACTTGCGAAAAATACAGTTTCAAATACCAACAGCAGTGTGATGCGTCTTCTTGACTTAATCACCATCGTTCCATGCTCTTCATGCTTTTTGATATGAGCTCGTTGTGTTTGGATAATCGCCTCCAACACATTCTGCAGCTCAGAAACCAATTCATTGTTTATTGGCCCAGAGCTATCTTGCTTCTGATTGGTATGCTCGATGCGCCTGTATACAAATGGCATCTCTTTCGAACTGTTGTTTTTGACAGACACAGTGACTTCACCCGCATGCTTCATCCTGAAGTGGTATACAGAGTATGGATCCTTACTTGTCACCATCTGTTTTCCCATCGGATCAAGCATGGTTATCAACGACTTCTGTGAGCCTTTTTCGCCTCGTGATGTCTGGAAGCTTAGGCTATATGGCACGCCAGACGCAACCTTATCCCTAAATGTAAAGTTTCCCCTAGGCTCTAGCTTTATTCTCCTACACATAATCCCAATCACAAATAATATGATTTTCATCAAAGGGTAAGCGATTTTTTGTTTATGTTCAGCAAGAGCACACTTGAGACAGCATTGCATACATTAAAATATTTATGCTATAAGTTAAGTAATGCATCCTCAAATGTATAAATTTATAATATGCAAAGTCAAAAGCGAAAAGTGAAATCCACGTCAGGCTCTACGTGTATTGAAATGCTTAAGTATCATTTTATTATGCATGCATATAAATGCAGCAGGTATTTAGTATGCATCGTGTAGCAAGCCCTTGTTTAGCGCTAATGCCTTGGAAAAGATGTTTGTACATGAAGCAGAACTATCCGCCAAATTACATGGAAATAAGCCATCAACGCAAGCGGAGGTGCTCATCAGAGACATATGAAGACATAAATCGAATGATGATTAGGGTTTCAATTGTTGTATTGGGATTTTCATTATTCAGGTTTATGGCACTCGATGAAACTGCAGATATGCCAAAAGCATCATGGTTCTCATTCATATCGGCATTCACAGGCAGTTTTCTCGAAAACAGAAGGAAGACAGGAATAAATCTGAAGCCAAGCTTTATGATGCTAATGCTTGTGTACCTGATGTCTCCACTCATCCACAGCCTGGCTGTTGAGATTAATCCAGTGGTGCTTTACTTTTACTTTGCAATAACACAGATATTGTTCATTGTGGATTCTGTGTCTTCTTCAATATACAATTCTTCGTCGTCTATTGAAATAAAAGATGAGCAAACGCCTCTGTTGCTGGAAGAAAGCATCAACATCCCCAAAAAAATATCAAGTAATCAGGCTCTTGGGCTGACATCGTACTTTCTGGGGTTTATTCTTCTTTCATCAAGACTCAAAAGCCCGTCTTCTGTATTTAACTTCTTGTGTTTAACATTCATAGGTTATGTAATATTCCCGAATTATATTGAAAGGGCAAGTATACACAAAAGCTCAAATATGATCGTATTGATATACATCGCTGTGTCCATGATATCCGTGTTACCATCCGTCCCATTGTTCTGCCTGTATAGTTGCATAATAACCTTTATGTATACTATTTCTCATGTATCAATATGGTTTTTTGAAAAGGAACTCAATACAAAAATAAGGTTTACCGTTTTAAACACTCTATGTAAGTAAATTTTTTAAAATACAGACATCTATATTGTTATTATAAGGCATATAATATTAAACCAGCAACGGCATAATTCCTTATCCAACAATGCTCATAAGCCATGCATCAGATACCATTCTCTTTCAGTTTTCTTACAAACTCACATCCATTGCATATGTTCTTTTCAGATGAAGTAGGATGTAAACAGATACTACATGGCGTTGGATCGGATTTTATCAATCTCTCTGACTGTAGCATATCTCCGCTTCGGATAATATTATGGATTGTTTTTGAATCAATCTTTTCCAGCTCCTTCACCAGCTCCCTCAAGTCTCCCCGGGATGCTTCTGGAGAGTACACACACTCAGACGAAAAGTACCTGAGCTGTTTGTGAAATGCATAAAGCACAATCTCCTTCTGATAAGAGTTCTTGAAAGGTTTTATTCTCGGAAGAGACATAACACCTCCTTTACCATCATCCTGTGCATTTGTCTTTTCAAGAGTGCATCTCCTGAGCCTTGATATGTCTCCTCGCACAATATTCAATAGAACGGTTTCTGCAACATCATCTGCATTATGGCCTGTGGCTATTGCATTAACACCCATCTCTTTTGCTGCTTGCTCAATCGCCTTTCTGCGAAACACTCCACAATACGTGCAGCTCCCTCTTCTTCCGACTTTTTCAACAACCTTATCCATAGTCACACCGAATATATCTGAAAAGGACACAATTTTAAGTTTGAGCCCAAGATCATCACAATTCTTATACACCGCTTCAATTGAATAGTCTCTGTATCCTGCTATTCCTTCATCAACACTCAGCAGCACAAACTCTACCCCATATTCATGTCTCTTGTTCAACAAATCCAAGACATATGCTAGCACAGTACTGTCCTTTCCTCCACTTACTCCAACACCCACCTTCTCGCCCTTGCTGAACATACTTGACGAAATCACCGTCTCATGCACCTCATTCTCAAAAACCTCAAAGAAACACATCTTACAAACTTTACTCTTATCGCTTGGCCTAACAATGACTGCCTTAAGTATACCGCATCTCTCGCACGACATATTCCGGGAGTATTCAAATTCATTAAATTAAAGCTACCAACTGTTTATTACAATCAATCTTCATTCGTGCTTGCACTCACACTCATAGGCACCATATTCAGCATGTTTTGCTCTCCTCCATACACAAAAAATCCTTCTTCGCATACTCTAATCGAAAATACCCTTTCATCAACCTTCTTTACATATCGAACATCAAAATTTTCAGCATCTACAACCTTTATGGTTTCATCCAGAGATGCTGTGTAGATGCTTTTTGCAAAAATATCAAAGTCTGCAATCGAGTCTTCGTGGATCTTCTTTTCCAGAACTGTCTTCGACATGTTCCGAATATCATAGCACCATAGCTTTCCGCAAGAATCAGAAACAAATATTCTATCATCAGCCATCCTTATTTTCTCCACATCACCTTCAAAGCCAATTTTTTCTCCAAAGCAATACAAAGCGTTTTCAACTGAATAGACAACAAACGATCCAGAAACATCAATCTTGCTCACAGGCCCTGCTGCTTCAATCTTATTCCTGACTTCTAGCCTTTCTGCATCCCATTCAATAACTGTAGAGTCAACACTTCCGCTAAACAGCCTTCCCTCGGCCTCCCGCAGCGACATCACTGCATCGCTGTGCCCCTTCAATAGAATTTGAGGAAGCATCGCACTCCTTACAAGTGGATCATAAACAAGAATATCGTTCTCAAATGTTCCTAGAGCAATATATGGTGTTCCTCCAATGCTCAGATTCTCAGAATCAATTACAGAGCTGAAAACATATGCATCATGATGCATGAACATATTAACACATTCCTTGTTTTGAATGTAAATTTGTAAGAGGCTTATGTCTTCCTCATTTGGCGTGCAGAAGATCAGAACGTCTCCTTCAACTATATCCTCTGATTCGTCTGCATCGTAATCACATGACATGGCTGATTTGTCAATCAAAGGAATGTTGAGATGCTCCAAAGACCTGGCTATTTCTTCATTTACTTTAAACTCTTTCAACTTCTCTATCTCAATCTTGCTAGGAATAATTCCAATCGACGTTATCATATTCTAACGGGTAAAAACAAAAACATATTTCTGCCCACCAACAAATATTCAGATGCTTTAATGAACCTCATCAACTATCTCTGCCTTCTTCGCACCATAGAACACCCTCTTCTCCTC